ACTATAATATAATATACTTATATACTTATAATTATATATACTACTATTTCCGGCTATTTATATCTTAATATACCTAAAATATACTACATATTTCTAAATATAATAAAAATATAAAGTATTTTAAGATTTTATTATATAATAAAAGTATAAATTTAGTTTATAATAAGAAAAGTAAAGAATTATATTTCTGGTAATTTATTAAGAGAAATATAGCTATTCTTGTTTAAACAAGCTTATAATATATACTATATAATATAAATACTAAGAAATAATACCTATTTATAAAATTTATTAAGTAAGTAAAATATAAATTTTATTTCAAGTATATAAAAATAAGTATATATACTAATATACTAAAGTAACCTTAATTATATCATTTTATATTTCAAAATATACTTTATTTATTTAATTCCTTGTGCCGGGTAAATCCCCGTTTTACACCTCTAGCAAACACTAGATCAAAGCCGCACGATCGGCACAGAGCAACCTTGGTTCGGGTCCTGGTCTTGGTCATGTTGGCGATGACGTGGGCTTCGGTGATAGCTCTGGTCATGACGACGAGTCCGACCTGCGTGGTAATGTTGGCAATGTCCCCGGCGATAACGGCGGTCGTTGGCAGTCACGTCGTGACACCTGATGGGCGGCTTGCAATATGTTGAGATGAATCGAGATAAAGGGGCATGTAATAAGGCACTTGGGGTATAGTAGAAGTTCAATACATTGTGGAACTGCTGCTAAATTTTGTCCGTTTATCACGAATTTTGACTTGCCGAGTTTTTACTCAACAATTACCATGCCTTCCACCGAGGTTTCACAAACCATACGTATCAAGTAACCACCCGGGGCTGTGTTTAATTTACCAGCCAAGGGAACACAGCAGTCACAATTCAGGTTTATATATTGCATCCCAAACGACAAACTCAACCCAAGCCCACTATTACGGGTAAAGGTCCCGGTGGTCGCGCTTGATGGCATCAGCGCCCTTCTCAGCAACCATGTAGACCGAGTTTTGAATGCGGCAGTCGGGAATGACAGGAATGACAGACGCGTCAATAACACGGAGGTTCTTGACCCCGTGGACCCTGAGGGCGGGATCGACGACGCCCTGCTGGATATCCTTGGACAAGCGCGCCGTGCCACAGGGGTGGAATGAGGTCTGGCAGCGGTCGAGGACAGTCCTCTTCATGGCGTCGTCGTCGTGCAGCGGCATCTCCCAGGGGTACTCGTCCTCGACAATGTCCTTAAAGCCGTCGCCGTTTTTCAGCACGTCGTACGCGTAGCGGATGCCCTCGCGGACGGCGATAATGTCCAGGTCGTCGTTGAAATAGTTGAGGTTGATGTTGGCCTGCTGCAGGGGGTCGGCGCTGTTGAGGGTGACCTCGCCGCCCTCGGAGACGGGCCGCACGAGGTCGACCATGACGGTCATGTAGCTCCCCTTGTTGGGGTGCGGAAAGTGCCACTGGAAGGCGCTGCCAAACAGCGGGATAAAGTCGAGCTCAAAGTGCGGCTGGCCGTATGGGCAAAAGGGGTCCCGGCCGTCGTTGGCCGCCTTGGCCTTGCGGTACTCGGGAGACCTCTCGAGGTACTTGTCGATGCGGGGGAAGCCAATCATTTCGAGAAACGGCGATGCCATGGCGCCGGCGTGGCCCTTGGAGTAGGCGGCCAGGACTTGGTCTTGGAGAGGGCCCTTTCGCAGGACGTGGCTGTCCATGGAGTAGCTGTCCTTGAGGCGGAGGCAAAAGGGGACGCCGGGGTGGTCGAGCAGGTGCTGGCCGACGTGGCGCGAGTCGACGAGCAGGGGGATGCCGTGCCGGGCCAGCTCGGGGGCCGGTCCGATGCCGCTCAGCATGAGGAGCTTTGGGGACTCAAAGACGCCCTCGGAGACAATGACCTCGCGGGTGGCGTAGAAGCTCAGCTCCTGGCCCGAGGCGGCAATGACGGTGACGCCCTTGGCGGTGCGGTCGGCGTCGTCAATGATGAGCTTCTTGGTGTGGACCTCGGGGAGGATGGTAATGTTGGGCTTGCCGGCGACGGCGAGGAAGCTGCCGGAGCGCCGACCCTTGTAGATGGTGTTGATGCTGTGGACGAGGCCGCGCATCTCGCCGTCAAAGATGTTTTCCGTGAGCGGCTCGCCCGTGGACTGCCAGGCCCGGGTCAAGAGGTCGCGGAACGGCTTCATTTCCGGCATCAGCTCGGCGTGGGCAATGGGAATGGGACCGCCCGAGCCAATCTTGTGAAGCTCCTTGGGGTACAGGCCGGCGTCGTCGTGATATGTGACGCTCTTGCGAAGGTAGGGCACGAGGGGGTCCCACGTCCACTCCTTTCCTCCGTACTCCTCCCACATGTCAAACGTGCCCTTTGATCCCGGCACCCACGAGAAGTAGTTGAGGGACGAGCTGCCGCCGAGGGCCTTGCCGCGCGTGTTGGGCTTCTCGATGCGTTCGTAGTCGTCGCGCTTGACCATGGTCGTCTTGTAGGCCCAGTCGTACTGGCTGCCTCGGATCTCCATGGCCCGCCCGGGGGTTCGGATCTCTTCATTGTCAATCGAGTTGCCAATGCCGGCTTCCACGACCAGAATCCTGGCGTTGGGGTTTTCGGCCAGGCGAGCAGCAACAGTGTTGCCAGCCGTGCCGCCGCCGACGACGATGAAGTCGAAGCGGGCACCGTCTTTGGCAGCCATGATGGGGGATGTGATGAGATGGTTAAAAGTATGTTCAAAGGGTGTGTCTGGGTTTAAAAGTGCATGCCTGGGTTGGTGCTCGACAATTATTCGGACTCGTGCGGGGATTTATATACTTGACTGGATGTCGTACTGTCGCCACATTGGGAAGTAGTAAACTGCCGCGCAAGATCAGCCGCCACCCCAGAGGGCTGAGACGTCAAAGCGATATATCACAGTCCGCTGTGGAGTCGGCACTGGAGAAGGGACGCAATATTGGCCATCTCTGATTCAAGGTTTCAGTAAAGGAACTGACCATTCGGAGGGTTCCGGCGGACGTGAAGTGGTCTGAGTGGTCAACTCTCACGATACTGATGGCTAGCTCCATGCAGCACCCGCTTGGCGTACGAATAATGTGACGACGGCTGGCGAATTAGGTTTTGAAAATCTCTGACCCGATGCCGGGTGATCCGTCGGTCTTGGAGATGCTACAATGGTCAAAGTGACGACTCGATTGCTACTGTCACCAACTGCTGGCACTAGCCGTGTTTGGAATGAGTATTTGTCGCGCAGCTCACAAATCATGGCTGTCAACTACCAAGCGGAGGCCTGCAGAGGAGATGCATCATGACTGGTGTATTACGGTTTTGTATAACAATAGCAAAGTCAAAGTGGCTAACAAGCGGCTTGTTCACAACTGGCAGTGATTGCCGTAACCATCTCTAGTTAAAGTCCAGGGACACACAATTCTTTGATACGCTTTCACAGTGTCGGGGCCGTCCGTATTGGGATCGGGGGAGCTTTTCATTGGCCGAGTGCATTTTCCTAACCAAGTAAGCGCCCGCTAGCTGCCGTGCCATGTGGGGAATAAACGGTAACGCTCAAGCTTCCGCGACTCCGAGCCAATCAACCATGCGGCTTGACGCAGGACTAAGTTTACGAGGACAACATGTGAGACTGAGTTGAGTCAGTTTACCAGGGACTGAACGCCTCCATGCTACTTGGATTCCAGTAAACCAAATTGATGCCATTTCTACATTGCAACCTGCTATCCATGTCGCGAGACGACCTCGTCCTGTTCTGTCAAATTTTATCGGCTAAACCGTCTCGCTTCTGCCGCCAGCGCCACCAAATAAAGGTCCTCCGTCTCCGACCATAGACAGACGTAAAATTACGCCCGTTGCCTGGCATTGTTATTATTCGCAAGCAAGTTTGGCGAACCCTTAAGATCGCCCTTGACCTTGTCCTTTGTCGCGGTCTGCGTGAGAAACTCGAGGACATCTTTGCTACTCTTGCCAAAGACGGCCATGGCATTCAACGCCAGCGCCGCCACGTGGGGTGCGGCCATTGACGTCCCAGACAGCGTCTTTGTGGCAACGTCGCTCGTGTTGGATAGCGACAAGATTTTGCCCCCGGGGGCCAGAATATTCACCTTGCATCCAAAGTTGGAGCTCGGGGCCACGCTCCAGTCCGACCGGATGGATCCCACCGTGATGGCCTCGTCTGCGCAGGCAGGCGACGCCCCGGCCGCGTCCTTGGCGTCGTTGCCGGAAGAGGTAATGGTCAGGATGGGCCCGTTGGGGCGGTTAAAGGCCCGCTCGACAATGGTATTCCAGGCCATCGAGAATTTCCTCCCCCCAGAGTAGTTGATGACGGCACTGTTCTGGCGGCCCTTTTTGATAATGTCGTTCATGGCAAAGGTGAAGCCCAGGATGGCCTGAGACGTCAAGACCTGGCCGTTGGGGCCAAAGACCTTGACCGAGAGCACGCGGGCCTGCTTGGCGACGCCGTAGGTTTTGGCGGCGATGATGCCGGCAACGTGGGTGCCGTGGCCGCTTGAGTCCTCAAAGTCGTCCTGGTTGTCGGCCGTCTTGAACGCTGTCCAAAAGTTTTCGGCGCGGCCCCCGAATTCCTGATGCGTCGTTCGAATGCCCGTGTCGAGAACGTAGGCATAAAGGGTCTTGTCCTTGGGCCAGGGCGTGTAGAGATAGTCCGAGTTGCGAAACATGTTGAGTCGCGTGGGCGCAGACCGGTGAGAGATGGCTTGGAGGTTCCATGGCGCCTTGGATTGCGCTGCCGTCTTCGGTTTTGCCGGGGGGGCGGCCGAGACGAGGCAGGAGAAGGCGGCGAGGAGTATTGAGATCTTCATTGGGTGACGATTTAATTGGCTTTTAAGCTTTATAACCCGGAATACTAGCAGTGATGGAGTCTGTTTGAGACGAGTAAATATACAAGACGCAAAGCGGGCGGAATGACTAGGTCTTTAAATAACACCGGCTCCGGGGCCCATCGGGGACCTCGCCGGGGCCGGCTTTATGGATTGCGAGGTCGTGATGCTGGCGTCGGCCACATTTTTCATTAACCAGTTGCCGATGCGTATTTTCTTTATTGATTCATTAAAGTGTAGAGGACGCTTTTATTACATGTTAATAAACATGTATAGCGGGAGGCTGCACCCAGCGTACTGCTCGCCAACGTAAACCCGGCCACCAACTTTTATCCCGCCTTACCGAATCAAAAAAAAAAAAAAAAAAAAAGAGACACTTTTTTCTTCGCTCCCCCGGGCTATGAAAAGTGACAGGGATTTCTTCCTTCCAATCTATTGCTTTGGTGCCGCATTGACCGAGTTGCGGAAATGCACAATCCGGAGTGGCCGTGGGTGTCAATGTGGCGTGATTTGCCGAGTCCGTGTGTTGGAAAGCAACAAGATGACTTGGTTATCGATGTGGTATTCTTTGCGCGAGTCATAGCAGACAGAGTGCAACGGACAACCGGTGCGGCCGCGCCGTGTGTAACAGCAATGAGGCCCGCGTTGTACAACAGAATGGGTCGCCAGAGTTGATGCCGGGAGAGTTCCGGTAGCCGGCGCGCCATGGGAGACGCGTCGTTTGCCGCGTCATACGACTGAGTCGCTCGAATCGGTTCTTGCCGTGGCCATGCTTGCAACCTAATAGACAATTTGGACCCTGAAAGCCTAGCAGGGGTGAAGGGGGTTATACCAAATAAGAGAATTATGTAGAGGTGTGGTAAAAAAAGTTGAAATCTCTTATCGAGACAGGTCACAGATCACTAGTCCCTTGCCATTAAGCTTATATTATAGTTAAAAGCCAAAGGGTGTCAACTCGGGTCCCTGCATATAATCCCCACAGACTCCCTGTCGCTGCCCAAACTTGCAAGGGTGGGAGTAAAGCCGAGAAAAGATGGAGGATGCAAGTGATCCGTGGGCCCTGCGATAAGGCATGATTATAATGTCAATAGAATATACCACAAGTCCCATAGTGACCCCTGTTGTCCTGACTCCTGACCGCCTTGGGGCAAGCGGAAAAGTCCATGGCTCGGTATTATTGTACATGGTTGCTGAGTATAGCGGCAGTTGTTTACAGAAATGACTGCCGTTTCCATTTCTTTGCTTTAAATAATGCTCAGTCAATATATATTGCACTGTTCATGCTCGCTCTAGTTCACCAACACTCTTTACACTTAGAAGCCACCTTTGCGACATAGTTTCAATCGCTGCACAGCTCACAATGAAGTGTTTCCATTGGACTGTTGTCCTTGCTGCTCTACTTCAAACGGCAGCTACAGAGCAAACCTCGTCAAGCGATGGCGCCCAGCCGCTAGGGTAAGACAAGCCCCGACAAGGACGTTAAAAAGGCAGTGCTGACCGTATTCAAGCCACATTGTGGTCCTCAAGCCAGGATTGGAGTCCAAACACCTCGAACGTCATCTTGAATGGGTAAAATCCGTCCACAAGCGCAGCCCGGATAATGATGGCGAGAACCATCATGGCGTGAAACACACGTATGACGGGGAGGACTATGGGTTTCTTGGCTACGCAGGGCACTTTCCGCCGAGTGTGCTCGAGGATATAAAACGACACGAGCATGTAAGTCGTTACTCTGCAACACTTGTCGTCTTCTGTCAAGCTAAGTCTGCAGGTTGACTTTGTAGAGCGAGACCAGGCCATTACCCTCGTGCTTCCCGGAGAAGAAACGCCAGAGAGCCAAGCGGTTTCCCAAGATAACAACAAGCAGAGCAGCAGGATTGTAGGCCGTGGCGGTTTGACCATGGGACAGGGGTAAGCGTGCCTCGTCGCAAACTGATGGCTTTTCTAACGTGATCAGGTACAATACGTTTTTGGACAAGGGAGCGATGCACAACGCCGTCCTCTTTAGCGAGGGAATGAATAAGAGAAGCGAAAATTCTACAGCAGAGTTGTTCAACCAGGACATGATGACGAGGTTCAACTTTACGCCGCCCAGCGCAGACTTGACGGATATCGACATGTCGTACTTTGACCGGCCTGATCCACGCGCTCTCATAGAACAAGCTCTTGCCGGCTTGGCCAGGGACGGAAAAAACACGACTGACCTCACCAAACGACACACGAGGACTGCTAGCCAAGACGAATGCAACGGCAGCATGCGTTTCACGTCGGAGCTGGTCGAAAATTACGAGCAAGTCCCACCCAACGTCCCAAGTACTTGTTGTTTTATCTTCATGACACAAGCATCGACAACGTCTGATACAAATCAAGTCTTGCTAACACGACTCGCCAGGTCATATCTACAGACGCTTGAAATAAGCGGCGGCGCAACTCTGTCCGGCTGGGGCCAAAGTGCATCCGTGTCGGGTGCTTACCTGAACAAGGCAGAGGCAAGTCTCTGTCGACCAATCCACGAGGAAACCTCGATAACAAGAATTGTAGTTTTCCAAGAAATCCGTAATATTTGTAGCCATAATCAACATTGAGAGACAGCTCGACTCGCCCACCGGATTCGAATTCAACACGCACAACTATAAGCCCAAGACGTTTAATCGAGACTTTGGCGACAAATGGATCCAAGGCAAGTCCCAAAGACAAACACATGGACCACACACGGCTAAACAGTGCCCTAGGCTTCCACGAAGGCGGGAAAATGATTGCTCGGGTAACTTTTACCGCCAAGAATCAAATTGCCAAGAACGACCTCCAAGCGCAGTACGGCTTCGTCCCTGTTTGAACGCTCGGCAACGCTAACTGCTACACAGGGCCAAGGCTTCGCTGCGATTCTGGGGTGTAACCGGGGACATTGAAGCATCGGCCAAGAAGAGCATGGAGGACGTCAACACAAACGCCGACGTGGAGATTAAGCTCTTCTACCAAGGAGAGCTGGGCCGGTTCATGCTGCAGTCGGGCTCCCCCAAGAGCATCAGCGAGGGCACCGCGCAGGCGTCGTTTCTGCAGGCCAAATCGTGGGCCGATCAATTTATCCAAAACGCCTGCCAGCACCGCTACGCGTACCGGTAAGAGCATCGTGGACTCGCGCCGGGGGTTGGATATTTATCATCTCGACAGGCCGCTTCTCGACGAGTACAGAAACATAGAGGGCTTCCCTGAAGACCAGGGCGTGCCCGACTATTACGTTGCGCATAGAATGGTGTGTTGCCCTCTTGCCCGTCTGGGACATGTGCTGAACGAATGCTTCTAGTCGTACATGATTTTGAGTCAGATTGTTGTCATTTCCGACATGAAGGACTATCTGCTGAGCCGTACGCCTCGTCGCTCCAAGCGTTTTCGCGTTGCTAACCTCGTCTAGGCACCGATCTTGACATCAAGCTCAAGTACAGCATCCAGGTTGACGAAATTAAAATGGTGCAGCTGGGCAGGGACTGGGTATTCTGCATGGCCAAAAAGACAGGGAAAGCAAAATACTAAGTGGATATAGGTCCAATCTACCGTTGAAAAGCCAGAGGATGCCATAACAACCGCAGGGGACCTCCTTGAAAAGTTTGACAAGAACTTCCGCGCCAAGTACGAAATGCTCATGCCGCAGAAACCGTACATTGCCGGAGTCAAGGTAAGAGCGTATTCCGCGAGGCATTTACCGCTGCTAAGTATAAACAGGTCGTCTACGGCGGATACCCAAGCAAGGACCCGCCGGCGGGCAGGGTCAAGGAAGCCGAGGGCCGTTCTGACGATATTAATCACGGTCGGGGCGGAGAGTGAGTTGTGGCTACTCGTCCTCTACAACATGAATTAACACTCTGCAGTTTTGTTTGGCTTGTTCCGATCCGTACGGATCACGCCGAGGATGCGTGCACCTCTTTTGAACTCGTCATCGACCAAGTCCCCGACGAGTTTGGAAACCTGGTCAAGGGCTCCAAGGACAAGAGCCGGTATCTGCGGTGCAAGAAGAGTTCGTCGAGAGACAAGATCCGCCGACTGGTGCTGTCTCGGCTAGAAGCTGCGCCTGCGCCTGCACCACGGGTCACCAAGGATCGTCTGGCTTTCATCAAGAGCTTGCTAGGCCGCTCATGGGTCGAGAAGGTCCGGTTTTTACGGGCCTTCACGGGCAAGACATCGAATATCAACCAGGGCCGGCATGGGGCGGATGAATTGTATCTCCTCTGGTCGCCCCGGGAATAGGTCGCGGCCAAGTAGGGACTTGTGATGTCTAGACTAGGGTACTCATGTGCTTGAATGCGCTTGCTAGCCAATGAGAGGCACGTATGCTATATTTCCAGTGGTTTGATTTGCGGCGGTGACTTTCAGGAGCAGGGTGGCATGGAGAGGATGGCGGCGGTGGCGTGCTTTTGAGACAATTGTAGAGAAACGGCAATGCAAGAAACAGCCAAACCGAGAATTGGCATGATTGCGTGCTCTGTGCCGTCTACGCGGAAACCAGCTACAAGGAGCAACACACGGTAGCAAACTCCCGACGTTGCCTGGACAATATCACATGTGTAGCGGCGCACTTGTACAGAGTCTAGACATGTTTCGTAGAGGCAATAAACTATTTAAAGACGTCGCAGATCTTGGCCAGCCTGCAGGAACAGTTGGGATTTAGCCGTCTAAATATTACTCTTGAGCGTCGTTTTGGAACCAGCACCGGGACTCGGGGGGCGAAAAGTCACAGCCCTCGGCATGATGGCCCGGCAAGTGAAGATTTCGGACACATGGCGGCTCACGCGTTGAATGCGTGCTCCAGAGAGTGTTCAGCTCGTTCAGATAATGACGGCAATCCCAAAAGAATAAAAGCATGGGCATCAAAGCAGTGGCCTGGGGCGCCGTCAGAGTAGGAATTAATGTACAAGTTGTGGTCAAGACAGCCTCAAGTCCACACTCTCATCTCTCGTAAGGATGCCCGGTGCCAGGAGTCAATCGTTTCCCGACACAGCTTGATGTGTTTGGAGCGCCACGGCTGTTGTCGGACATCGGCACACTTTCTACCGAGTTGACGGAGCGCCTTGCCAGGGTACCTCTTCGGCCGGCTCGGCCAATAGCAGGCCCCTGATACGTTGGACATCAGATCAGCCTCGGAGCGATCGGAGCCGAACATGACGGAATAAAGTTCATTTCCAGCACCCCAGCCCGGGCACCGGGACCGGCTCAACACCACATCTCTAGCCACCGAGTACAGCACTGATAAGGTCTGCTGATAACGGATAACCAGTTTGCACCTGCGCATGGTGATTGGTTTCCACATGCCCAGCGCTGGAGATTGCGCTGCCCGAGCGCCGGCGATCATTGAGCATCATGTCCAATACTATCTCGACTGATAACTACCTAGGTACTCCGTACAGAGGCAAAAAGTAAAAGATACCCGGGTACCGCGCGCCATGCTACAGTACGGAGTAGCGTATACCTGTTGATAAGCGACGGTTGCGCCATGAAATGTCTCACCTGTAGACAATCACTTCATCTCATCTCTGCAACTCGGCAACTCTTAAAGAGAAAATGGAACTCGCCGCCTCCAGAGCAGCTCAAGCCTGCACCGCACACCTCCCCCTTCATTTTGCCTCGAGGCCGCTCCACGACGGCCCGCCATGTCTGCCATGACAATCCGCTCCCTCACACCCACCGAGGTGGTCTACGACGTGGGCGAAGCCGGCGCGCGCAAGGGGACCACGAGAGTAGACAAGGTCTTTTTCAGCGGCGTGTCGGCCGGCTGCTTGCTGGCATTTGCCTGCGGAACGGTGCTGAGCACCAACACGGCGCCGGCGTGGCAGGAGAGCGCCCCCGGCCTGATCCGGACCGTTGGCGCCGTCGTCTTTCCCTACGGCCTGTGCATGATTCTGCTCACGGGGGCAGACTTGTGTACGGGGTCCTTTATGGTGCGGCCGCCTTTTCCCCGGCCGTGATGGCGACGGATGACCGACTAACGGCCGTGTCCAGTTCACCACGGTTGCTGTTCTGCAGCGGCGTCTTTCCTGGTCCAGGATGCTGCTGCACTGGCTGGTGACGTTCCTGGGCAACCTTGCCGGGTCGCTGTTTGTGGTTGCCGTGATATTCGGCTACGGGGAGACGTTTTCGGCCGAGCCGTACCGGGCCGAGGTGGTGGCCTTTGCGACCAGGAAGCAGGTCTCGCCCGGGTTTGCCATGATTTTCCTGCGCGGCATCGGCTGCAACTGGCTCGTGTGTTTGGCGTGCTTCCTGGGGATGCAGGGGCGAGACGTGGCGAGCAAGGTCGTCGGGATCTGGTGGCCGACGTTTGCCTTTGTGTCGCTGGGGTTTGACCATGTGGTTGCAAACATGACGTTTATCCCCATGGCCATGTTCCTCGGGGCCCCGAACATTACGGTTGGCCTGTACGTCTGGAAGGGAATCGTACCCACGCTGTTGGGCAATGTCTTGGGCGGAGGGCTGTTTTGTGGTGTGTATTGAACTTGACGCTGTTCCTGGCTGTTGGGCATCCGACTGACATGATGATGACTCTAGGCATGTACTACTGGTACATGTACGCGCTGGACACGGCAGACTTGATACGGCAACGCGGCGAGACGGGCAAGGCAAACGGGTATAGCGTTGACGTGGAAGCCGGCGTGAATGCTTGAGCTAAGAGGGAGCTGATGTTTTAGTGTACATGACTATTGACCACATTCAGCCCAAGGACCGGTATCCATAAGACCAGATATTCCATTAGACCATGAAATCGATAGTTGGAATACTCAGCCGACGCCTCACTCATGGCGTTGCTTGTATTTCTTGACCCCTTTAATACATGGCGTGACAAATGGACAGCTACACACTTTGGCACCGTACGCCACACACACTGTGAAAAACATTACATCTGGTATGTTTCCATTCCCCCTAATTATCTCGGCCTCACCCAGACAGCCGTGGCCGGTTCAACCAGCCCCCGATGGTCGTCCTCGCCCGCCGGCGCCTCCAAGGTGATGGAGCTCACCATGCTGATTTTGGCGCCGTCAAAGCCGAGAACAAACACTTTGCCAGCCTCGCTATCCGTCATGGCCATGATGTGCTGCGGCAAGTCGCTGTGCGCCAATCTGACCTGCCACGGCGCGGGCTCAATGGCGTTGGCGATGCCGCCGCTCGTCGGCGTCTCCCAAATGTCGACGGCGGCGGTCCGCTTCAAGGTGCCGTCCCGGTTCAGCGCAAAGGCGCACACGTAGCCCCTGGTGCGGCTCTCGAGGCCCCTCGTAGACGCAAACAGGTACTCGGGGCCGGCGCCGCCAGGCGTGCCGGAGAGCCGGACCTCGTCGGCCCAGTAGTCGCGGGCGTTTTTCCCCTGTGGCAAGAGGCTCGCGGCCTGGACGTGACGCAGCGCGGCGACGGCACCCTGCGCGTCTCTCTGTATGCGAAAGACGTCGACGATGCTGCTGTGCTCCTGGACAACGTAGAGCACGTCCCCGTTGGGGTGCGGCCAGGCGTGTCGCGGGCCGTCGTCGTCCCTGGGCGCCGCGTGCCGCCGCTGGTCGTGAAGCACTCGCCGGCCCGTGCCGTCGACGGAAAACGTCCACGTGCAGTTTCTCCCAATGTCGGCGACGTAGAGCGTGCGGCCGTCGGGGCCGAGGTCGCAGCCGTGTGCCCCGTGGCGGAGTCCGCCGAAATCGCCGTGGGGGACGGCATCCGGCGCCTTCGGGGCGTCTGCCTCTTGGCCGCCGGCAAAGTCCAGTTCCTGCGCGAGGGGGCCTATCCCGCCGCCGTGCTCGACCCGAAAGACCTCGCCCGTCGGGCCGCCGACGCTGAAGATGTGCGAGCTGGAGGCGGTGACGTAGCCCGGCTTGTTCCGGACGGGCCGGGAGCCCAGCAACTCCAGCTGCTGCGTCGAGCCGTGGTTCCGATACGCGGCGACGCTACACGTCGGCTTCGTCCAGGCCGTTGTGTACAGGGTCCGCTGGTCCGGGGAGAGCGAGAGCCATGAGTGAGGGCCGGTGGCCTCGCTAATGCGGAGGACATGCAGTTGGTTCCCGTTTGGGTTGAAGCGCAGGGAAAAGATGTAGGGGAGGTTAAAGGTTCCGACATAAAAGTCTAGAGCGTCGCCTGCTCCTGTAGCATTGCCGAGGTTGGCGGGGTTTTCGGCGGCGCGCTGCATGATATCACGGAAGAGGAAATGCGGTCTGGAGATGCAACATGCAATCCTGTCAACCACGCCCTGGTGTTCACTGTTGCGTACACTGTTTCTCGGGCCAGGGGCACAAGGCACACAAATTGAAGCGACGTGTCAACCGTCGAGAATCAACTAGCCGTGGCTTTAATAAAGGCGCAGCAGAACGTATATCTGTGCATAAGACTGACAACCGCCCCGGACCTTGCGGAGGAACGGAGACGGCTTAAGTAGCCCCGTTCGGCAGCCCCAGCCAGTCAGGTGACGAGGACTAGACCCGGAATGGATAGGGTTTCGGGTGACGGGGACGGGACGGAGGCCCGATGCCAAGACATTGATCAATCTTCCGAGGCGGCTGCAGACTGGACTGCCAAACAGGGATGCAGATGCGCCTTGGCGGCAGGGGAACACGGCCTGCATCCTGTGCTCGTCGGGACTCGGGACTTTGGCGGCTATAAAGGCACAGTGGCTGGCCAACTTGGCCCATCGGGTCATTGATTCTCTCACCGGATGTTCCACCGCCATGTCTTTGCCCGCCGAGTCAAAAATAGACGTCCTCATCATCGGGGCCGGCCCGGCAGGGCTGATGATGGCGACATGGCTGGCCAGGTGCGGCGTCGGCGCGCGCATCGTAGACAAGCGCGGCACCAAAATATTCAACGGCCAGGCAGACGGCCTGCAGTGCCGGACGCTCGAGATCTTCGACTCCCTGGGCTTCGCGCACCGCGCGTGGCGCGAGTCCAACCACCTGCTGGAGATATGCCTGTGGAATCCCGACGAGCACGGCCGCATCCGCCGGAGCGCCCGCATCCCCGACACGATCCCCGGCATCAGCCGATTCCAGCAGGTGGTGCTGCACCAGGGCCGCATCGAGCGGTTTCTCCTCGACGCCGTGGAGGAGGCGGGCAGCGACATCCGGGTCGAGAGGGGCGTCGCGCCCACCAGCATCGACATTGACGAGTCGCGGGTGGACGACGACGACGCTCACCCCGTCACCGTCCGGCTGCGCCGTCTTTCGGAGGAGGAGGCGACGCCGGAACAGGCCGCGGGCTCTGGCGACGACGGCCCACCGGTCCAGGACGGCCTCTTCCGCAGCAACCTGGCCCCCCGGGACGACGCCGACCGCCTCCTGACCGCCGCGGCGGCCGGCACCGAGGAAGTCGTCCACGCCAGGTACGTGGTGGGCGCGGACGGCGCGCACTCGTGGACGCGGCGCCAGATTGGGCTCGAGCTCGAGGGCGACTCGACCGACTACATCTGGGGCGTCTTGGACATGGTGCCCATTACCGACTTTCCGGATATACGCATGCGCTGCGCCATCCACTCGGCCGACGCGGGCAGCATCATGGTCATTCCCCGCGAGAACAAGCTGGTCCGGCTCTACATCCAGCTCACGACGACGGAGAGGGTCGGAGACGAGGCGGCCAGGGCAGACCGGTCCAAGCTGAGTCCGCGGGTGATTCTGGAGGCGGCGCAGCGCATCATGGCGCCATACACCATCTCCTACCGCAAGCTGGACTGGTGGACGGCGTATCAAATCGGCCAGCGGGTCGGCACCTCCTTTGCCGTCCACGACCGCGTGTTTCTGGCTGGAGATGCGGTGCATACACACAGGTATAAACGTGCCGCGCAGTCTCCGTGTGTCCAAGGCTAACACGACGCAGCCCCAAGGCAGGCCAGGGCATGAACGTCAGCATGCAAGATTGTAAGTGCTACGACAATTCTTTTCTACGGGAATATTGGCTCACGCCACGTGCGCAGCTTTCAATCTCGGATGGAAAATGGCCAGCGTCGTCAAGGGCCAGGCACACAGGTGCATCCTCAAAACCTACGAGTCTGAGCGGCGCCAGATTGCACAGGACCTCATCGCATTCGACCACAAGTTTTCAAGACTCTTTTCGGGACGGCCGGCGAGGGACGTCATGGACACGGAGGGCATCAGCATGCAAGAGTTTAAAACCGCCTTTGAAAAGGGCCACATGTTTGCCAGCGGCATAGGTGCGTCAGGCTCTACGATACAACCACCCCGGCTAACAGATGACAGCCGTCGACTACGGCAGCAGCGTCGTGGTGGCCAAGGACGACGGACACGGCAGAGTCGTCTCCGACCAGTCCGCCGCTCCCCACGTCCCTGTCGGGAGGCGAATCCCCAGCGTCAAGGTGCTGAACCAGGCCGACGCCCGGCCGTGGCACCTGCACGAGCTGCTGCCGAGCAACGGGCGCTGGCGCGTTCTCCTTTTCCCCGGCGACGTCACCAGGGACGAGCAGCGGCAACGGCTCGCCCGCGTCGCCGCTGCGTTTGACGACGAGGCGTCCTTCCTCCGCAGGCACACGCCCGTCGGGGGGCGGTGCGACGACGTCTTCGAGGTCCTCACCATACACCGCGCGCCGCGAACACAAGTCACCATTTTCGACTTTCCCCCCGTCCTGCGACCGTATGACGAAACCGACGGCTGGAGCTATGACAGGATCTTTGTAGACGATGTTTCGTATCACGAAGGCCACGGGGAGATGTACCGGGCATTTGGCATCGCGCCGGCCGGCTGCCTCATGATTGTCCGGCCGGACCAGCATGTATCGTATGTCGGGCCGCTGGATGACCCCGCGGCGGTGAATGACTTTTTCGCCCGTTTCATGACGGATCAATCCCGCCGTGGCAGTGTAGATAGCAAGACCCCGATGCCAGCCAAGTGTTGACCTAGGCAAGCGAAGAGATCTCATGTGGAAGCCTTGGTGCTGTAAATTATCCCTCCGGGGGCCCTGCCGGGGGCCGCCTGCGGCGAGCTGTGGCCTGCGGCCGGCGTTGACTATGTGTTCATCGGAAGTTGGCTCAGCCGGATCGGATGTTCGTCATCGGAACCCCACATTTCCCCCGCATATATCATCCGTTCGGCCTGTTGGGGTCAGCATGTCTTCGACCCGAATATATTCTCCAGCGACAAAAGTTCCGAGTCTTGCACAAAGACGAGAGACGTTGACAACTGGCCCCACCGCCAGAAATGAAGCCTCAAGGACAGCAAGACCGGCTGCAGCAGAGATGCTCCAGGGCATGTGACACGTAAGACCATCCTTTCACTGTTGGGACGCGGCAGCCAGTCAAGATTGCGTGCCCGCTCCCATTTTTAAAAAAAGAAAAATACAACAACTGGCCCTGACAAGACCCCCCCAGATGCAAGAAGCGCAAGGAGCGATGTGATGGCCGCCAGCCGTGTGGTCGGTGCAACGAGCGCGGAGTAGAGGACAAATGTCGTTTCGACACGGACCACGGCGTCCGACGGCGCCGCGCGCGGCATCTAGGCACGGTGAAGCAGTCGGCGGCGGCGACGGCGCTGGATGCCGAGGGAGTCGTGTGTTCGCCCCAGTCTGCAAACACGGCCTGGGAGCAGCAGTCGTCGGTGGCCGGGTTGCACCAGTCCCGGCTCGTCAGAGACAAGAGGGGCAGGTTTATATTCCTGGGCGACTCGGCAAACCTGTCGCTGCTCCGCGTCGTGCGCGACGTCGCCAGGACGTGCCACGGGGAGTCGAGATTCGTGGCCGATCCGCTGCGCGCCGGCTTCGTCGAGGCCTCGACAGACGACAGCGGCAGCTGGATGGACGCGGCGGGATGCGAGCCGGCCCCGGCCGTGTCTGCCCAAGAGGCCGAGTCCCTGGTGGACATGTTTGAGAGGGCAACGTCCGGGCTGGTAGACTCTGTCGACACGGCCGAGCTGCGGACGCGCCTGGCCGCGGCGCTGCATCACAAGTCGGCGCTGCCGGCGCAGGAGCGCATCGTGCCGTACCTGGTCGTGGCCATTGGCGCCCAGTCGTCGCCGCAGCTCGGCCACCATGCCGAGGGCTTCTTCCGTCGCGGCCGGTATCTCGCCGCGCGCCACCTGACGGACGACGCCAGCATCATGACGGTCCAGGCGTACGTGCTCATCACCATCTACCTGCTGTCGGCGTCGCGCCGGAACACGGCCTCAATGCATCTGAGATTCGCCATCGGGTCCCTGTACGCGCTCGGGATACACAGAAAGGCCGTCGCGCTGCGGTTCACCAAAAAGGAGGCTCTGCTGCGGGAGAAGCTGTGGACGACGGTCCGCATCCTCGACCTGTTCCTGAGCGCCTCGCTCGGCCGGCCGGTGGCTACGACCGAGACCCGAAACACGCGGCGCCAAGACGAATACTCGGCGTGGAACGACCTGTGTGCGATTCTCGAAGACGTCCTGACCCAGGTCTACGAGCGGCGGTCCATCACGGCAGAGGTGGTCGACAAGATTGGACAGCACCAGAGGGAATGGGCAGACGGGCACACCAGGGCCCAGGCGACGGCGCAACCGGCGACGGCAGCACCGGACATTGGCACCCTCCACATGAAGCAAATGTACTACTGGACCATCATGCTGCTCACGCGGCCGTTCCTGATCGAGCGAGTCGTGGCCCACGTCCACCAGACGCCAAACAACAACCTCGGGCGCTGTGCGCTGCCGGACCTGTCCGTGTCCAAGACGCTCGTGTACGCCTGCGTCAACTCGGCCATCAAGACCATCCGCCTGCTCGAGCCCCTGGCGCGGCGTGCAGACGTCCCAGCCCGGCTGCCGCTGCTCGTCGACGCCGCGTTCCACTCTGCCCTGACTGTCGGGCTGGCCCATTTTGGCGACTTGCACCTCGTTTTCCCGCTGGCGAAGCATCTCGACCTGGCGCACTCGATTCTGTCCGCGTTTTCCGACGACCCCGTCGCTTCGCGCAACGCCGCCATTGTCTCGTTTCTCATGGAGGTGTGCCAGCTTCACATTGAAAGGCGACACGCGGCCAACATGGACCTCGAGTGCGAGGCCATTGGGAAGCTGTTTGGCCAGATTGACCACCCCCGCGAGCAGACGGACCCGGGCCGGCCAGAGGATGCTGGAGAAGCCGGCCCGTACGATGGCGGTTTCCCCGACACGCACGCGTCCCCGGGTAACTTGCCCCTCGACGGACTGCCCGACGGCCAGTTACCAAACGCAATCGGGGGTTCGGCGTCTGTCTATGCGGGTTCTGGTGTCTCGCAGTCGCCGCCGCAGATGATTCCGGGTTTGGACCCGTTCGGGCCGGTGCCGACGGCTCTTGATGGTTCACTCGCCGGTGACCCGCAGCTGTTTTGGCTCGACTTTGAAAAGGACGTTTCTTCCCTATTTACAATCATTGGTCCGACTTGAATCTGGGGATTTCTCGCAAGCGTTGACGGCGTCGGCGGCATACACCTGCTGAGTGGGTGGTTGTGAGCCAGCCATGTATACTACATGTAGTTTGTTTATAAATGTAGCGGGCTGCCGCTTTTCTAAATTCTGCTTCAAATAGTCTAATCAAACCAGAGAATTAGCTGCCACGTCGATCCATCTGTGATATAACCTGCTTGCTTGATTTGGTAACATGCAAACAGCTCACTTTCAAATACATGCATTAGAGTTGCTTCTCAATCCCATCTAGTATCCAGGAACTCGCATGAAATGGGCGACGGAAAGCAGTAAAAGTTTCCACTGTATGAACCCAAAATATATTCCAACTCACCTGGAACCCTGGTAATGAACATGATGGTAGAGCAGCCAGTGCTGACACAAGACAACCAGCAACACTCTTCAATCACATTCCATTCATTGCGTCTCCTACTTTCTCAGCCCATCCAGCACCACTGCCTTCGCCACGGCCATCGGGGACTACCGAAATCCATTCGCGCCAGGCAAGAGGCGCCACGAGTGGTATGCCTCGAATGCAGGTTGATTGTGCATAATATAGTTGACAGCTCAGCCAGTGAGGTTGCGGCATGACAAATATGTTTACAATGGCCCTGCCTACAACCCCCTGCACATAGATCGTGGTGGGCCGAAAGTCCTGTTCGGTGATGTGCCGTCTCCGTAAGCTGTCCGTTGTGAGTTCCAGCCGCGCCTAATGGTGTCTGACAGAGAATGAGGCACACAAAATAGTATCAAGTCAGCAGAGAGGGGATGGACTTGCCCTGCAGCGGGCCTCTTCCTGCGTGTCAAGTTGGTCTGCTCTTCCGGGCTGTGTCCCTTCTGAGATGTCTCTGGAGCTACACCACTCGAACGACCTGGACACGCCTTTATCAAGGGCCATGCTTTACAAAAGGGTCGGTAATACCGATATTTGTTGGCGGGTGACTCCGTGGTAAAGGAGCAGCTTTGTTGGCGCTCGGGGGCCCTGCAACACCTCGGGGCTGTCGGAAGTTTTTGCCCAGGGTTGTGTGCCTGTCCGAGCCGTGGCGTCACGAGGGACCGGCCGATTGGCTTCGAACAAGACACGTCCGAGTGAGACGGACATTGGAGACGTCGTGGCGTTGGAGAAGCAGACATCTTGATACCAGCAACCAACAGAGGGAATGAGCGCAATAAATGCGGATACCAAACGTCCGAGCGAATCCAGAAACCTGCAAACATCCACAAAGCTCTCCGAGTTTCATACTACTCTATTGTCAGTCCCGTAGTACAGTTACGTCAGCTCAGCGCAGGTGGACGGGACGGGGAGACGGGGGAACAGGAAACACGATCAACATGCAACCAGGGGGACACGAATCTGGACCATCCACATGCAGCATCAGTCACCCCCAACGCAACAATGCATGCGACGCTGCGGGGACGTCGCAATCGTGGGGAAAGGAACTTGCACACTCCACAGGCTCGCTGTCGAGTAACACTCAGCGACAACAGAGCCGTAGGAAACAACCCGACATGAATCGGCTAGTCGATCATTCTTGCGTCGTCGACTGCTCTCAGACGCTTCGCTTGTTGGCGGTCCACCTTGAAGCTCAGAACCAGGACGCGGCGCCCGCCGAGGGCCGGCACAGCTGGGATTGTTGTCAGAGACTCGAGTTGCGGAGGCTTTGAAATCTGGCGGATCAGCCCGTCTTGCGGAGAGACGATGGAGGCGAGGGGATGTCTGTTCAGAAGGCCAACTGCTTGGTTACCACGATGTGACGCCATAATGTATATATAATGCAATCCCATCCCCATCAAAACTGCGAATGCTAACCGCCGCGGCAAGACCCAATGGCTCCCCATCTCGGCCTACGCGGCTCCTCTCTGAGTCGGGCCATCATCTGGCTTGTTGTTTGCCCGGCATTCTTTTGCTACGGATACAACCTGAGTGTTGCGGGCGGGTTGTTGACGCTCGACTCGTTTGTAAAGACGTTTCCCCAGCTGGACACCATCAACACCGTGGGGGATGAGCAGCATGACAACGCCACCATCCAGGGTATACTTTTCCTCTCTCGCGCCCACGCAAACCCTCTGAAAAAAAGGCAAACGTGACAAGAATAACACTCGGCGGCAGGAACTGTCGTCGCCCTCTTCACCGTCGGTGGCGTGTTCGGGTCGCTGTCCTGCATATACCTCGGGGACAAGCTGGGCCGCCGACGCGTCATATTCCTGGCCTCCGGCATCACCGTGGCCGGCGCCGCACTCATGGCCTCGTCGTTCAGCCTGGCCCAGCTGGTCGTCGCAAGAGTGGTTCTGGGCGTCGGCACCGGCGGATATCTGGCCACGGTGCCGGTGTGGCAGTCGGAAATGTCCAAGCCGGCCAGGCGCGGCGCCCACGTCGTCACGGACGGCATCTTCCTCGGCGCCGGCGCCTCGGCGGCCCTGTGGATCGACCTTGGCTTCTACTTTGTCAAGACGAGCTCCATCTCCTGGCGCTTCCCCCTCGGCGTCCAGGCGGCCCTTTTGCTGGCAATGATGGTCTTTGTCTGCGTCCTCCCAGAGTCGCCCCGGTGGCTGGTCAAGCAGGGCCGGCAGGGCGAGGCAAGGCAGGTCCTCGCGGCGCTCAACGACACGGCCCCGGACGACGACCGCATCACCCAGGATATTCGCGACATTGAGCTCTCCCTGTCCGTCTGCGGCACGCTGTCCTGGAAGGCGATGCTCAGCAACGGGCCCCAGCGCATGTTGCACCGGACCGTGCTGGCGGCCGCGGGACAAATGTTTCAGCAAATGTGCGGCATCAACCTCATCTCCATGTACGCCACCACCATCTTTGAGCAGTATCTCGGGCTGAGCCCGGTCAAGTCGCGCATTCTCGCCGCCGCCATGTGCCTGACGCAGCCCTTTGGCGGCTCCCTCGCCTTCTTCACCATTGACCGGCTGGGACGGCGCGTCCTCATGCTGTCGAGCGCGGCGGGCATGGCCGTGTGCATGGCCGTTTTGTCGGGAACCATGTCGGCAGGGGGAAGCACGGGGGCCCTGGTCGTGGCCGTCGTCTGCCTCTTCGTCTTCCAGTTCATCTTCACCGTTGGATACGCGGGCCTGACCTTTCTCTACGCCACCGAAGTCGCCCCGTTGCAGCTCCGGGCGGCCATCAGCGCCGTGTCGACGGCCGCCGTCTGGATCTTCAACTTTTTGCTGGCCGAGGTGACGCCCATCGGGTTCAACACCATCGGCTACCGGTACTACATTGTGTTTGCCGTCCTCAACGCGGCCATTGTGCCGAGTGTGTACTTTTTCTTCCCCGAAACCAGCGGCCGGTCCTTGGAGGAGATTGACGAAATCTTCTTCAGGTCCAAGAGCATTTGGGATCCGCCCAGAGTCGCACAGTCACTGCCTCGCACGCACGCCGGCGGTGAAGAATCAGAAGAGTCGGCATCATCATCATCCGATGTCAAGGCAAGGGCGGAGCATACATGATGCGCAAATTGGCTTTGCGTAAATGGAAAGGCTACGTGTAAAGGCAAGGATTGCAAAATCATGCTCTATTCCGATGTTCTTGATTGTTCTCGGGAAAAGAGGAAAATGCGGATGGGTTTTCATCCACACGCGTGGACGTTTGTCATCACGTGATCGCGTGAGACCTCAACAGCAGGTCGGTAGTGCCAGATGCAAGTTGTCGGGATGGACTTGTGATGTAACACGAAAAAAGAAGGCATCTTGTAACTGGGAGTGGCGAATGGATTGGCTCAGATCGGACCAGATTAGCTTTGCCGGCCTACTCCGTACTGTTACATTGGGATTGCCCTCAAAGTTTGTAGAACCCGGGTGAAATGCAGCTTGCTTACTGTCATCCCAGATTCTTCTCTTTTTTTTTCCACCAATAATCAACTTGTCCTTTCAGTACAGAGTACCCAGCCTGCATGATCTCAACTATAAAAACGGAGTCTCGGCTCCAGCGATGGAGAGGATGTCAGACACTCTTCCCATCACCACCCAGCAAACCCGTCCACCATGCTTGTAAACACAATTCTTGTTGCGCTTTCTGCTGCCTCTCTCGCACTGGCGGGGACCCCCGTCGAGAGCGGAAACTGGGTGGAAGATCACCCCGACTACTCTCAGCAGCAGTGCGCGGGCGGCAGAGTAAACGGCAACACCTTTTCCATTCCCAAATCTCCCAATGGCGACACCAGCGGATCCGGATGCTCCAATGGTCACCTTCGCGCCGAGCGCAGATACAAGGACGACTACTCTTCCGGGGTTCACCAGTTTGGAGGCGAGTTCAAGATCAACTCCATGTCTGGCTCGCGCATTTCCATCAAGCAGACCTTCAATGGCAACAGCGGCCCATACTTCATCATGGGTGTCGAGCAAGGCGGCCGGCTATACAATGTCGAGGGGGGCAAGACCATCGCCGACGGCGTCGCCAAGGTTGGCGCGACGGTCCGCATCAACACGGTGCACAATGCCAACAACCACCGCTTCAGCGTCTATGTCAATGGCAAGGAAATGTTGCGCGACGAGAACGCGCCAGGCGGCAGCTTCTACGACAAGATTGGCGCGTACGCGACCAACAGCGGTACGGGGGATCTGAGCATCACCTGGAACGACGTCCAGTTCTGGCACAAGTGAGGGACGGGGTGTATGCATGCTGCCGAAATAGTAGTTTAGGCCAACAAGCCGTTTTCTTGGTATTCACCATGTACATTGCATAGAAACGAGACGCGGGATCAATCATTATCAACACACAAGGTCACACTCTTGGAACTGAAATTTAAAACGCAAAGCTGATGAATTGTCTACACTAACATTTACATACAAGTAGAAAGAAAAAAAATAAAAAGAAACAATTATGTATCTTTTGAAATACTTTCAACCCACTCGGGGCTGTGTTTATAAACCATATGAAAAACCAATATTATGATGCCTCATGACCAAGATATGCAAAAACCCCTTCTCTAGTAGCATCCTTCCCAAGAACTGCAGTGGTTGGACGTGTCGATGTACTTGTTGGCGGCCACGCAAGCAGAGTACTGCTTCTTGCACTTGAGCTGCGTAAGAAGGCCGAGCGTGCGACGGTGAGGCCCCTCGTTGGCGGTCGGGGCGACAAAGTCATCCTCAAAGGCAGACTCGGAGCGCTTCAATCCGTGGCAGCTCCAGAGGCTGGTCTTGGTGCACTGGTCGTACTGTTCCTTGCAGGCCTCGGCGCAAGCGTTGGGAACCTCTGGGTGCGGGAAGATCGGGCACTTGCTGGTATCCGCGTCGTTGTAAAGCTTGAAGGGCGCGGCGGCAAACTGACTCTTGTCGTCGTTGCAGCTGACAATGGGCAGCGGGACGCCGCAGATGGAGCCAGTGTCCTTGCAGATGTTGGTCGGCTTGGGGGGGCAGACGGTGGGCGGTGGTGTCGGCGGGTTGGTCGCCGTCGGCTCGCAAGGAGTGACGATGGTGGTGACGGACACGGTCGGTGGCTTGCAGTCGCTCTTGTCGCACTTGCCGAGGACGCACTTGAGACAGGAGAGCTCGATGGACTTGCAGAACTCGACGTACTTGAAGCAGCCGATGGCGCCGGTGAGACCGGCCTTCTTGAAGCAGGAAGCCCACTGCAGCTTGCACACGGCGGCCGACTTGATGCAGCCAAGCTTGTCGTGCCAGTCTGGCACCGGGGGAGCGCACCAGTCTCCAATCTGGTACTCGCAGTCCGGAGTCGTAGTGGCGGTGGTTGTGCAGAGCGTCGTGGTGCTGAAGCCCGTGGTTGGTGTAGTTGGCGTCGATGTAATCGGGACCGGTGTAGTTGGGGTGGTTACTGGGACCGTGGAGACAGGAGTAGTAGTCTCTGGAACCGTAGTAGCGGGAATGGTAGGGATCGTGGTGACGGGAGTTGTAGTCTCAGGAACCGTGGTGACAGGAGTCGAGGACTCGGGCACAGTTGTGACGGGGGTCGACGACTCGGGGACCGAGGTGACGGGAGTGGAAGACTCGGGCACAGTCGTGACAGGAGTGGAAGACTCGGGCACAGTCGTGACAGGAGTGGAAGACTCGGGCACAGTCGTGACGGGAGTGGTAGGAGTAGGAGTGCACTGGCTACCAGTAAAGGTGCTCGTGCATGTGACCGGTCCAGTTGGAATAGGTCCGGTGGGACTAGGTCCGGTTGGCTGTCCAGGGGTAGTAGGCACGGGAGTACACTGGCTACCAGTAAATACACTTGTGCATGTGGTCGGGACAGGGCCAGTCGTCTGGGGCACCGTGGTAGCGGGAGTTGAAGACTCAGGGACGGTAGTAACGGGAGTCGATGACTCGGGAACTGAAGTCGCGGGAGTTGAAGACTCAGGGACCGTGGTAACGGGAGTCGACGACCCGGGAACAGAGGTAGCAGGAGTGGTAGTAGGAGCAGGAGTACACTGGGTACCAGTGAAGGTGCTTGTGCAAGTAGCCGGGCCCGTGGGAACAGGTCCGCTGGACTGACCAGGCATGGTAGCAGAAGGTGTGCACTGGCTACCGGTGAATACGCTTGTACACGTGGTAGGAACAGGGCCGGTAGTCTCTGGCACCGTGGTAGCGGGAGTAGACGATGCAGGAACCGTGGTAACGGGAGTTGACGACTCGGGAACCGAGGTAGCAGGAGTCGATGACTCGGGAACCGTGGACACGGGACCTGTGGAAGTAGGTGTGCACTGAGTACCAGTAAAGGTGCTTGTGCAAGTGGCCGGGCCCGTGGGAACAGGTCCGGTAGACTCACCAGGCAAGGTAGCAGAAGGTACACACTGGCTACCAGTGAATACGCTTGTACACGTGGTAGGAACAGGACCGGTGGTCTCTGGTACCGTGGTAGCAGGAGTGGACGATGCGGGAACCGTGGTGGCGGGAGTTGAAGACTCGGGGACCGTGGACACGGGACCTGTGGGAGTAGGCGTGCACTGGGTACCAGTCAATGTGCTTGTGCAAGTGGCTGGGCCCGTGGGAACAGGTCCAGTAGACTCGCCAGGCATGGTAGCAGAAGGTGTGCACTGGCTACCAGTTATGACAGTTGTGCATGTAGTGACAGGCGAGGTAGTGGGAACTGGACCAGTGGTCTCGGGCGTGGTAGACTGGCCAGGCGTGGTGGTAGGAACCGGGCCTGTAGACTGGTTAGGAGTGGTCGTGGGAGCCGGACCAGTGGTCTCAGGTGTGGTTGACTGTCCAGGCGTGGTCGTGGGTTTAGGAGGACACTGGCTACCAGTCAATGTGCTGGTACACGTGATAATCGTGGCAGGGCCCGTGGGAACAGGTCCGGTAGACTCGCCAGGCATGGTGGGAGCGGGTGTGCACTGGCTACCAGTCAACACGGTTGTACATGTCGTCACAGGCGTGGTGGTAGGAACCGGGCCTGTAGACTGGTTGGGAGTGGTCGTGGGAGCCGGACCAGTGGTCTCAGGTGTGGTGGACTGTCCAGGTGTGGTGGTAGGTGTGGGAGGACATTGGCTACCAGTCAAAGTCTTTGTGCATGTAATGATGCTAGGAGCCGGGCCGGTAGGATTAGGTCCAGTGGACTGGCCAGGAGCTGTAGGGACAGGTCCACAGTCGCTACCAGTTACGACGGTTGTGCAAATAGTAGGCGTGGTAGTAGGAACTGGGCCAGTAGTCTGGGGTCCGGTAGTCTCAGGAGGACCAGTGGTTTCTGGGCCAGTAGTCTCGGGAGGACCAGTAGTCTCAGGACCGGTAGTCTCGGGAGGACCAGTAGTCTCAGGACCGGTAGTCTCGGGGGGACCAGTGGTCTCAGGGCCAGTAGTCTCAGGAGGACCAGTGGTCTCAGGGCCAGTGGTCTCGGGGGGACCAGTAGTCTCAGGGCCAGTGGTCTCGGGAGGACCAGTAGTCTCAGGGCCGGTAGTCTCTGGCGTTGTGGTAGGAACAGGGCCAGTAGTCTCAGGGGGACCAGTGGTTTCTGGACCAGTAGTCTCGGGAGGACCAGTAGTCTCAGGGCCAGTAGTCTCGGGAGGGCCGGTGGTTTCTGGGCCAGTGGTCTCGGGAGGACCAGTAGTCTCAGGGCCGGTAGTCTCTGGTGTTGTGGTGGGAGCAGGGCCGGTAGTCGAGGGTCCAGTAGACTGGTTGGGCGTGGTAGTAGGAGCAGGTGGGCACTGGCTGCCAGTCAATGTCTTGGTGCAGGTAATAACCGTGCTGGTAAGAGCTGGGCCTGTAGGAGCCGGGCCCGACGGGGAAGATCCCATTCCAGTAGACTGGCCAGGCGCGGTAGTGGGAGCAGGTCCGCAGTCGCTGCCAGTTAGCACAGTTGTGCAAGTAGCAGGCGTGGTGGTAGGGACAGGGCCAGTAGTCTGGGGACCAGTAGGGACGGGGCCAGTAGTCTCAGGGCCAGAGGGCTGCGGGCCGGTGGTCTCGGGGCCAGAGGGTTGCGGGCCAGTGGTCTCGGGGCCGGAAGGCTGCGGGCCGGTGGTCTCGGGGCCGGAAGGCTGAGGGCCGGTAGTCTCAGGGCCGGAAGGCTGGGGACCGGTGGTTTCAGGGCCGGAAGGCTGGGGGCCGGTAGTCTGGGGACCAGTAGTCTGGGGGCCAGTAGGGACGGGGCCAGTAGTCTCAGGGCCGGAGGGCTGAGGACCAGTAGTCTCAGGGCCGGAAGGCTGGGGGCCGGTAGTCTCAGGGCCAGAGGGCTGAGGGCCGGTAGTCTCAGGGCCGGAAGGCTGAGGACCGGTAGTCTCAGGACCGGAAGGCTGAGGTCCAGTGGTCTCAGGGCCCGAAGGCTGAGGGCCGGTAGTCTGGGGACCAGTAGGGACAGGGCCAGTGGTCTCAGGGCCGGAAGGCTGAGGACCAGTAGTCTCGGGGCCGGAGGGCTGAGGTCCAGTGGTCTCAGGTCCGGAAGGCTGAGGACCAGTGGTCTCGGGGCCGGAGGGCTGAGGACCAGTAGTCTCGGGACCGGAGGGCTGAGGACCAGTAGTCTCAGGGCCGGAAGGCTGGGGACCAGTAGTTTCAGGGCCGGAGGGCTGAGGTCCAGTGGTCTCAGGGCCAGAAGGCTGAGGACCAGTGGTCTCGGGGCCAGAAGGCTGAGGGCCAGTGGTCTCGGGACCGGTAGGCACAGGACCAGTTCCGGTAGGAGCAGGCGGGCAATCGCTACCAGTCAACGTCTTTGTGCATGTGACCACGCCGCTGGGAAGAACTGGGCCAGAGGTGTAGGGGCCAGTTGACTGGTTAGGAGCTGTAGTGGCAGCAGGTCCACAGTCACTGCCGGTCACGACGGTTGTGCAAGTAGCTGGCGTAGTGGTGGGAACCGGGCCAGTCGAAGCTGGGCCAGTGGTCTCAGGGCCGGAGGACTGGGGACCGGTAGAGGCTGGGCCGCTGGACTCTGGTCCAGTCGAACCCGGACCAGTCGAGCCAGGACCAGTCGAACCCGGACCGCTAGACTCGGGACCCGATGAAGCAGGCCCGGTAGGCACAGGCCCAGTGGAAGACGGCGTCACGGTGACAGTGACAGTAGGCGGGGCAGAGCACTCAGACGGAACACCTGTTCCGGGAAGAGTAGGTACACCGGAATTGCTGGAAGCGGGCACGCTTGATCCGGGAGCGCCGGACGAGCCTGGGGCGGACGATGCTGCAGATGTGCCAGGGCCGGCGGTAGAGGCAGGCGGTGCGACCGAAGTAGAAATGGGGGGCGGCACGGGGATGCAAGGCTCCGTAGAAATGAGCACCTTGGCCTCGTACACGGTCAAACGACCGCGGCCGCCGCAAGATACAGAGCTGTCTCCGTGGCAAGGGATGTTGCACTGCGAGGCATCGACAGCCTGGGTGGCCGGGTTCAGGAAAGAGCCGCACCAGCATTCACCTGATGTAGAATGTTAGCACGTGAGATAGAAAAGATGTTTTTAAGCTTGTTTCGAACGATGGGGCCCTACCTCCAAACTCGGTTCCGGCATAGGCAAATCCGTTGGCCTTGCAGGCAGCGATACATGACGAGGGTGTGATGGAAGCCGAGTCGACGTTGACGGGCCAGGACAGGGTCCTTCCCTTGTTCGTGTCGTCAGTGTAGCAGCCAATAGCCTTGTAATCATCACCAGAGACCTCCTCGGGCTTCTTGGGGTAGGTCTTGTCCTCCCAGACGGACAGCGTCGAGTCTCCTCCACACTTTTGAGCGTTGTTTCCACTGCAGGGATACGAGCATGAGCCCTCGTCTGCGGGCGAGCCGCCCAGGGTGTTGCCACAGAAGCAGATGCCATAGTACTTGAGGCCAGCGTATCGGAAACCATTTCCTAGTGCAAAACATGTAAGCGTTTCGTGCCTGTGACACGAACTGTCGGGGAAGCATAGAGGCCAAACACACCCTTACAGACGGCACCGCACTTCTCAACCGTCATCTGGCCCTGATCTTGGTTCGATCGCATGATGAGAGCCGAGGGGCTGCCATCTTTGACACAGCCAACGTATTCAAGCGTTTTGCATTCCTGGCCGCAAGGGGGCACCTCAATGTTGTGTGCCAAAGCCACATTGGCGAAGCCAGCGGCTAGCGCGGCCACGATCAGAGACCGCACCATGGCGAACTATCTAATGAAACGAATGTAGCAAGGTTCGGGGGGGGGATGGAAGCGAGAGGAATGTGCCGTGTTGGCAAATGTGAATTATACAGATGAGTTTCCGACAACCAGAACGCAACGACAAGGGAATATATATATATGCTGGAAAAGCACGGCGAAAAGGCTTGTTTGCATGCTATCTTTTCTTCTAGTCGAAAATAGCGGCCATGAAGTCATCGCACAGACTCGAGCTGCACAATCTCAGCTCAGTCCATCGACGCCGAGGACGGTGAGCTCATGGCGCTGGACCAGGATGCCGTCGATGCGGTGGGTGTGACTGGCTCCATGTTTACCATCATGTTGCCAAATTGGGCGTCGAGCAGCCCGCCCTGGGAGCCGATGCCTGCGCAAAGTCTAAATCCAAGGAAACAAAGCCCGCGATCGCTTCAAGCCGATTATCCTAGGGCGCTCTCGCAGCAACGCATGGCCAGGCCTGAAACACTAGGTAAGATTGGAAGGATGGCAAGGGCTGGGCCATCGCTCGTGACCGGGCGCCCGCGATCTGGTGTCGATGGCAGATCCCGGTCCCGAGCTGCAAATATAGCTTCGCTGTGCGCCACCGAACTGCTCTCGGGCGCCCGTTCCTGGGCCGATTAAGGTTCGCGAGTGGGCCGACCTGCAGAAATATCCGATGTCCCGAACGCTTGGACGTCCAGGCATGGTAAGGAACAGGAAAAACCGCCAGCTAGTGCGAACGCCTGTTCCTGGCTAGTCGAGCGAACGGCTCCACGAACCTGACACGGATCTCTTAGCGCACTTGGCACAGTCTTGATCAATCTGCCCGTCAGTCCTACCACTGTTTTATCCTCAGCTTGTGCTCGGCGCATCCGACCGTGCCTTGTGCTCCTTGATGGAGTTGCCATGGCCAGATTTCTATCGCCCGAATCCCTAGCCCAGACGAAAAGTCTCACCATGGCCTGCGTGCAACTCTGTCCGCTGCGAAGCCCAGTTTCATCCAGTATATACAATCCCTTCGGGACGAACAACGGAGACGAACCAAACGAGGGGATGAATCGCGGGTGTTTGATACATGTCTGCAGATGGGAATTTGCTGTGGAATGCGTCTGGTCCGGGCATTTATAAAATGATCCTGTGTCGAGTCGTCCAAAAAAAAAATTAAGAATAAAAATAAAAATTAAAAAAAGGGCAACACAAGGCGTGTGAAGTTGTCAACACAGCCCTCGAGCCCAGGAGTCCCAAGTCCATTGTATAATTCACGCAGAATACGACCTCCTGCGTCACCCTAATGCGGCCATTGGTTCTCACCCTGGTCCTTGGACTGGCCTCGGCCGCCGTCCAAGGAAACTTTCAGCCGCCCAATAGTGGCATTCTCCAAGAGAGAACGCTGGGCCTTGACGAAATCCTTGGAGATATTTCTTCCGGCGGGCTCCTAGGCCTCAAGGCCCAAAAGATTGCCTTCTTGTGCAAGTTGGTGGATAAGGCGGAGAGCATTGCCGGGTTTGTTGGCGGCCTGAAGCTTGAGAGCCACTTGAAGAAGAAGCTCGAGTTTTTCCTCAAGGACAAGTGCAAGGTGAGTCCCTTTTCCATGACGCAAATATCAACTCGAGGCCGGGAGCTAAAGTGTGTGATGCGTCCGCAAAAACACAGAAAACCACTCAGACTCAGCCACCACCATCAACTTCTGTGCCGCCGCCCGAATCCCAAACTTCCCCTTCAACGACTTCTTCTCCTCCAGAGACATCATCACCAAGCACACCTCCCCCAGAAACAAAGACGACTCCCCCAGAGACAAAAACGACTCCTCCAGAAACAAAGCCGACTCCTCCAGAGACAAAGACGACTCCTCCAGAGACAAAGACGACTCCTCCAGAGACAAAGACGAGCCCTCCTCCGGAAACAACACCACCCAAGGAGACCACCCCCACCCCGGAAACGACGCCTCCCAAAGAAACTTCTCCCCCGGCACCACCTACAGAAACTACCCCTACCCCGGAAACAACGCCTCCCAAGGAAACTCCTCCCCCCCCGGCTACAACTCCCGAGACAGAGACGAGCCCTCCTCCGGGAACAACACCGCCTGAAGAGACATCTCCCCCAACACCACCCAAGGAGACCACACCCGCTACCCCGGGAACGCCTCCCAAGGAAACCTCTCCTCCTCCAGGAACTACACCTCCCAACGAGACCACCCCGGGAACAACACCTCCCAACGAGACATCTCCTCCTCCGGATACGACGCCTCCCAAAGGCCCAGAGAGCAGCTTCATCACCAAGACAACACCCAATAACAGCCCTCCCCCGGTCACGTTGCCGCCACCCACACCAACCACTGCACCGCCGATCACACCGACCATCACAGAATGCATCGACGTCACCACTGCCATTCCCCCATGCGCCACCGGCTGCTTCTCCTCGGCTGGCTCCCAGGTCGGATGCAGTGATAAGGACTTTGGGTGCTTCTGCAAGCCCGGCTCGCAGGAACAGTTGTCCATGCTTGTGCAACAATGTGTCTCGACTGCCTGTCCGCCCGAGTCTGCCACGTCTGTCAGCATGGGCGTCAGCTCAGTGTGCTCCTGCTTCCCCAACCCGCCCGTTCCAACAAACACCGGAGTGCCTCCCACACCGTGTACTCCGGGAAGCGGCGACGATTGCACCCAGACCAAGCCTCAGCCCGAGCCCACTACCCCGGGTGTCCCTCCAGGTTGTACTGGCGGTGAAGGCGACTGCAGTGCAAGTCCACCCAAACCAGGTGTCACGACGACCCCGTCGCAAGGAATGCCGTGCCCCATTGTAAATGGCACCGGAATCGACTGTACGAGACCGACTTCGCCTCCAGTCGTTACGGCTGCAGCAGACAGGTTCAGTTTCGGCCTTGGTGGGTGCGTCCTGGGAGGCGCTGCGTGGCTCGCTCTGGCTCTGTAGAGGCTGCCGGACATGTCATCCGAGTCCTGGAGACTTGTGTAATTAATTCCACAGTATACCACGTGTTTTTTTCCCTTTTTGCTAGTTGCCACATAGAGGCTTGTCGAAGCCAAAATAATAGAATCACTTATTCTCGCGATTCAACCCTGGCTATGTCCCAGGAATCCGCCCAAGGCACGCAAAGGACATGATTTGTGAGCTGCGGCAATACATCTGTGCACTCGAACTGGCCGGGCCGTGTGGAGCCTGCAGTGGGCAGATTGTAGCACAAGTTTGAAACAATAAATGCCCGGTTTGTAGCCGTCGGCAGTGTTTGTTGCTGTGTTGGTAGTTGTGGCGGTTTTTCCTTTCGTCACGCAGCTCAGCTGCCCAAGTTACATGGACTGGGCTAGCATGTTTTTTTTCTGCCGATCACTGTCGTAGCTGTTTTGGATTTGCCCCTCGGCAGAGGCAACGGATGCCGGGGACAAGGGGTCACTGGTAGCTTTTTGAGTGCCTTGCCATGAACTTGGCTAGCGTAAGTTGGTTGTTGCCGCTTGCTTGCTCACATGAGGCCGTCCCCAAGTAGTATCTGATTTGGTCAAGACATGTCATCAGCAGCTCATTGATAAAAAGGTGGCTGAAGCTACTCACGCGCAAATGTATCATAACCCGCGTGAATCGTGAAAGCCCGTCCGCTGCAGGCGACCCCCGGAGGGCAAAATGAATGAAGGATGTGAGAAATTTGATGGCTATTACAGCTAGCCTTGTAGCAGCTTCGATTAACCCGGCCAAAAAACTCAAGCTTTCAATTGAGCGTAGCGGCAGCCCAAGCGGTCAGAATGTAGTGGCTTCAAAACGCCCAGATTTGGCGGCCTTGAAGCATTGAAGGCTTGGTTCCAGTACCAGCAGTAGTCTGACGGGCCGAGGTCAAAGCTTATAAAGACTCGAGTCTGCAGCAGCAGCCCGAGGGGCCTCAGCCGTTGATGGCTTCAAGCTTGGCCATTTCCGCTTTCCCTACCCAGTCAACAACATGTCGTTGGCATTTCGTTTCCAGCGCCACTGAATCCCTGCAAAAGTCGCCAAGACGAGTGTCGACAAAAATGACGGCCATGACAGGATCTACCAGAGGACATGTAAATGTCCATGAGCGACGTCTGCGCAAAGTGAGGCCAATCATGCAAGGTATTTAGGGTAGGAGATGCGGTGGGATGTGCGACCAATTCCCTCGCACACCGCGGTGCGGGTGGCTGTGGTCCATGTCACGTGAGCATCCGGCATGGCACCGCACCTCTCCGTCCGTCTCCACAGACGCGGCCATCAATCGCGAGGCTGAAAGCTGCTTCGCTTGGTGATGGGCAAGTGGGGCTCACCAATTTGTTGTGCGTTGCCTGGTGCCAGCCTGTCAATGTCTTGCAAACCGCTGCCAAAGCCAAGGGGGCATTTTTGCTGGGGCCAGCTTCAACCTCCTTTCATCAACGTCGGTACCAGGGCTCATCAGACCTCGACGTCAACCTCGGACTGCTGCTCGAGGTCTTTTTTTGTCTTTGCACCTCTTCTTCGTCTCACGCACTCTGCAGCCATGAAGAACAAGCCGGACCTGGAGGGTGACATCACCTACATCAAGACGCCCAAGGCGGCGCCGTCTGCCTTTGAGGCGGTCGATTGTGGCGTGCCCATCACTCACGTAAATTTTCTTCCAGACTCCCTCCCTCCCAGCCCACGAAACCACCTCAATGGCCCTGTGCTAACTGCGAATCAAGTCTCCGTCCATCCACAATGCCCCTCTGCCGGCCGAGGGCGCCGGGAGCGAGGGCTTCTCCAACATTGTTCTGGGGGTCCTCCTGGTGGGCGTGCCCTACTTCCTGAGCCGCTTCGTGGGCGGCGGCCTCAAGACGACCGTCTTCTTTGGCATTCTCACGCTTTTCCCCATTCTCATTGCCTACTGGACCTACATGTCCAACTTTAGCCCGCGCATCAATGAGCATGTCAAGCTGCCTGGCCGCCCCGTTGAGTCGTACGTGACCTTCAAGGATGCCGCCGACCAGGCCAAGTGGAGCGGAGCCAACAAAGTGCCCATCCAGACCTTTTCGGAAATGTACATTGATGGCAAGGCTGATTTCAAGGGCGACGTCTTGGACGTGCTCGAGTACCGCCACGACTGGTCCAAGTTCAGCTTCACCTGGGATCTGTTCAAGTACATTTTGCTCACCTTTGGGCCCGACGTGCTCTTCCACACCAAGGACCAGGACATGGAGCAGATCCGCCCCAACTACGATTCCGGAAACGATCACTATGCCTGGTTCCTCGGCCCCCGCATGATTTACACCAGCGGCATCATCTCGGACACGACGCGTGAAGAGACGCTGGAGGAGCTCCAGGACAACAAGATGGCCATTGTGTGCGAGAAGCTCGAGCTCAAGGAGGGCGAGACCCTTTTGGACATTGGGTCGGGATGGGGCACGCTGGCCAAGTTTGCCAGTGTAAACTACGGAGCAAAGGTTACCGGCATCACCATTGCCGAGAATGGCGCCGCCTGGGGCAATGACGTGCTGAGAAACGCGGGCGTTCCCGAGGAGCAGAGCCGGATTCTGTGCATGGACTACCGGGACGCCCCCAAGCAAAAGTACAACAAGATCTCGCAGCTTGAAATGGGCGAGCACGTCGGCGTTCGAAAGCTCACCACCTTTTTCCGCCAGTGCTACGACATGCTCGAGGACGACGGCGCCATGTACGTTCAGCTGTCTGGTCTCCGACAGGCCTGGCAGTACGAGGATTTCATCTGGGGCCTGTTCCTCAACAAGTACATCTTCCGAGGCGCCGATGCTTCGACACCCCTGTGGAATTACGTCCGGTCGCTCGAGAGCGCTGGCTTCGAGGTCAAGAGGTTCGTGACGCCCGTCTTTGTCGGCAAACATGGGAGGCAAACATAAACTGACCAAAAAATACAGCGTGGATACCGTCGGCGTGCACTATTCCGCCACTCTCTGGCGTTGGTACCGCAACTGGGTAGGAAACGGCGATGCCATCACGGCCAAGTACGGCCAGCGCTGGTACAGAGTATGTTGACCCCTTGCCCAATTTTTTTTTAATCCTCCGATGCAGCGACTGACAAGGGTGCAGATTTGGGAGCTTTTCCTCGCTTGGTCCGTCATTGCCTCCCGCCAGGGAAGTGCCACGTGCTTCCAGATCCTTGTCGTGAAGAACCTCAACTCGGTCCACCGCATCAACGGCGTCGGATCACAATTCGGCCTGTCTGGAGCTCTGGCCACCAGCCGTGCAGCCGGCAAAGCGTCTCTCCCCAAGTAAGATTTAAGGTCGGTTTGACGCCCTTGGCGTGGCTCAGTTGACCAGATGCCGTGCAACAAGTTTGGTCTACTTTTTTTTTTTCTAAAAAAAAAAAGGCTAAGAAAAGAAGCGATCAGAGGGAGCAAGGCCATGGATCTCGCATGAGGTGAGCGAAATGAGGAAAATGAAAATATAGAGCTATCTGGTTGCTTTCAAAATTTAGAAACGTGCTAGTCTCACTGGGCGGCTACATTTGTGATGAAGGGTTCGTTTCATTATATAGACTGAGATGGCGCAAATGGGCGCGCAACAACGGTGCATCACAACCGGCGCACTGGCAATGCAAGCTATAATATTTCTCTCAACCACGCCTTGATCTTTTTGCCCTGCAGTGTTTCTGTATTGTCCCCAACGTAGATGTTGTACACGGGAGCAACATGAGCTTCGCGGTGTCCTATAAACAACTCCACGTTGGGCAGCGCGGCCTGGTGCCCGTGTCAGCGCAGGGAACTGGTTCGCTTGGCGACGAGCAAAAACAACTTGACGTACCTTGAGGTTGTCTGCCAGCTCCTCAATGGCAGGCAGCAGGATCTCGTTGCCGCCGCCGAGTATCAGGACTCGCTTGAGGGGGAAGGCGGCGAGCCAGCTCCGGGGCGCCGTCGACGCGCTCGTAAAGTAGTCCTTGTCGGCGCCGCCCAGGAAGGCTTGGGACCAGGGCCCGTCGACGGCGGGCGTGATGAGGTCGCCGCCGTGGTAAATGTCGCGGTCGCCGTGGTCCTCGCCGATCAGGGTCCAGGGCGCGATGCCGACGGCGCCGGCGAGCGGCTCGGCCACCTCGAGCCTGCGGATGGCCGGGTGCCCGTGGGCGAGGTGCGACAGCACGCCCATGACGAGGTTGCCGCCCGCCGAGTCGCCGCCGATGAGAACCTGCGCCGGCGTGCGGCCCGTCTCGTCGAGGATGTAGCGCAGCGCCTCGACGGCCTGCGTGAGCTGCGTCGGGTACGCCGCGCCCGGGGCCAGCGAGTAGGTCAGCACGAAGACGGCCAGCTCCTGGCCCGCCCGGTGCGACGATGCCACCAGGCTCTGCAGGAACTTGAAGTATCCCAGGTTGGCGGGCAGGCAGAAGCCGCCGCCTTGATGTCGGGCGTGTCGTCAGCCATTCGGTTCAAAGTGGAAGGGGGGAAAGGGGCACGTACCGTGGTACCAGACCAGGACGTTGGCCGCGTCCTTGTTCCCGAGCCAGTGGCCGTGGGCGCCGGCTCCCAGGGCTACCGTCTCGGGCTTGATCTTGGCGGAGCGCGCATACTGCTTGTACACGACGTCGGTCAGGGGCGAGACGAATCTGGGAGGGTTGCGTGAGAAGCTTGTACGGGTGCGCGGAGGGAGGGGACGCCGGGCTCACTGCAGTTGAAGAGGCGTCAGTCTGGTCGTGGCCTTGCGCAGCACGGCGTAGGCAATGTGAAGATGCAGGCTGGGCGCGTCTTTTTGGCCCCGGAACAGGCCCGTCAGCACGGCAAGCAGGCCGGCGGCGACGATTGAGACGACGCCGGGGAGCAGATCGAGCATGCCCAGGATGGACAGCTTTGTACCCGTCTTGGACGGCATGTTGGCGCGCGTGCCGATTGGTGTCGAGTTTTGTTACACGGGGGTTTTTGTCTGTTTTTTTTTTTTGCAACAAGGTGACTCTTGCTTTCAATGTTGGCGCGCAGACCACAGCTGGGGTTATAATTCCTGCACCGAGCGGCGATCCCAGTCAACTTGTTTCGCACGTCTGTGGCCAATGGGATATTGTGTCCGCCGCAAGGGCCGCGCTCACCTTGGTTAAAACAACAGCCAAAGAGTTTACATTTGACGACGGGGCCACAAAGAGCCGACATGAAAGCTTTCGTGCCTCGGATGCGGCATCATGGGTGGTGCCGCGGCTCCGTCTGGGGACATGGAACCGCAGCGCCCCGCAGGAACGGCCGCCCGAGCGTGCTGGACGTCCAACGGACCGGATGAATCGTGTCAACTGGTCTCTTTTTTTTAAATTTGATCAGTTTAATTGCAGGGGTAAAGGCTGGTTGTGTGCCACAGGACGAGTCCATCTGGGTGCGGTGAACGGTTCCACGAGTCGCCGCCCTTTTCATCTCGCGATGGTCCCATGTCTTGGGTTAACGTCTGGTGTCATGCCGCGACATCGGATGCTGATGGACAAAGCCAGAAAATCCGGGGTAGCAGCCGTCCCAGGACGGTCCCCGTGGTGCTTCGTCGGTTTCACAATTGCTGTTTGTGGAAGCGAGGAGTGCCTGCAGGCCACCGTCTTGGGATGGAAACGTCTTCTCTGCAGTAGATACGCCTCAGCCCCTTTGTTCCCATTGACTCGGTTGATTGAGCCGGCCGTGGACCCCCACCAGCCTCCGCACACCTCGTGGGATCAATTGATATGAAAGCACCCATGTTTGCGCGCTCTGTGCTCCCGGGTAGGCGCCTTGATTTCGACCCAGGGAACTCGTGCTGGTTGCTCTTTATTAATTTATTAAGAACAGCACGTCAGACAGGGTACCATGCATAATTCTACACCCCCGAATACATCGTTGCGATTGGACCTGGGCCACATGTCCGCCAGTCCTTTACAAGCGGCACTGTGGTTTTTCGATGCAGTTTCATGCTTTTGCCAGTTATCAAGCCCATCTCTTTAGCGGCCAAATGGCCCGTGGGGCCTCCTCTGCCATACAATTTTCTTAGGTAAGCGACATCTGGAGTCTCCACGAGCCATTTGGCCGCTAAAAGAGATGGGTAGACCGATTTTGACATCTTTACATCTTTCCACGCGACAAGGACGCCCCGGCAGGTAGGCCGGACACCCCTGTCCATGCCGACATATCGGGACGGGCTTTGGCAACATTTTTATTATTATTTAGTACCTTGCTACTGTTTGCAGCTCGCAATGGATCCGCGCCCTGTCGATGCCGTGCCTCTCCAAAAACTCTACAAACTGCACCGTGATATTCTCCGCCCCGCAGACAAAGTACTCTGTGCACTCGTTGCGGAGGAACAAGTCGTCGGGCCGCAGAGAAACCAAGTCGAGCCGGGCGTCGTCCTGCCCGTCGCAGTCGGCCGACGCGTGCCCGTCGTGGGCGATGCCGAGGGTCGTGTTCCTCAGGTTCCTCCTCCGGGCGGCCAGCGAGTCGACGCGCGCCTGGAACGGCATGGCGCCCTGGGACGCGTTGATCCACGAGACGGGCCTGGCGGGCTGCTCCTTGGCGGTGAAGTTGAGTATCGACAGCATGGGCGTGGCGCCGATGCCCGTGGAGAAGAGGACCAGCGGCGCGTTGGACAGGTTCTTGGTGTCGAGGAAGATGTGCCCTGCCGGGTGGGACAGCTCGAGCGTGTCGCCGGCGACGGCGCTGTCGATGAGGTGGTTTGACACGGCGCCGGGCGGGCTTGCGTACGGACAGGCTGACTGGTGCTGCTCGTCGTCGTCGGCGGCGGCGGCGGCGCCCCGGTTCCTCTGCACCGTGATGCGGTAGTAGTCCGGGTTGGGCGCCTCGCTCAGCGCGTACTGCCGGATCTGCTTGTGCTCCTTGCCCGGGACGGCGACGCGGATGGAGACGTACTGGCCCGGCATGAAGGGCGGCAGCGGCTTCTTGTCCCGGGGCTTGAGGTAGAAGGAGACGACGTTTTCGCCGTCGTGGACGCGGTCCGCAATGTCAAAGGGCCGCCAGTCGGTCCACGGCCCAAACGTCTTGTACAGCTGCTTCTCCCGGGCGATGAACATGTTTGCCAGCATCCAGTAGGCGTTGTTCCAGGCCATTTTGGCGTCTGGCGTCATGGACGGGTCCAGGATGCCCGTGAAGGCCTCGAGGAGGTAGGCGCCCATGATTTTGTAGTGATGGGGCTGCACGCCCACGGAGCAGTGCTTCTGGCAGATGCGCTCCATTTTGGGTATCAGCTCGTATATGTGGCTCACGTTGTTGGCAAACTGGATGATGAGCGAGGCCATTGCCTTGGGCTGCAGCTTGTTGAGCTGGTTGGCCGTGTTGAAGTAGCTCCGGAGCTCGGGGTGGCCGCGCAGCAGGCTTTGGTAGAAGGATGCGATGATTTCTTCTCCGCGGGCGTTGAGCGCCGGCACTGTGGCGCGAATCTTTTGGCATTGTGAGTAGGTCAACGCCATGGTCGACAGAGCGGCCAACGGGCGATGTGTTGAAGAAAAAAAAAAAAAAAGAAAGGAGCCGGAAGAAAGCGACAACTGCCCGACTTGATATCACAGACTTGGTGGTGACGACACGTTAGAGCTCGAAAGGGCCAAAGCGGAGGGGAGCATTGAATAATAGCGGCCGTCAACTAATGGATTGCCCTCATTGATATTTTATCCTTTCTGGAATCCCAAAAAAGAAGACAAAAAAGAATGCTTACACTACCCCGGCATTTTAATCTTGACATGACTGCGCATGCCCGCGTCGCCTTCAGCCTCGCCGTTTGTATCCACCCAGCATCGTACGAGTCTGTCTCCCGTGATTTCCGGCGGCAACAGGTGATTTGCAGGCGTGGAATTACGTCACGAGAAGAATCAGTCGATGGTCAAGGCGAATACTTGCCGCCTCGGGTGCTTTTTCCCAATTCTTTTTTGCTTTTGCCCCGGCTTGGCCGCTGGCCCACGCAAGATGGAGCGGTCCGCAACGTGGCAAGACATCCCAGGCACGAGGGCTTCGAGACGCTCCAGCGTATCAATGATGGCATCTGCCCAATCCCGGCCGAGGGAAAGCGTGCGAATGACAGCCCAGAGTCTGGTGTACCCGGTTTGAGATTGATACGTCTGCGGTGCCCGATTGGTGCTGTTGCCGTTCATGGCAATATATCTGCTGCAGCCGTCTTCGTCGCTCGTTTCATGACCAAACTTTAATGCCACCACGAGTTTCTCCTTGACGCGCTCGGCATTCTTGATTTGGGAAAACAGTCGCAGTGTGCGCCTGCTTGCCTACATTGCGTTGTGCACACAAGCGTGATGTCGTCTACCGAGCATTGTTTCGTATTCTTGCTAGCCAAACTTTGTCCCCAGCTCATAGCCGATTTGACACCTGCCACATTCCATGTTCCGATGAAAAAGGCCGATGCGGAGGCGCAAAAAGGTCCCGTCGAATTAGATTACGGGGAACAAGTTTCTTCACCCCATCCGCAAAACCAAAATACCACGCCGCTAGCCCGAGTTGGCGTGGAATTCGCAAATCTCGGCCGCAATGCGCTCAGCTGGCCCAAACATCTTTCCAGTCTACTGTCTCCATGCTCTGATACTGGTGGCAAATAAACAGACGCTGTAGTGTTGGTGCAATAGAACTGTGCGTGGACGATGATGCCATGCGTCGACAAGGTGAATGACATGCGACCCTGGCCAATATTGTTGCTTGCCAAGGCACAGCATAAACTCGGTGTGTAAGTGCTCAATTGGGTCGTATGAGAGTGCATCATCTTTAACGCACAGTCCCAAGATAAAATCCGGTATGTTTACTGTACAGCAGAAGCGCCGTCAGGGTAGAATATTGCAACATGTTGAACAGCCAACAGCCGTCCTATTCGTATGTCTGGCCGGTGCTCCAACAAACAGGCCCATGTTATGCAACAATTAACATTGAAATTGTCCTCATTTCCAATTGATGCCTGGATTAAATGGCTTCGCCGCGACACGGGATAAGCGCTCGGTACCGGACCCTGTTGCGCCCGGACACCTCCCGCATGCCACACCATGCAAGTCTGGTACGACGCGGCAAACAAAAAACTACGTCCCTAGGAAGTCAGCCAGGTTGCCAGGCTCTTGAAAGAGACTCTGCATCATGCGCCTGGGCAGGTAACCAAGGCGGCAGCCTAATCATCACGTCCAGATGTCCTGATATTTAGTAATTTACCAAGAGGCTACTCCGGAATAAGTTCGGAACAAGTTACCTAGGTACATGTACAGTTACGCCGTTCATACCAACGCAGATCAGGATCCACACGTGGGCAGCCTTGAATTTGCACTTCTTCCATGTTGCAATTGTTGCAGCAGCCAGTCTCGCGGAGACGACTCACCTGCACCGCCATGCCATGAGACATACAGAGTAGACGCCGCCGTCTTCAATGTCTCGATATCCACGCCGACTCTGCCGGAAGACAGGGGCAGCAGCGCCGCAGATGGCGGCTACTCATGCCATGCAGTAGCGTGCGTGCAGCCATGCTGTCCAGACGGAACGGCCATGCTGTGCAATTTACCTTCTGGCCTGTCGGAAGAAGCAAAAAAAAAAAAAAACCTTTGTCTCCTCCCATGGATGGGACGGGAAGCAGTTTGTTTCGCGACCTTTTGTCGTGGCTCAGACAGACATGCCAATCGTACTCTTGCCAAAACGCCTTCACCATCCAGCTCCAACGTGGCTTGACGATGGCAACCGCCGTCGCCGTCTTCGAAATGCAGATCTGCGAATCGGGCCCCCGTTGCTGTCATCTCGGTTGCATTTAGGCAGGCCAAGGTTTGAAAGGGCCAGCCACACTGCAACGCCGACGCACGAAACTGGCCTAGCACCGGCCATAATTCGCCCCCCTGATGGCCCAGAGGCCGACGAGTCGAGGGAAAACCGCAAAGAAGCAAGCTCATGGATCGAGGCATCATTCCAGTTGGCCGCCGGGGGGGCTTTCGACTTCTGGAAGCAAAAACAGAAACCTCCGGGCGGCTCTGCTTGCGCTTCTGTCAACGTCAACTACCACAAGGTTCGACGGGGCACGTTCGGCCAAAGCAACAACAAACACGTTTCCGTCCGTCCTTCGCCATGACATGATGTGAGGTTGATTGATGGAGAGCAAAACCACGCGAGATTTTTTGATTGGCATGCGGCTTCTTCCATTGGCACCATTGACTCCTGTGCAGCCGCAATGAGCGTCGACGCCGGCCGAGGGCTGCCGGCCACGGACACGTCGTACAGCTCCGACTGGCTTCTCATCATCGTCTTCATCAGCATCGCCCTCTACAACGTCGTCGAGCTCAACTTTCTCATCGCCACCACCTTCAAGCGCTTCCGGGGGCTCTACTTTTGGAGCTTTACCTGCTCGACCTGGGGCATCGCCTTCAACGCCGTCGGCTACCTCCTGCGCCATGTGCACCCCAACCAGCTCGGCTATCTGCACGCAACGCTCATCCTCGTCGGCTGGTGTGCCATGATCAACGGCCAGTCGCTGGTGCTCTACTCGCGCCTGCACATTGTCATGCACCACCCGCGCCGTCTGCGCTTCGTCCTGGCCATGATCATATTCGACGCCGTCTGGCTGAGCGTCCCCGTCATTGTCCTGGTGTACGGGACAAACTCTGGCGACCCGGGCCCGTTTGAGCAGCCGTACTCCATCTTCGAAAAGCTGCAGTTGAGCGTCTTCTTTGTGCAAGAGGTCATCATTTCGAGCCTGTACATTGTCGAAACCACGCGGCTCCTCAAGATGCAGCGCGGAATCGCCTCGTCGTCGATGCGGCGCGTCATGGGGCACCTGATACTCGTCAACGTCTTTGTTGTTCTCCTCGACGTCAGCATCCTCTGCCTGGAGTTCACCGAGCACTACAACCTGCAGACGGCGTGGAAGGCGCTGGTGTACAGCGTCAAGCTCAAGTGCGAGTTCAGCGTGCTCAACCGCCTGGTCGAGTTCTCCCAGCACCTGCGGGCTGGCCACGACGTGTCCTCGGTCAACTACGATGCGTCGACCGACGTGGCCCTGGAGCGCTATCTGAGGAATGCGTCGCAGGCACCCGCCGGCGCCGAGTACAGCATGCAAGTCACGGCAGAGCGACCCTGCGAGAACGGCCCTCCGGAGATTGTCAAGACGACGGCCGTCACGGTCAGTCGCAGCGGGAGGTCGGCGCCCCCGACTCGCCCGTCTACGGCGGCAGACAGTTCGCTGGGAGGCTGCGCAGCCGACGAGATGCACGACGCCGACGGCACCTCGTCGCTGTCGTCGGAAGCACGGCTGGCGCGGCCATGACGCCCTGCATTGGTTTTGTCTATAGTTGCAATATACGAAAAACTATCACTACGACTATTTCCGAATCTTGCAGATGAAATAAACGATCCGGGCTACGGCGGTTGAATTGTCATCACTGGGCCAAGAAAGGCAAAAAAAAAACATGAAAACCATCTCCCCTCTCTCTGCTGTGCCACAGTGGTAGAGATGCGAGTTGCACCACGAGGTTGGTTCCAAGACCTGCAGCCACTCAGGCCTCACTCATTAGACAGTCATTGGTTAGCTACTGCCTGGCCGACTCCGTATTCAATCTCCTGCCGTCGCTTTTTTTGCTGGTCATGTTGTTTTCCATGGCCAGGCACTGGGGGCAAAAGGCACGCGGCACGGAGCAGCCCTACCAGATTGGTTTGGTGCCAATTCGCTACCGTGGAAACTGCCGGCGCAAATGTACGAGGCATTGAAAAGGGTAATGTCGGTGTGGACTCTGCCCAGCCAAACTCCTCCCACTAAATCCATGCAAGACGACGTAAATCTGCACATCGGCGGGGTTGGCAAGGACAACCAAATCCAACGTTTGACCACAAAGACGGGAGTCGAAGCCGCTGCGAGTTGAATCTTTATTGATAAAAGACGCCCGCCGGCCGGCGTGGCCCAAATCCGACGTCATGCCAGTGTTTGCGGACTACGAGGCCGTGGCATTGATTCCCTTTTCGTTTGGATTCATCTCCCAGGTACTCCTGGGGAGCTACAACATGTCCATCTCCAATATCAGCCTCTTGGCTGCGGCCACCGATGCCGGCTACTTTGCCTCTCTGCTGCCGGCCAACTCGTCCACACCAGCCATCTCACTGCGCGCGTACCACGACGACTTTTACAACCTCATTGGACACGAGGCCAGGGCTCGAAAAGTGTGGGATCTGCCCTGGGAAGCCTTCCACGAGGCCGGCGTCTACAACCGCCGAGACAACTCGCTGTACATTGCCTCCAACTACCAGAGCCTCGAGGACAACATCAACATCACCGTCGTCAGCCTCGACTCGGACGACTACCCATTCTACAGCACCCAGTTCCCCAATCTGGCCATGGCCAACGGCGGCACCACCTACTATCCCCCCGGGTCGCGTCACGACGAGACGACGACGCCCCCGATGCACGTCTACTGCGACGAGGGCGACTTTGAGCACGACTCCAAGCTGGTGGCCGTCGACCCAAACACCAACAGGTCCAAGCCGCTGCTGACCAGCTTCCTCGGGCGCGGCTTCTCGTCGCTCAACGACGTGCGGCAGCACCCGCAGACGGGCGACCTGTGGTTCACCGACGCCGACTACGGCTACTTTCAGCACTTTCGCCCCGAGCCCAGCCAGCCCAAGCAGGTGTACCGCTTCGAGCCCGACACGGGCATCGTGCAGGTCGTGGCGGACGGCTTCGTGCAGCCCAACGGCCTCGAGTTCTCGCCGGACCTGCGGACGCTGTACATTTCCGACACGGGCAGCCAGCAGTTTGGGCGCGAGCCCACGCAGCCGTCCACCATCTACGCCTACGACGTGGTCGACAAGAGACGCCTCGCCAACCGCCGGACCTTTGCGTGGGCCGACACGGGCTTCCCGGACGGCGTGCACTGCGACACGCGCGGCAACGTGTGGGCGGCGTGCGGCGACGGGCTGCACATCTGGAACCCGCGCGGAGTCTTGCTGGGCAAGATCCACGTCGGCGAGATGAGCAACAACTTTGCCTTTGCCCCGGGCAAGGTGTTTGTCTTTTCCAACTCGCGGCTGTGGGTTGTGGAGAATATAAGGGCGCAGGGGAGGGAGGTGTGCCGGGACTTTGGGGTGGGATGCCATTAGACGGGCTTTTTTTGGGACTTCAGAAACACGGAAGGCTTCGGCATTTTGGGGCAACTCACTTCCTTGTACCGTCATTACAGGGGGCTAGACTGCGGCTTGACAACATGGGATTGTTCTGCCACGGGTATGTGATGGCAGTTAGGTGCCTCTCCGGGGCCGTCGGACTGCCGCAAGATGGGCAGCAGCATTTTTCAGCCTACATAGAGCTGACATGTATATACTCGTCTGTACTCTGTACACTGTAGAATACAGCCATCATCAGGACTTTGTGCAATCGGTGCGTGCTAGACTAGTGATATCATGCGGACGAGGCAGCCGAGGCAGTTGGCCAACAACGAGTCCCGTAGGATCCGGATGTGTTTGGTACTCTACAAAAATAGTCCACGGCTGGCTCATCGCTGATAAAAGCCGCAACGGGCTGGTTTCGTCCTGAAACAATCGGGCTGCGCAAACATGAGCCGAAATGGGACATGTGCGGTCACGGCCATGGACAGCAGCAGCAGCTGGCACAAAGTGGACCACGAGAAATGGACGTGCTCTTTGGCATGAATATTTTGGCGCAGTTGGTTGCGGGGTGGCGAAAAGATGGAGTAAGATATAGCACTCGGAAACAGGGACCACATGTGAAGTCAATGTAAATCGCAGGAATTGCGCGAAAAGCAGTCTGGAGGTTGAGCCGTGTCCGTTCATGGCGCAATGTCACGCAGAATGGAGCCGAGATGGGTGCGGGTTCGATGGTTGGCTGCGACCAAGTATGGGGTTGTGGGTTGCGTGTGTTTTTCTGCTTCCCTAGCCTCCAAATCTTCACCCATGATGCTTCTGTCCCCCGCACCAGCACAGACTAACTCAGCGCGAGCGGACTGGCCAGGCGCACCAGACGCAACATTGAAAGTCGAGATCGTCGTCGAGCAAATCAAGGCCCGTGGAATTGCGCACCCCGAGTCTCCCCGCACGTTTGGGGCCTCCCCCGCCTCCATCGACAATCTCCATCTTCCCCATCCATGACCGCTTTCCCCAACAGCCAGATCCAATGACGCGCATCTGAGGCTCGCCGGCATCCAATCGCAAGCTTCGCCGTATCTTTGGCCCTTTTCTGGCGTGCATATTTTTGGACTCGTCCTTGTTGGACGCACCACGACGCTCGCGCGCAGAAACGCACTGGCGCCGCCCACACCTGTCTTGTCTTGTCTTGTTCATCACATTTTGTTCAGCCTCGGTAGCCTCCCTGCCCGTCTTCTTTCATATGCACATGTGGCCGTGTGCCCGTTGTTATAAATGTCCCGGGAGTGCCTGGACCGGCCGTCGAGGAATCCAAACCCGTGTGTATGATCTTGTGGACCACGGGTGCGATAGTTGACATTCTCTTGGCAGACGCGGCGTCCCATTTCCAAAGGACGGGCCATTTTTTCTTTCCATTCTCATTTGTTTTTTTTTTTTTTTTTGGTTTTTTTTTTTGTGGGAGGGAGAAAAAAGTGAAATGCCACCAACCCACCGCAACCCCATCCCGACACGACTCAAACCTCTCTTCACCCTCTACATCTTTGGGACAAAGCCTTTGTAGCTCCTGGCAGTACATTGTCTTTGGACGCCTCTCGCTCCTTGGGAGAAGAAATTAGCGTCCCTCTGTGTGGTGGCACGCTCTGAGCCCCCGTTTTGACGACACGCATGCTAACATTGCGGCCGTGTTAGACTTTCTCCAACTTTGACTACGCTCCATATACATATATTTTTTTCATAGCATTTCCCCGGCATCATCAGAAATGGCATCCCCCATCCCCGACGGCCATGTTGGCAACCTGACTGCTGAGCAGGAGGCCAAGCTCCGCGAGCTCTGGCAGACCGTCTTCAAGCTCTACGACATCCTCCAGGAACACAGCAAGAAAAAGGCGGCCGCCCCGGCTGCTCCGCCGATTGAGGTCGCCTCGCCCAAGAAGTCTCGCTTCGGCCTGTTTGGAGGGTGGAAGGCCGCCCCCGAGGCCCCGGCTGCGCCCGCGATCCCCGAGGAGGCGCTCAAGCTCATCGCCTGCGACGAGGAGGACAAGTTCGGTCTGGTCAAGCAGTTCCAGCAGGTCGTGGCCACGCAGACGCCCGAGTCCCTGCGCGCCATGGTCCTCGGGTCCGTCAAGCACGAGCACCCAGACGCCCTGGCCCTGCGGTTCCTGCGCGCCCGCAAGTGGGACGTGAACCGGGCCCTGGTCATGATGTTCTCCGCCATGAACTGGCGGCACAACGAGGCCAAGGTCGACGACGACATCATGGCCAACGGCGAGGAGGTGCTCGTCAATGACGAGGAAAAGGGCGAGGTCAAGAGCAAGGTGCTGGCCCGCGACTTCATGAAGCAGATCCGCACCGGCAAGAGCTTTATCCACGGCACCGACAGGCAGAACCGGCCCATCAGCTACGTCCGCGTGCGCCTGCACAGGGCCTCGGACCAGTCGGTCGAGAGCCTGGAGAGGTACACGACCTATCTCATCGAGACGGCGCGCCTGGCCCTGAACCCCCCGGTCGAGACGGCCACCCTCATCTTTGACCTGTCCAGCTTCACCCTGGCCAACATGGACTACGTCCCTGTCAAATTCATCATCAAGTGCTTCGAGGCCAACTATCCCGAGTCCCTCGGCGCGATTCTTATCCACAATGCCCCGTGGGTTTTCAAGGGTACGTGAATCCGCTCCTATTGGCGTAACCCCCCCCGTCTTCACCAGCTTCCACTAACACGCCGCCCGGCAAATAGGCATCTGGAAAGTCATCTCTGCCTGGCTCGACCCCGTCGTCGCCGCCAAGGTCCACTTCACCTACGGCCGCAAGGACCTAGAAGAGTTTATCCACCCGTCGCAGATTATCAAAGAGCTCGGCGGCGACGAGGACTGGGATTACGTATATGAGGAGCCCGTGCCCGGCGAGAACGACGCCATGAAGGACACGGCCGCGCGCGACGCGCTGCAAAAGGCCCGCGAGGACCTCGCCGAGCAGTTCGAGGCGACGACGAAGCAGTGGATCGCGAACCCGACGGGCGCCAAGGCCGCCGAGCTCAAGGCCAAGCGCGAGAGCATCGCCGCCCAGCTGCGCGAGAACTTTTGGAAGCTCGACAAGTACGTGCGCTGCCGGTCCCTGTACGACCGCCAGGGCAACATCCGCCCGGGCCAGAAGACTATCTGGTACCCCGAGGCCGCTGAGAAGAACGCCGTCGACAGCGCCGTCCCCGGCGTCACCACCATTGAGCAGATTGAGAATGCTCCCCTCGCGGCCGCCGCGCAGGTCACGGCCTAGACGGGGCGGGCAGTGTACAACAAGACGGGCGAGCTTGGCTCATGGTGGGGACGGCATTTACGACTAGAGGAGGGGGAAAAACGGTTTCTCTTGAGATGCGTACGACTGAATGTTGACGTACAATGACTTTTTTTAACGGTCGAGATCTAGTATTCGAGGTTCTTTTTGTGTATGTGCGTGCAAAGGCATTTGGTTAGCTCAGAACAACAGTTCTATATTACATATCATATATTATACCCTTTTCACGTATGAAATGCGTCGCGTTTCCCCTGTGGCACCCAGAAGAGAGTCGGCTTGTAGTTGAGACATGAACGCCGCGATATGCATGCCATGCCACCGGACGCTAGTTGAAGTGTTTAATCAGGTTGGTGGTGATGGTGGTGCCTTGTCACGTGTATGTGCATCAGACCAGGAGGAAAAGGCACCCTCCTGCCAATTTATTTCCATACTCTGTACATCAGGCCAAACCCTATCACTGTCTGAGCTTGGCCCAACTTCGGGCGACACCACGGCTGGTCTCCCGTCGCTGATGCCCTTGGCTGGCATCTTCCAGACAGGAAATGACTGGAATCATCGTGCCGTCAGCAACAGCTCCACCGTAGCCCCGTATCCTGGGCTCAGTACAGGCTCCTACGACGGCCTCAGCATCAGCAGTCTCCCGCCAATCTCGCGATCGCGGCTGTCGGTTCGTCGTGCCCGAGCGCGTCCCGCATCGCAGCAGGGCCGTGACCGAAGCCGTCGTCTCGTGCACGTCATCACTGCGCACTGCGTCAGCTGCTCCGGCCATGTCGACGACGCTTGTCCCCGTCTGCCGACGACGCGGCGAGGCATTTCCCGCTCGAGGACCGGCGGAATCAAACCGCTCGACACTGGGGAGCCGCCGTTGGCAGGGGTGGGCGTGCCGGCGTCGGGGTCACGACGCAGCAGCGCGTAAAAACATTGACTAAGAGAGTGGGCTGTGCACTCGCCGGTGGTGTGATGTTGGGATACATTTGCCTGGCGCAAAGGGCGTACTGGACGAGGTTCTACAGATGCCGGACGGTTGTGCGCTTTCGATGCTGCGGTGCCGCAGATCAACTCGCAACTGCCGATTTGTGTTTTTTTTTTGTATCGACATGGACCTTGACTTTTTCTTGTGGCTGTTGTCGGCCCAAGCTGGTACAATGCTCTGCTGTCTGGGTCGTGTCGACACTAGTCGGTACGAACCACGCGCATTGTTTGGTTTCCTCTTTCGCTCTCTCTGACATGCCGCAGGTATCTTGGCAGGGGCTGCGTCGTCGGGAGCCGGGCGCATGCAGAAAATGGGTGAGACATGTCCATTAGGCGTAGCCGGTTCGGGTGCTCTCATGTGGAATGCTAAGCCGGGCCCTCGTCTTGCTGCTTTCGTATCACCACCACGACGACATCTCGCATCAAGTCCATCTCCGCAAACCCGCCCTCGTTTCATTACGCCTCCATGCCCTCTGCCGTACCCAGGGGAATCCCGTCGCCAACGGACCAATCTTCAACCGCGTCGTTGTCATGACTAATTCTCGAAATAAGCTACTATCCGAGTGCGGATCCGTTGCTACAGATGATGTGGACCTACATGGGACCACGAGCAAACTCTTCGAGATTCTCTCCAGCTGGGGTCTTCTCCATGTTGGGGTTTGTTGGGGGACAAAGATGGAACAAGAGTCACATTGCGTCCGCAAACGAGGGGAGAGATCCGGCCGTCTTTGGAGAGACAAGCGGGAGGAAAATCTGCATCAACACCAACGTGGCCTGGGTTTGCCAACAATTTGTCTACTCTCTTTTTCTCTCTCTCCTTTTACTTTACCCCCCTTCCCTCTCTTTGCACAAAAACAGCCGAAAATGCGCCTATCCCATCCATCTGGCCCAGAACACGCGCCACACCCCCCTGCCCATCCGCTATCTCTGCCAACATGGAGTCTCCATGACTCGGCTTTCCACGGCCCTCTCAGAAAATTCTTCACGCCCTTTAGATAACGGGAGACCCTCGGGCAAATTGACATTTGTTCGTCGCGCCCAGTCTTTTTAAAGATGTGTCGGCGTCTCTCCCAACCTAGCCTGGCTCCCAAAGCTGCTTCCTCCTTGCCGCTGGGTTGAGGATCGTTTCTCTCGAAGCCTCTTTTGCCCGCCACCCTTCTCGAAAATTCTCTGCCCATCATGGCTGAGCAAATCACCAGCACCCCTGCGCCTGCAACTGCCACTGCCGCCGTCAAGGCCAGCGCCGACTCCGGGAAGCCTTCAGCCGCGACGCCACCGGCGCCGTCCCCAAGCCATCCGCTGGGCCTGGCCGACACCGACATCTTTGGCGAGACGAGCGAGGAAATGGACCAGGACCGCCTGAAGCAGATCGCGGCCGCGGGCAACGCCCATTTCCACCGCCTGGGATGGAAGCGGCTCGCCGTCGTCACCATTGTCGAGGCCGTGGCCCTGGGCGCCCTCAGCCTGCCGGCCGCATACCACACGCTGGGCATGTTTCCCGGCGTCTTCCTCACCATCACGCTGGGCTCCATTGCCATCTTCACGAGCTGGCTCGTCGGCCAGGTCAAGCTCAAGTACCCGGAGACGGCCAGCTACGCCGACGCCGGCAGGCTGCTGCTGGGCCGGTTCGGCTACGAGGTGTTTGGCGCGGCGCTGGTGCTCGAGCTGGTCATGGTGGTCGGGTCGCACGCCCTCACGGGCAGCATCGCGCTCAGCGACCTCAACGACGGCCGCACCTGCTCCATTGTCTTCTCGGCGGTGTCGGCCATCATCCTGCTGATCCTGGCCATCCCGCCGTCCTTCACCGAGGTCGCCATCCTGGGCTACATTGACTTTGGGTCCATTGTGGCCGCCGTCGGCATCACCATCATCGCCACGGGCATCCAGGCGCGTGACGGGCCCGGTGGCCTGTCGGGCGTCGGGTGGTCGGCCTGGCCCAAGGAGGGCGTGACCTTCTCGCAGGCGTTTGTGGCCGTGAGCAACATCATCTTTGCCTTTAGCTTCGCCATCGGCCAGTTCTCCTTCATGGACGAGATGCACACGCCCACCGACTACATGAAGTCCATCTGGGCCTCGGGCCTGATCCAGATTGCCATCTACACCCTCACCGGCGCCCTGTGCTACGCCTTTATCGGCCCCTCGGTCCAGTCGCCCGCCCTCTTGTCGGCGGGGCCGCTCATCTCCAAGATTGCGTTTGGCGTCGCGCTGCCCGTCATTTTCATCTCGGGCTCCATCAACTCGACCGTGGCCCTCCGCTACATCCACGGCCGCATGTTCAAGAACTCGGTCCTGCGGTACATCAAGACGCCGCGGGGCTGGGCGTCGTGGATCGGCCTCGTTACCGTCTTCACCATCGTTGCGTGGGTTATTGCCGAGGCCATTCCCATCTTTTCCGACCTGCTCTCCCTGGCGTCGGCGCTTTTTGTGTCGGGCTTCTCGTTTTGGATCCCCGCCATCATGTGGTTCAAGCTGCTTTGCCAGGGAAAGTGGTATTCCGGGCGGAATCTGCTCATCAGCCTCGGCAGCATCGTGGCATTCGTCATTGGCGCCGTGACGCTTGTTGCCGGCACCTATTCCACCATTGTTGATATTGTAAGTCTGGAAAAAGCCCGCTCGCCTTTTTTTTGCGCGCTTGTTCAGTGGGCTAACTTGGTTTTTTCGCAGATCAAAGAGACGAATGACGGCTCGGCTCACAGCCCATTTGCCTGCCGATCAAGTTGAGAGAGTCGGGAGGTTTGTTCATATAAATCACATGGAGCGTGTACATTACATAGATTTACATATATGCATAAGACGATGGCATGGTGGCAAATTAGAGAACTGGCATTACTACGTTTTTTTTTCTTACAAATTCACTGCATCTCTCCTCCGTAGCCATCACACGTCCTCGAGAACCTCGAGGAACTTGGCAAAGTCGTTTGGCACGCCGAGGCCGGTGATTGCGTCCCATCCCTGCTTGGCCGGCCAGCCACCGGGGCTGACCTTGTCCCAGGTGCACGAGTAGCTCTGGCCCTTGGTGATGTCCTGCAGCAGAGAGGTCACCTTGTCCGAGTACAAGATCTCGTTGAGCCACCCCAGCGAGGGCTTCCCCTTTCTCAGGCGGGCATCGTTGATGAGGGAGATCATGGCTGCGAAGACGGGCGCGCTCGCGCTGGTGCCCTCGATGAGCTTACGGCGGGCGCCAACAATCACCCGGAAGTTGGTCCCCACGGCCGAGATGTCCGGCACGGCCCTCATGCTGGCGTTGTAGTACCCGTCCAGGTGGCCGTTGATCTCCTCGACGTATTTGTCCACGGCGGCCGCCTGCCACGCGGGCCGCTCAAAGTACTGGGAGAAGCCGCCGGAGCTGAAGCTCGCGCCGGAGGGGGGCTCGGCGATGTTGGAGGTGGCGCCCACGGCCGTCACCCACGGACACGACGCGGGAAACGTGGACATGGTGACCTTTTTGTTGGTGCCGTCCTTGGTGCGGCAGTTGCCCACGCGGCCGCCGGCCGAGCCGCCGTCCCCGGACGAGTGGATGATGGAGGTGCCGCGCTTGGTCAGGAGGCCGAGCATGCCGCAGACGCGCTCGGCGTAGGGCCGGGGCACCGACAGCTCGTCGTCGCCGTAGGACACGGACAGCACGTGCGGCACCTCGTCGTCGGGCTTGTCGAGCAGCGCCTGGATGAACTCGAGGTAGGGCTCGTTGTCGAGCTTCTTGCCCGTGACGGGCTTGCCGTCGTCGCCAATCTTCTCGCCGCGGCCGCCGGTCGCGTAGTAGGTGACCTGGGACGGGAAGCCGAGACCCATGACGTACTCGAGGTCGAGCTGGGCCTCGCTGCCGGCCGTGGGCGGTTTCTGGGGGTCGGTGCCGCCGTTGACCAGCTCCACCTTGAAGTCGTAGCGGGGGAGCTCCGGGACCTGCTGCCGGAGGAAGTCCCGGACGTCCGCGTGGTTGGAGTGCTGCTCGAGGTAGCCGCTCACCCCGAGGCGGACCTCGGACGAGTTGCCGGGGGCCTTGTAGTGCATGTTGTACAGCTGGCGCAGGCACTTGGGCGTCACGGTGCCGGAGCAAGCGGCGGTCGCGCGTCGGTCGCGCGCGTCCTGGGCGGGCAGGGGCGTCATGGGCTCCCGCAGCGGCGTCATGAAGTTGGAGATGGGGTTGATGAAGCTGATGGCGTCGGAGAGGTGCGACGGCACCGAGTACTCTCGGGCCCGGACCATGGACACCTTGCCGTCAAACGAGTAGCGCTGCAGCTGGGTGTTGAGCAGGCTCTCGGCGGTGCTGACGGTCGTGTTGACGTGGATCCAGTCGTCCTTTGTCACGGTGTCGTGGACGCCGTTTTCACGGAGCCAGTCGACGACGGCGGCGGCGTCTTTCGGGTCGGGCGCCCGCAGCGTACGGACCTCGTCCAGGGAGAGGTGGCCGGAGCCGCGGGCAAACTTGGAGGCCAGGCGGTGAATCTCGGGCTGTCTCAGGGCAATGGACAGTCTGAAGGGCCGGTCCGGGTCGAGCGAGGCGTCCATCCGGGCCCATCCTTGCGGCAGTTGGGGGACACGCTCGTGTTGGACGAGGTTGGCGGCGGCACTGGCACCGCTCAACAGCCCGGCCAAAACTGCGACTAACAAAGGCATTGTTATTATCATGAAAGAGCCTGGTGTTTCTTGGACGGCCAAACCCCTGGGGCGAAAGAGAAAAGGCCATACTCACGAGCAGTCTTAAATACACTTGCGGTTTCGTGATGACCATGCCTAGCCGAATTGACCTTCACCGTCACCTTCTTCTTTTAGCCCTGCCCGAGCGTTTATCCTTATCATTTGCGGAACGGCTTCAACCGAGTGACGGGACTTACCGTTACATCAGGGGTGGCGCCTGCGGCAAGGCCAGCAAGGACGTCTGCCGACTCGAGCCCTCCGTTCTGCCCTACGCCTCTGTTCAAAGATGTTGTGCTCCATGGCATCATCCACATCCGGCAGGTGCCGAGCGCAACCCCAGTTTGCTCGAATACACTTGGCCCGGCGTCGACGCTCAACCGTAGCTGTCCCCGAAAGGACGGCAGTGCCGAAGAGCAGGACCTCGAGGTCGTCGGTGGTCGGTCGTCTCCGGGCCAGGGAAACAAGGCCGCTGTTTTCGACGGACAAGTTGTCTTTCGGCTCGGAGATGGCGGCAGATGGCTTGACGGAACAGTGTGTTGGTGTTGAGCAGCGTTATACCTCTGGTTCGCCAAGCCACCAGTTCCCAAAGCTGTCGTCGGCGCCAGCGAGGTATTACCGAATACGGCATCCTTTTCTGGCCAAGAGATTCGGAGCTTCGGCATCATTGTGGCACTGGGGGCGTCTCCCCTGCGGTACGTCTGGTGGTCGTGCATGTGCTCTTGGACTATTCTCAACGAGGAAGGCTGCAAAGAAACTACGCCTTACAGCCTCAATAGTTCCCTGGCCTGCATTCGATTACATAACTAGTCGCTCGGGGCAGTCAGATTCTTATCTGCGGCTCCCCATCGACCTGCCGACCTGAGCTACAGACCAACCTCGCGTGCGCGGGACACTGAACTTTTGTGAAGCGCAGCGACGTGGCACCCTGTCGATGGTAAACGTCTCCGATTTCCCTTTAGCACGAATGGTAAAATGCGCAAGTTGTTTATTGCGTGCTGGATAATGGCCAGCTCCGCTTGTGAATGCGTTGGTCAACATCGACGGAATGTAGGCAAGGGCTCAATGCAAAGGCAAGCATGGCAAAATCATACCAGACTCTATTCCGATAATCTGGCAAGGCCTAAGAAAAAGGCCGGAAGAATAAGGTGCACACGCGAGGCTGTGTGCCTTGACGAGATCACGTGACACCCTCCACAGAATGAGCAGAACCATTTCAATTCACAGGTCAATGGTTTCAAACTACACCAACGACCTGAAGCGAGTGGCTACAGGCAGAATCGACAAAAATACAAAGAGCCCAAAGACACTGGGATATCTTCAAAAACCCGCCATGTCGGCAACGCAGCGAATGGATACAAAGCACACGAATCCCACTCTGGCGATCCGGTTCTCCCTCTTCTTCACTCCCCCCAGATGGGCCACACGCCCCCTCTGGAGCGAGTGATGCTGCCAACATTGAAACTCAGGCCTTTTCCGTAGTCCGCTGCTTGGCCTCGTGGTACAGGGGCGGGCATGTCTCGTTTCGGCGCCAGAGGAACCACCTCCTGAACCACCAAGGAAGCACGGTCCCGAGCTGATACTTGGCGTGCGTGCGGTCAGGCACGGCAAAGACGTAATCGAGCTCCTCCAGAGTCTTTTGCTTCGTCTCGGGAACGAACAGGAAGATGAACACAAGAGCCACGAGGTTCAGGCCCGCGTAAAACCCAAATGCGCCCGTGGGCGTCATGGCACTCAGCATGCGCGGGAAGGTGAGCGAAAGCACCGAAGCCCAAAAGTTGTTTGTCGCCACGGCCCACGACATGCCGACCTCGCGATGGGACAGGGGAAACACTTCTGCCGAGTACATGAAGGGCACAGGACCCTCGCCTAAAGACTCTTGTCAGCCGTCTTTCATTTCCAGGCCTAGGAGGGCTCTCTCTCTAGTGGCACACGTACCGGGGGAATAAAACGCGGCAAACAGATAGACAAAGGTGGCGACGGAGGCGATTCGTGCCGTGCTGTTTTCAACGCCCTTGTCGATCAGGTAACAGAGACCGGCGACTACGCAAAGCATTCCACGGTCAGCATGAGGGTTCGGGGTGCGCGCGCCCGTGTCAGTTACATACCGAGAAGTGCCCAAAACATGTTGGGAAACGTAAAGAGCAACAGCGCACGGCGGCCAAACGTGTCGATTGTCCACACGGCCGGCCAGGCAAAGAGGAAGTTGATGAGGCCGAAGCCGAAGCTCGCCCAGAGAGCAGTGTAGTCATCGATGCCGCTTTGCTTGAAAATGGTGCTGCTGTAAAAGGCAATGATGTTTACTGCAGCGAAACGACGCCCAGGTTAGCTTTTGCTGCGGATTTACATCAAGGGGATGGAGTGCGGCCCACGTACTTCCGCACATTTGCTGCGCAATCATGACGATGCCAGACGCCCAGGTGGCGCGCCGGATGCGCGGGATGGTGAATAGCTCGACGAATCGGGTAAAGACGTTGCTCGTCACCTTGAGACCAGACTCCTTGACGAGTTCAACCTCCTGCTCCAGCAAGCAGTTGATGTAGAACAAGTCTCTGGCGGCTTGCATGGGCGTGTTTCGGAGCCGGAGGAGCGACTTCCACGCCTGGTTATACCGCTTCTTCTTGAGACACCACCGGGGACTCTCGGGGCAGAAGAAGACGCCAATGACGAGGGGAACGGCCGGGATAAAGGCCGACGCAAACTGCAGGCGCCAGGCGATGTCGCCGGTTTTGCCAACCGCCAAGTTGGCGCACGTACCGAGGAAGATTCCTGACCAGGGGGCGGGCTGTCAGTGTCGTGCTCCCGTCGCACAAAAAGAGAGAGCCTGAAAACGTACCAAAGGCCGTCCACATCTGCCACGACATGACGAGACCGCCGCGGATGATGGCGGGCGAGTTCTCGGCGGAGAACACGGGCACCGTCACCTCCTTCAGACCCATGCCGATGCCGAGCAGCATTCTGTCGTGCAGAGTTAGAGAGGAACAGGTGTGTCTGAGCCCTGCGAGAGCTTACCTGCAGACTGCGAGCTCTCCCCAAGTCTGCGATAGGCCCATACCAAAAGGCGCGAGCAGGGAGAAGATGGCGGCGATGAAGATGACGCCACGGCGGCCGAGCAAGTCGTTCAAGGGGTCGGAGATCCAACCGGCACTATAATGTTTTGCCGACGCATTAGGTCGACGGCGCACTTTTCATCACCTGGCTCAATGACTTACAAGAGACAAATTGTAATGTATGGCATGGCATTTACGAAGCCAACGATCCAGCTATTCTTGGCGCATTCCCCTTCGTTGGCTACCGGACCGCACGAGGAACCTGCGCTGTCAGGAATTCCCAAGGCCTGCGGAAAGCTCAAATTGGCTCCGTTGGAACCAGTCTGCCAGTCATGCACATTAGTCTCGGTCTTGTCGTGGAAGCACGGCGGGCGGCACGGCTGCGCCAAGCGGTCACTCTTACCTGATCCCACCCCTGGATGGCGGCCGCAATCGAGTTGAGGATGATGGTGTAGTACAAGGGCCAAGGCTGCTTCCATCTGTGGGTGGTCTCCTCGCGGAGAGCAATCTTGTCAGACTCGTCCAGGTCTTCAATGGCCTCAAAGTCGGCAGGGTTCTGCGCGACGAGCGCGCCCTTCCTCAGGAGCGGGAGGATGTCCTCGGGCAGCTCTTTGTCCTTGTGGAACCGGTTGACCTTTTCAAGAAGCTCGGCGCGAGAAATGTCCCTCAGGGGGTTCTCGATTTCGCCCTCGACGTTTGCAACCAGGCTCACTCGCCTTCGGTGCGAGCCTTCCTTGCCAACGGCGTGATCGGCACTCCTGGCCTGCGTGTCAACAAGACGGAATCCATGGACAGCAAGCCGGACAACATGGTCAGTACGTACTCATCGACCACTACGGCCTTTTCCGGGGCATCAGAAGCCATGGCGAAATGCTCGTCTTGTGCCAACAGCGTGGTGAGTTGAGGAGGGCGGTCGGGTTGGCGATGCTATCTGATTCAGCAGTCACGGAAAGAAAAGAAACCCGCCAAGGGGACCGGGAGCAAGGTAAAGCAACTAGACTCGATGTTATATTTCCGCGTCTTACTCGGTACTGCGTACATGATGGCTCTTTATTAAACGCGACGCCACATCACGCAGGTGGCTGCATGGGGGGGGTGCGGAGGGCGCGAGATTTTCCAGCAACAACCCAACTTTTATTGTTGCACCAGTTCCCCATCCAGATTGAGCCAAGCCCTCCTGTGATACAACGGCAGTTGGACCTATAAAACGGCATCGCAGGCCACACCCCCACGGGTTTTGCTAGTCCGTCAGCCTGCAGCAGGGGCCGCAAGTGGTGCCATGGCAGGCATCCCGGCCACATGACCAGCACGGGTGAGATTCGAGGCGTGATGCCCAACTGGTCGCAACTCGTAGGTGCTGTGGGCAACCACGGAGTAAACTTTGCTTGAAGCTGCCCGTGTGCCGCGCCGGTGGCTGCCGTTGAACTGGTGCCTCTCGTGTCACCCCAGGCGTCGTCAAACAAAGACGAACTCGCACCAACATGCACACACAGAACATTAGGCAGCAGCATTTCGGCCAGGTCCTGTGGCTTTTCGGAGTTTGGTGTTGGAGGAAGGGCGGAGTGGGCAAAAGCAAGGAAGAGCTGACCATGGGATGGCCCGGTAGCCAGCTGCGCCATTCTCATCGCGGTCACGGTGGTAAACGGGAGCAGTTATACGTAGTAGTGCTTTGCATAGTCGCGAGCAGCCGGAGCAGAGAGATGCCAAGAGATGAGGTTGAAATCCCCGGACACGGGCTGGCACGTTGTTGTCTACTCCACAACATGAACCAGACCCTTCAAAGTTGCCAAGTCTCTCGATGAACGGCATTGTCGGCACTAGCGTCAGTAAGCACGCCTCGAGTGGGGAAGAGACGAGGAAAACCCAACTCGATGGCTGATTGACTACTGTACGGAATGAAAGCCATGTCAGGCTATTGCCAGGCTCGAAAGCTGCTGCCTAGCAAGGTGAAGCAACCCCCAGACAGTCGAGCTGAGATGCGTATCGTGTGTTGGAGTAAGCTGCAATTACATGGTTCAGGCCCGACGACGGAGCAGCGTGGGCAGAGAATGAGGCCATTGCCATGGCCCTCTTCGGAGTCATGATGATGTACTCCGTAGTTGCCAGCTTCCACCGTCCGCGGAGACAGAGACAATATTTGCCATGAATGACGGAGCATAAGCAGCTGCGCTTGCATCATGAAGAGCAAAAACAAGCATTACCCGGGGCGCTGAGGGGCGCAACAAGGAGGTGTGCCATCCCCGTTGCGTGGCGTTGCTTGATGCCTCCCAGGGCACCAGCACATGGGCTTGCCGTCGCATCCCTGCTCCCTCGTTTCTATTGAGCCCCAGCCCTTGATATTGTGCTGCTCTCCCCATCGGCTTCAAGCTGGACCCCAAGAAACAAGGTCAGCCATAGTATTCTGTACACATTGTTGCGCGGTGCAAAGGCTTCCAGTCGGGACTACGGTGGCGGCCATGGCTGCTCATCCTGGTGGAACCAATCTCCCATTCTCCCATTCTTCCATTCTCACATGTATACGGAGTAGCTTGGATAAGAAGGCCCTCGAATTGCTAAGCCATGACGGAACCATGAGGCGCATGAGCTTCACGGAGCAACAGCAACCGCACAAAGTACTGAGATGTACCGAGTAGATGACTTGCAGAGCATGGGAGAGCTTTGGACAAGAATAAGACCAATCATGTCCACTCGTGGCGTCACCCAGTGCCCTTCATAGTATTTGCAATTTTACCAAAAGAAACCAGTTCGTGCGCGTCCGAGGTCGCCGCCGCTACGGTCACAGGTCAGCATGACGTCCGTGTCTCAACGAACTTGGCCCGCCTCTTCACAGGGCGCAACTTTGTGTAGCCTCGAAATTGGTGGCGACAAGATTCGGGCGTGGCTCAAGGAAGGGCCTGAGCTTCTACGCCAAGCGATGGAAGGATGGATCAGACGACCACGACCAGCTCCGGCGCGGCTTGTCGCATCACAACATGTCAAAGCAGGAAGAGGCGGTTGAACGAATTTTGCGGCCATTGGCCTGGTGCTAGTGTTCAGCCAGGTGTACTTGATGTCTCTTTCATACAAGCTATTACTACTACTACTTGGTGGCTCGGGCGGAGATGGGCTTTTGACTGTTTCCCGCGGCAAGTTGGCGACGCGATGCTCCCGCGCAGAGTTGATGGTTCGTTGCCATTGAAGTTTTGTCAGCAGCGCGTGAGACATGCATGACGAGGTTTCACTCACTCCGCTGTGGTCCGGGTAAGTCTTTGGGCGCCGTGTAATACTACCCAGGTGCGGCTGTGGGTTTTGCTTGTTGGTTGCAGGAATTGTTTTGGGCTATTCCCGGTATGCATTGCACTTGGTTACACCACAGGCAATGATTGATGAGGCACAAGGCCGCAAACCCTGTCCGTAAAGACCTGTTGCGGGTAGGTGAGAGCGGTGAGGGCACTAGATATTTTCATCCTATGCGTGGACTTTTCTATAGAATAAACCTGCATGTGATTTCTTCCTAGTCCGCCTTGACCGGCGTGGAGATGCCCAAGGTAGGCAGGCCTGTGATGCTGCATCAATGTTGGACAATGGTGATTCCCCCCCCCCCCCATGGCAAACCTTCAACTCCTTGCCTCACAGGACAAAATAACGACGCAGTCACGGCACCAGTCCCGCAATTCTCTCGCCAAGTTGATCGTTGATCGTTTGCTCGACGGTGGCCGATGTTCGCGTCATGCCACCGGCACCGGCACCGTCCCAAAGGCTGGGAATGTAGTCGAAACGGACGTTGTATGTTTGCAGGGATTCGGCTTTGCGACGCTGCCAAACACAAAGGCTACTTCACATACGCCCTGGTCCACGGGCTCGACAACCAAAGCATTCACTGCTGCCGCGCTGTCCCAGCGAGGAGCCACGAGTCAAGCCGCAGGATTCTAGTCTCATGTTTGGCGTCCTCTCGCACCTTGTTGAGGTTCTGACGGCAAACGAGCTGGAGCATGTATTGCGGCAACTCATCTGGGCGCCGCTGGGGATGAACAGCGCATTATTCGGGGCCGGCGAGGGCCACAAGACCCCAGACCGCCAGTCCACGAGTACTACTCGCATCCCAGGAAACGAGACTTTGTTCCCGTGTCACACGAGCCCCTGGACCTGTTCTCCGGGACCGGTGCTGCTGTGTGATCCGTCACTGACTACGGAGTCATGATATTCTCTAATTCTGGAGCCGCTTCGCATTCCTCGGATACCATTCTTTCGCTTCGATTGCTGGAGGGTAGGCTGGGCGTTTCCCCCAAAGATCGATACAGACCTGCTGACAAGTACGTTGATCACCGTGTGCGGCGACGAACTATGCTGCGCCAAAACACCCCCGTCTAAAAAAAAAGTCGAGTGAAGATTAAAGTAACGTGTGCTGACGGGGCGGCTCGTCTAGGATAGGAGAAGATGGGCGGCGGAACGAGTATATTCTCACGCACCTAAGAGATGTCCTCTATCCAGAAAGACCAACGACTCCGCTGCCGGCCACTGTATCCCAAAGCCAATTATTAGGAGGGCACTACGAGTCAGGCTACGGCATGATGTATCTCGCCGAAGAAGCCAAGACTGACGAGTGCTCTGGGACGCGGACGATTTTGGTAGTCCGTCGCCCTGATAGAGCGTCTCTGGGCGAGATTCGCTTCGAGCCTGTTTCTGGCGACTACTGGATTGCTCATGTATGGGATCCAGACGTCAAGGACAGCCCCGGCTATGGGGGCGGACACTTGAAGTTTGATGTCGGTGGGCGGGCGGCCGCCTTGGAAATAACCGTTTCGCTGCCGGGGCGGGATATAAATGAAGGCATAATCACGTTTGACAAGGTAGGGTAGTATGCGATGATGTGCTTTGGGGGCGCTGAGATGTCGCCACCATGATGTTGGTTCGCGTAGAGGCCAGTAAAACATGCCCAAGAGAACTGAGTGATGTCTTCTCCCGCCAAGATGGACTGTCGCTTGAGGTAGTGTGACTCTTTGCTGTATCAGCACAATGTGTAGTTTCAATTCATCCACGGGCCGCGAAGCATGCTGCCGAGTCTTAATTGTGCGTCTGGTACAATAATATCCAGGGTTTCACGACAGCTGCGGTAATCGGTGCCGAGTCGACACGCCGAGTTGATAGATGACGAGTCGACGGATGCTAAGCTGACAGATGCTTGGTTGGCAGACACAGGGTGGCAGATGCCGAGTGACAGGTTGCAAGTGAGCCGATGCCGAGTCGACAGATGCTAAGCTGACAGATACCAGGTCGGTATATTCTAAGCCTACAGGCATTGGTTGATAGATGACGAATAGACAGATCCCGAGCTGACGAGCGTCAAGCCGACAGGTGTCAGGTTGATAAATGCCGAGTCGACAGACGCCTGCTGACAGTGCTGAGTCAAAGGTTGCGAACCGGGGAGATTCCACCTGACGGATTGTACGGAGTATCAATTGATCCGTAAAAAGAAAGCAATTCCCGACATGGCCGAACCGTCACTTCTAATAGCGGCATGCTTCTTCCATCCATCATCTGCAGCTTGGACAGTTTGACCGTTGGCCCGTCGCGACGGGGACTCAGCACCATTGTCAGATCAGCTTGGACCCTTGCCAATCCAAATCCCTACCCAGGGCTGCAAGTGACGTCATGGTCTCGATTCGTTCCCGTAATCAGCTCGTATCGGAATCTTATCTCCAGACTTCTCCTTTTTGTTGGCGCCGCTGGCAAACCATGATCCACTCAGCACTGCATAACGGTGATGATACGAGTCCGCCAAGGGTCCAGACTCCACAGCGAGCAAAACGAGACCATTCACTCAAAGACGAGATAAAAGACTCGTGCAGTCACCGTCGCGATGGATAGAGAGATTTCCCAAGCAGCGAGCTAAGGATCACATCTCGAAGTCGACAGTCCATCGCAGCCAGATCATTCTCCAGAAAAAAATGACTTTGCTAGCGTCTCTCTGGCTGGGAGCGATATTCCTAGCAACCCTCGGATGTGCCTCGGCAGTCGCCAACTGGACCCTTCAGTCTTGGGACGTGATTGTTGTTGGGGCCGGCACCGCGGGCATCATTGTTGCAGACAGACTCAGCGAGGCGGGCTACAAAACCCTTCTGCTCCAACAGGGAAGCCAATCGTACGGAATCACAGGCGGCAGAGAGCGGCCCGGCTGGTTGGACAACACCACCCTGAGCAGAGTCGACGTTCCGGGACTGTGTAAGTGCAAACCGTGGGACAAAAGCGCCGCCTGTGTTTTTGCCCTAACATGTAGCAGACTCGTCCATATTCGCCGGCGGCTCGAGTTTGTTGTGCGGGCCTGGCCAGGTAGATGCTTTCCAGGCATGTACCGTCGGCGGCAACAGCGCCATCAATGCCGGCCTGTATTTCCAGCCTCCGGCGTCGGATTGGGACGACTTCCATCCCAGGGGTTGGCATAGCGCCGACGTGGCCAATGCGACTGCGAGGCTCCTGAAGCGCCAGCCCGCCCTGACGAGCTACTCGCAGGACCGCAAGTATTACCTCCAAAGCGGCTACGAAGCCGTCAAGAAATGGATAGTCGAGGACGCTGGCTACCAAGACGTCTCGTTGCTCGAGCAGGTCAACGACAAGAAGCGCGTCTTCGGCCGGCCCGTCTACAACTACATTGATGGGCAGCGAGGCGGGCCTACCCGGACCTATTTGCAGACGGCACTGCGCCGAAATCACTTTCATCTACAGACGGGCGTCCAAGTCGAGCACATCAACCACGTCAGGGGCGTGGCGTCGTCGGTCGAGGTTGCGCTCGACAGCGGCGAGAAAAAGGCCATCCAGCTCACAAAGAGGGGTCGAGTGGTGCTGAGCGCCGGTGCGATGCTGTCGCCGAGGATTCTCATGTTGTCCGGCATCGGGCCGCAGGATGCTCTCGAGAAACTGGCCGCAAAATCCGCCACTCCCTACAATGCGTCCTCGTGGATGGTCCAGCCCGACGTGGGAAGAGGCCTCTTTGACAACCCCAACACCTTTATTGTGCTCTCCAGCCCAGACGTCAAGTCGTACGTCTACAAGTACGACGACCCGGTCCCCGCGGATCGAGACCTGTATCTCGAGTCACGGAGCGGGCCCTACAGCTTTGCGTCGCAAACCTCTGTCTTCTGGACCTACATCGAGCACAACGGGACGCGATCCGGGGTCCAGGGCACGGTCAGCTCTTCGGGTTACCGAGACTTTGTGGGAAACAACACCATCACCCTCAACATTTACGGAACGTCCGGGCTCCTTTCTTCCGGCCGCGTCGAGCTCGCCGACGATGGAAATTTCGCCGCCAAGCCGAGCGCCGGGGTGTACTACGGGCACCCGCGCGATGCCGATACCGTCGCCGAGTTTATTCACTCGCTGTTCCAGCATCTCCCGCCGTCGACGCCGACCTCTCCGGCCAAAGAGGGCCTCACCCCTCTCAACCTGGCGCGGAATTCAACTCTGCAGGAGATCCGGAGGTACATTACGGACCCGAATAGTCCCTACGCAGTGGGGTCCGTTCAGCACTGGTCGAGTTCCTGCCGCATCGGCAAGTGTGTGGACGTCGACACCAAGGTCATTGGCACGCAAAACATCCATGTCGTGGACGCTTCCATCCTCGCACCCCTGACTGTGAACCCGCAGTTTGGCGTCATGGTGGCTGCTGAGAAGGGCTCCGAGAGGATAATAGCCTCGATGAAAAACGTGACGGAGGGATGCCGCGGACGAAGACGGGTATAAATAGGGGCGTAAATTTCATACTTTAGATTTAGGGCGCATTGGGGCGGTAGAAGAGATGGATTGTATATAGTTACACACACACACACCTGAATAGTAGACTTGAAGCTTTAGCGTCGTGTGCTTGGTGTAAGTCAGGGTTGGAGACTTTGTTTGGGCCATTGTGCGCACCACTCTCAACCACGACTGGAACGATTGTGCAGGTCAACGCAGATGCCGTCGCTCTTTCTGGAAAACAAAGCCAGCTGGAACCTGTCAGTGCACGTGGTGTCGCAAAGTCACCGGCTCGCTGCTGTTTCGGTTTCACCGGCTCGAAAACGTGACATCGGGTTTGACGCAGATGCCACGTTTCGAACCTACGGGACGCTGCTGACCAAGGCTGTGAGTCATTTGTATATATGCGGTGAGATTGCTCGAGTGACGGACCATCTCGAGGAGCGCTTCGAGACTGAGCCTGGGAGTCGATGCTCTTGGTTTGGCTTGTAGATTCGATGGGATGTAGCTGTGTTTTAGAGTAGCGCCAGGCGAGTAGGCAAACTTGGACAAGTCGGCATATCTGGCGGAAGAGAGCTTTCTAGTTGGCTAGCCACGATGGTAAATGACGGAAGAAGGCCCTGGGGGTGAAAGTTGGTTGTACATGTAGGCTACTGACCTCCAGGGTAGCGCGACGTGACACCTTGTATATGACCAAGACATGGTAGACGAGTAGAGAGGCATTCTAGAATTTCAAACTTCCTTTTTAGCACATGGATTGAGGCAGCCTTGTCGACGGGAAAGTCTGCGATAATGGTGGAGCACTGGAATTGCCCTGCAGTTCTGTTATTACTACTTATTAATAACATTTCGCTTCTCGGGCGATTTATGGTGCCATGAGTTGTTCAAGGAACGGAATCCCTGCCATATTGGTGAAGGATCTCGTGCCTTTGGCCCACTGTTTGATTTTGCTGGTCGTCATTCGACTGGACCGAGCAGGTAGGACAATCGCCGCAAGGACTCGATGAGTGAGGGTGACACGAGCACATTGGGGTATCGTGACCAGTTTCCGCTTTGGGAGGACGAGGTTACACTAGACACAGGGCTGGATCAGCAGATCTCACTTCCTGCCGCGTGCTAAAAAAGCCCAAGCTCACCGAAACAAGAGACGATGGACCATGACCAGTGAGCTGGCGCGGCGGTGCGCTTCCTAGTCGGGCATTAGCCGGATGCCCCCTTTTCTCGCACTTTTGGCATCCTTCTCCGCATCGTCTACCGTTGCGTCAGAAATTATGCAACCCCAGCCAGTCAACGCGCTCGTCTTCGGTTGACTTCCGTGCATACGAGGACTACTAGCCAGACCGTGCCTCTCTCGGGTTTGCCCCTGTGCCCCGTCCTCACTGGGGGCTGATGATTGTTCGCTGCGAAGACGAGGGCCAGGATGGGTGAGCAATGAGTATTTTACTGCCTCGGGAACGCACAAACGTGAACGGCCAAGCCGGGCCAAGGGTTGTCAACTGCAAGGCCAAGCTTCGACAGCAGTCTGGAATAAACTGTCGCAGGCAGGCATTCAACAGGGGTCGAGCAGGGCGTGCATTGCAGCAGTACGGGCTTCGGCTGGTCCAAAACTTGTCTGGTCCAACACACCTGGTACGTGTATGGATTCCTTCTGACAGATCAGCAATGCATGGCCGTGGGAGTGTGCGAGCCGACGCCTGATGCGACGCTTATGGGCGGCAAGCGGTGATGCTGCCGTTTCAAGACAGCGCCCGCAGCTGGGCGGGCTTGGACGAACCAGGGGGGGCCTGGTCGCTACGGGCGGGGAATTGAACAGGTTAGACGCCCCACTTATATAAATTAAATGTGGTTCGCGTCTTATTAATATAACTTATAAATAAAAGTATATCTTTAAGGTCTCTAATAGACTCTAAGAGATACATATTATTTAAAGCTAGTTAAAGTCTTGGTTGTATTGATTATATTTTTTCCCTTATAATAACTTAATAACTAAGAAATTTCATATATATTTTCATGGTAAAAGTTACATGTGTAGATACTTTACCTAAATAGGTGCGCCTGCGGTGTAATTCCCCGCTGCGAGCGGTTCCCACAGCGAGACGAGACCTGCTGAGGGCTCCATGTTCATTGATGTCCAGATGCCCTTTTCCAGAATAAAGCGATGCTAAAATGGTACGGACGCTAAGAGTTGGCTCGTACGCTCAATCAAAAGGCTTTGTGGGTGGCCCAAATGTGGAGGGCGTTGGCACTCGCCTCCAACATGACTGGCATCATGTAGCACTCCGTACGTACGACTCAAGGCTGGCCCCAGCCGCCGTCACGGGCTGACATGTCTCGCAAGACGCAAAGGAGACGCCGAACAGTCAATGTTGCAGGATGGAAGGGCGACCATCAATCAGTGGATGAGGGGTCTCGAGGATGGAAAGTGTGGAGATGTGGAGATGGAGGCATGTGGACCGAGAGGGCTGAACATTGAATGCATAATGTTTTGAGAATACTCCGTGACTGTCATGCATCGGAAGGAGAGCACAGACGGCGGCGAGGCAGACTGGGGGTTGCAGACCCTTGATGGCATTGGGATCTGGCCTGTACGGAGTACAGAGTACGGCAGAATCAAATCGCCCATGATATCTGCACGTGTGGTTGACACAAAAGAGGGTGCACATGCATCTGGCTCATCATTTCGTTTCTTCTCAAGCAGAGTGCCTGCGTCTCGCTTCTGATTGTGCGTCCTCCCTGGGGCAGTCATAGCAGGGACGTCTGGAGCTAGGGAGAAAGGAGTCAAGTATCGGCCCCAGGCATACTGCTCCGTACAAAGTACCACCAGACATTGATCGATGTCGACGCCTGCGAGAGTGTTTGCGTCTTTGTCGTCTCTGCCCCTGGCCCCGTTTGGCCCTGAGTAATAATAGCAGTCGCAGCACCGAGTCCAGGCCTGGTGCTTTGCGGGTTTGCGACCGAGGGAAAAGAGAGCACCTGAGAGTAAAAAAAGAAAACAAAAGGCCAAACGCCTCGTGTGCTGCATGTCCAGAAGCAGGCTAGTCCCGCGCCTCGCCACCCCAAGCGAGCATCTTTTGATGAGTCTGGTTTTTAACCTTTACGACGTCAAGGTGGCACAGGTCAAGCACCAGACTCCTTTTGTCCTTGACGCCAGCTTTTGAGATTTCACTTTCACTTGCATCATATCTGGAGTCTGGCTTGCGCCCAGCGTCAGGCTAATATTCAAGCCGCTGCGGCCCGGCCTGGATGGTCTGGATGTGCTTGCCCCCCGTTCTCCGCTGCGACCCGTCGTGCTGATCCATCAACCCATCAACCCAGCATCGCCCTGCCCGTCTAGCCATTCCAACAACTCGTTCTTTCGCTTCCCTTCCCTCTCTGGATTCCATAGCCCTAGATACGGAGTAGTGCATGCGTGCATTCGTTGCTGGTCCTGGTCCTTGATCGAATCCACCTGTTCGCAGTCGGCTCTCGCTCGGTTCTTGCGCTTCTTTTCATTTTTTCCCTTAGCTTCTGCTTCTGCTTCGCGAGCGTTTTACGACATTGACCTTCGGCTTGCCATCACCCTCTCACCGTCCACCGCCCGCATCGTCCCAACCCGACGCACAACCGACGCACAACCGACGCACAACGTACGACGCCTAGCTGGCCGGTGCAATTGCTTCCAACCGCCAGACTAATCCGCCAAGCGCAGCCGCAGTTCGAGGCCGTCTCTTCCAACCGTCCGAACCAAGTCCCAAGTTTCTTCGCCGACTGTGGCCCGTCTGTCTCGATGCTGACCGTCGGACGCCCGTAATGTATCCTCCCCTGGTTTGCTTCTTCTTCGCCATCTACTTTGTGTCCGTCACCACAACCAAGCTCCTGCGCCTCTCTCTCAACGCACACGTCTTCCCGACCGGCGTCTTCGTCTTTTGCCTGCCGGCATTCATCGTCCCCGACCTTGTATTAATTACTTTGATTTGGATTCTGCTGCGTCGGAGGAATGGCCTGTTTGCCTTGCTTGGTTTTGGCCTGGCCTGCTTGATCTGGTAAGTTGGCACGCGAGCTTCATCCCCCGTGGCCCCTTTTGGCACCCTCTAGCACCCCTGGAATACGCCACCATGAATTTTAAGCTTCATCAGTCTTGGTCACGGGGTGACACAAACAAGCGTTCGTCATCGTCATTGTTTACTTGCTTTCCCAGCGTCCTTTGTTTCTTTGGTGTCTCGTTGTTTGTTTCTTTGTTTGCCTGGCTTTGCGCCCGCTTCTGCGTTGCCGCATGCTAACGGGTGCCCGCCCTTGCGCATCGTCTGCAGCTTCGTTACCCTTGGCGCCGCCTCGTCTCAGCTGGGCTTTTTTTACCAAACCGGCGGCGAGATTGACTGGGGAGATGCGACGACGTTTGCCTTTAGCGAGGAAGGCCGAAAGGTCCTGCTGAGCGAGGGGAAGACGCCGCTCGCATTCACCTGCATCATCCTTGTAGTGTCCTGGCTTGTCAAGTTCCGACTGTACAAATTTGTGAGCTCGGCCCTGGCTGCGGTCGAGATTTACGCACAATCAGGTTTGTTCTGCCTACTGCCTGTTCTGGTCCCACCAAACGGCACCAAGCAAACGGAATGTCTAACACGTGTGTCGCCAGTTATTCGATGGACTGCATCCAAGGTTGGACTCTCCAAGTTGACAAAGGCAGAGAACGAGTCATCTCTCCTGCCCACCCAAGAATACGAATTCGACTCGGATTCTGATTCCAGCTGCGATGGCCCGCCCAACAACACCACACGCCGACGGCTGGGCAAGACGGACTCCGCGTCCACGCGTGCCATGCACTGCCCAGGCTTCATTCCGTGGAGCTATGGGATCATGGTTCTGCTGGGATTCCTGGCCATTTTGATCCTCTTTGATCCCGAGCGACCGTACAGCCGCATGTTTACCACGTTGCCTCTACCGCTCTTGGCCGTCTTCGCCCCCAAGTCGATTGAGTGTACATCAAGCTCGTGGCCACTGCCCAATCTTATTGATCGTTCAAACTGGGAGGCTCCCCGGGGCAACTTTAGGGGGTGGGCGCCAGGCGCGGCGAATGACATTATACAAAAGTACCGAGACAGGAAACCCGAATGGCTGCCATCCGAGCTGCCCCAGGGTTTTACTCGCTGGACCCTCGAGGCCAGGACCGGTGACGTCAATGAGCTTCTCAAGAACGCGACTGGCCACCATGACAGCTCCTGTCCCGATCCGCTCGTCTTGGACCCGTACTACAACCCCGCCAACGATCCCATGAAGATTAGCAACCTGGAGAATCCTGTTTTGAAGCCGTTGGAGAAGATATTGCAGGACGGCTCAGTCAAGATTAAGCACATTGCCATTATCTTGATGGAGAGCATGCGAGAGGAACTCTTTCCCCTGCAGCAGGGCTCCAGCTTCCACGACCTCATCATCAAGTCGCACGACGAGCTTGACCACGACGACATCAACGAACTGCTGTCACACATCTCCCCCAACACCGAACGCATCACGGGCAGGTCTGGTAACTGGAAGAGCAAAAACGGCACTGCGTTTGGTCGCAAATATTCGGAATGGAACGACAAGACCGAGGACGGCTTTGGCGGCGTCCACGTCGTTGGCGGCCTCACCACCAGCAGTGTATCAACCAAGAGTTTGGCTGCCGTCCACTGCGGCGCTTGGCCCATGCCTGTTGACATGTTTGAGGAGGCTGAGACGGAAAGCTACCAACCGTGTCTCCCCGAAATACTCGAGCTCTTCAACAGGCTGAAGAAGAACACAACTTCGGACAACTACCACGAACAGCAGTGGTACCCGGCCTTCTTCCAGGCCGTCACCGACGGTTACGATCGGCAGGACAAGTTCGACTCCAAGATTGGCTTCAAGCACATTGTCAACAAGAACCGCATCAAGCAAGACAGCGAGAACAACCCCGAGCTGGAAGAGATTAATTATTTTGGGTTCCCGGAAACGGCGCTCAAAACGTACTTGACCGACTACATCACCAACGCGACGGCGAATAACCAGCGCATGTTCTTGTCGCACTTTACCAGCACCACGCACCATCCCTGGGCAGTGCCCAAGTGGTTCAACTCGAGCGAGTACATGGGTTCCGCGCAGGGTCTGATGCAGACGCACAAGGACCTCAACAGCTACCTAAACACGATCCGTTTCAACGACGCGTGGATTGGCCAGCTCATGCAGATCTTTGACGATCAGGGCATCTCCGACGAGACCCTGGTCATTTTCGTGGGAGATCACGGCCAAGCATTCAAGGAGGATTTCAGCAAGACGGGCACATACGAGAACGGCCACATTAGCAACTTTCGCGTACCAATCACCTTTAGACACCCTAAACTACCCCGAGTCGAGCATAGAGTCAACGCCACGTCCCTCAGCATTTTGCCCACCATCCTCGACCTCCTTGTGAATACCGGCTCTCTCAACGAAAAGGACACGGCGGCCGCCGCAGACTTGGTGCAAGACTACGAAGGCCAATCCTTGATTCGCCCCTTTGAGACGACGCGCAAGGGGCGGCGGGCCTGGAATTACAGTCTCGTCAACCCCGGCGGGAGGATGCTCACAATCACATCCTCGGATGCACCTTGGAGGCTGGTCCTTCCCCTGGATAAGAAGACGGAATACGTATTCTCGGACCTCGGCCAGGACCCGATGGAGCTGAATCGTGTTTTGGAGTGGTCCATCAACAGCCTAGCATCCACAGTCAGAGGCAAGTATGGCGATGGCGCTGCTGATTGGCTGATTGAAGCAGATAAAGTTGGTCTTTGGTGGGCGGCGGAGCGAAAACGACTTTGGAATTACGACCCTTCATCATAGACCATTTGCTGGTTTGTTGCTTTTATTTTGGATTTTAATCGATGGGGCCTTTGGTTAGAGAAGCGGAGCAGCAATCAGGATGGGCCATGTTTTTTTTTATTTTATTATTGTCGGGAGATTCGTCCCTTTCCAGCCAGTCATAGACAGAGACAGGTCTTGTATATTTAGCATAACGGCAGCAGGCTAGGGTTTTTTTCAAGCCGCAGCCGGGACCAAGAGCATTTTTTTTTTCGCGGGGCGGCGTGGAGGTATCATCACATTGTAAATACGAAATAATGGGACACACTTGGATATTGATACAACATAGCCACCGTGGTGTTTGACCTGGTTTGTCTGACGTGGATGAAACGTCCTCCGATGACAGCGGTAACCCTGTCTGACGGGGACGACTATGCGGGTGAAGATGGGCAAGGGTTCGATGTTGCCCCGGCCGGGTAGATCTGGGCGGTTTCATTGGCAAGGTGGAATTTCAGATCTGGTGGAAGATGGCCATGCCAGACTCATGGGTGTGGTTTCACCAGGTCGGGATATATCTGCCAAATCTCAAACAGGGGGTGCGGTTTCATGGTCCGCTCCGCATTCACATGGCCTTGGCGGTTCACAGCCAACTTTTGATGTGCTGGAAAATCATCCAAACCGCCGCTGGCCGTATGTTGCTCGGGACGGTGCAGCCCAGCACGTTGCCGCCGCCGCCGTCTGACGCCCGAGGCCTTGAAGCACTCCGTCTTCCGGGCGGAGCCGGAGGAGGCGGCGTGGCCGGCGGCGGACGCGAACCGTGCGCAGTTTTAAGCGCCGTCCCGGTCACGGTCTACAACTGGTCAAAATTCTCCGAGAACAACGTCCCCGAATGGCGATGAATTCGTAATCCGGCTCTAGTGCTACGCTCATCTCGGGCACACGTTTGCCAGCCGGCGGTTGAACAGTTATGAATCGCAGAGTTCACCGTCGTGTATCCTGGGGCGGAAGACGTGCAAAAGCCTTGCGAGCGAGTGTATTCCAGCCAAGCTAAAGTCTGTACTTTTTCAAACAATCAACGGTCAATTTCGATATTCATACCAAAGACGACGCAATTCCTAGCTAGACAGTTTTCAATCTCGGGCCAATCCCCTCGTCCATTCACTCCATTTCAGACACCCAAACGAGACACAATCCAACAAATTCAAAAAGAGTCAATCAGACCAACCCTATCCCGGAACCTAGCCCGGAAACAAGGCCTTCTACCGAACCGTCCGAAGGGTTCTGTACGTTTCAGGGTGAAAGACGTGGCGCGACACACTGGGCTGCTTGGCCGTGCCAACATGGACAGTCACATGAAATCCGGGCAGATTCGTCAGCAGGACTTGTTCGCCCGTAAGCTACAAAACACTGTCAGTCAAAAAAAGGTCAATCGACAAGAATCACGGCCGGCAGGGACGATACCTTGGTCACAGAGATCCTGAGCTGCTGCTCGAGCAGGACGTTGACGTGGACGGGCTCCAGGCTAGTCGCGTCGGGAAAGCGCGTGCTCTTGACGATGCCGTGCAGGGGCAGCGTGATGGGGACCTGGGCCTTGGACTTGGCGCTCTTGTCCTTTTGATTCTGGCAGTTCTTGCAGTCTGGCACCACGGGGGAGGTGAAGTTGTGGAAGGAGCCGAGGGTGCAGGACTCGGTCTTGCCCTGGTCGTTGGTCGTCTCGAGATGGAACTTGACTGCGTATGGCTCCCCGCCGAGCGCGAACCGGTCATATTCGACGTTGATGATGTAGTCTGGGAACGTTTCCTCGCTGACCCCGGGGACCGGCCGGATGCCCTTGACGGGCTGGAGGAGCTTCTTTGTGTGATTGCCGTACTTGTCCTGCAACTCGGCCTTTAACTTGTCAATGTTTGTGTTTACCAGGTCCTGGTATGTGTATCCGAGCTTCCCGCAGTCCCGGGCGTCGTTTGAGTTGTAGTATTTACCCTGCTTGTTGATGTGGAAAGGGGGCAGGTCGTCCGTGGGCAGTGGCGTGATGTCGGTATGTCCAGGCGTCGGCGGAGGCTCCGTGCCAAACCACTTGTCGGGGTTGAGATATTGCCAGATGGCGAGGAGCCGATCGACGTTGCTGGCATTGTCAGCAGATTATCACAACACGCAGCAATCACCGAATCCTCCGCCGGGCTTACCAGTGGTGCAGCCAGAAGATGGGGTCAAATGAGGCCACCGGGACATCTGCCATGTGTCCCGCGGTGACGGGGACGCCGGTGACTTTGGTGGCTGGTCCCTCGACCCAGCCTCCGGTCCAGACCTGGTGAGAGCGTCAAGTTGGGTTGGCTGGCATAATCTAGGATGAAATGAACACAGGGGGGCCTACATGTATGTTGTTGTGGATCATCTCCAATGAGAGGTACTCGGTGGGCTTGAGATTTTTCTTGTCGTCAGTGAGGTACGTGGATGAGAAGGTCTCGTACGACTGAAAGTACACGTCGGTGAGGATTCGATAGACGTTTTCCGCAATCGACACGCCTTTCTGCCAGTGCGGCGCTTCTGGATTTTCCATGGCCTCCTCGATTTTGGCATTATCCACGAAGCCCTGTACCCAATCAGGGAGACTGGGATTTCCATACCGGCTGGTGCCAATACTTTTGTTGTACTGGAGCATACTCAGTGTCTGGTGTTGACGAAAGGGTTTTTGTGCCATGTACTCACAATGCCACCGTACGCGTCGTAATCGAGCTGATATGGCTTCATTTTTGCATCGTTCATGGACACCTCTTCGCCGTTGATCTTGTTTGTATACTTGTAAAGGGGGTTCTTGACGGACTCCTTGTCCTTGCCCCCGAGCTTCAGGATCTCGAGCTGCTCGAGTCCCACGATTCCTGGAACTCCAAATTTGTTCGTGTCTGACTGAGGGAGAGCCCAGTCCCAGAAGGGGAGGCGCCATTGCTGGGCTGCCTTTTTCCAGTCCTGTCTGACGGCCGTATCAGTGATGCCGGGGATGAGCTCCTGGTCCATGATGTTGTAGAGCACTTGCTGTTGCACGCTGTGAGCAGAGGGACTTTGTGGCTCGTGTACAGGGCTGCTCCATCTAGGACCTTACCTCATACAGCAGCATATACGGGCGATGCCAAGTGGGAAAGGTAATGGAACCGTGTGTGCAGTAGAACCCGTGCTGAGTGGCATGATCCCACGGCACCACGGGGTATCCGTGGATCCCTGCCGAGATGTATGTGAGCATCCGTTGATGGTATAGAGAGACGTCATGTACCCACCGGCAATCTGAAAGTAGGACAGAAGCTCCTCCAGTGGGTTCTTGTCCTGCATTTTCTGCAGAGCCCGAATGAAAAGGGACACTTGGATCTGATCCCCGGGGACCGTGGACGTCGACCAGCTGGCAAGCTCCCGCCTTGCGGGGGTTACTTCCCCCGGTTGTACCGGAATGCCGGTGATGGGGTAGTACTCATAAGACATGTTGGGCAGAAGAAGAATGGTGAGGTTGGATGATGGATCCTGCTGCTGGGCGAGCAAGCTTTGCTCTCGAGTTGGAGACACCCCCGTGTTCTTTATACTTGGGATCATGTCTGTCGAAAGCATCCCCACCCACAGATTACAAAGTGTAAGACGCATCCTGTCTGCAGGAAACTTTGTCCAGAACCGACACTTGCGGTAGTGGCGGCATGGGACTTTTGGTTTTGTTGGCAGCAACAACTGTCGTATTGCAGCACATCATGCAGGGTCAGGTAAGGTCAACGTGGCTGGAAATAAATGGCTATTCTCTTGGTATATCGTACGCATGACACAGAATACGACGGGAATTCACATCAACAAACAAGTCGGTAATGAATCAAAGTGCCTACTATCAATTTCATAGTCAAGACTGATAATAAGACAAGACTACTTTACCACAACTTGACTTATATGAAACTACAATGTACCTTTTCGGAATATCGTATAGGCATGATAAGCTTTGTGTGACATTTACTTTCTCGAAAAAGTAAAATTCAACTACATGGCCCGAGACGTCAGCACTTGGGGCGTCGGCCGCCCTTGGCACGCAGAACAAGACCACATAGCTCGGCACACGTCGCCAGGAAAACGCCACCGTCATCCCGCCGAGAGGGTGAGGAGTAAGCTTTCAAAAGTCTGTTATGGCACAGTCATGACAGCCGTCTTTGGTCACCACATCGGGGCAAAAGGAGGGAATGCCAAGGTATCTGGTGCTCCGAGGGAATAGCCTGGCTTCATCAGGCAGCCAGGCGTCTGTTGGGCTCTGCGTCTGCGAGGACACAATTGGACCTCAACTGTTTACAGTAGTATCGACTTGACTCAATGTCTCACTTTGCCGTCCTCAACGTCCTTGGAAGCGCCTCGACCGTCGATGGCTTCCCGCTTCCGGCACGCCACACAGCACGCCTGCATGGCACGGCTGAGACAAAAAAAAGGACAAACTCTTGCATTTCTGCCTAAAGGAGAGAATAACGGAGCTTTCTCCGTGGGAGGCTGGCAAGTGTAACGGCTCCCCGAACCCTGGCAGGCCCAAACGCGATTCGGCACGACTAACAAATAGAATTACCTTTAGCTCTCTCTTTCTCAACGGCCCATTGTCACCACTTGGGGCGTGAAGCCCATGCCAACTAGTCTTTTTTTTTTTAATCCAATGACGCCAGCTGCCGCAAAACATTCAGTGACTGCAACCCGGGGACATGTACCAAAGCCTCCATGTCGCTCGCAAACGGCCTCCTGCCCCGGGCGTCACCGCCGTCAAGGACCCCAAGCGGAACTGTCTGGAACACTGCGGCTGAGAGCGCTCTCGAGGATGGCGGTCAACAGCGCCTCGAACGAGAGCCCGTTCTCCTCGGCGCTCGCTGGAAGCGGCGAGTGGCCCGGAAGCAGGCCGGCAATGGGGTTCACCTGAGCAACATTCGGTCAGCTGTGAAAATTCGCCGCCGGCAGGTTCAGGGAGGGCACTCACCTCCAGTACGTTCGGGACGCCGTTGGCATCGTCGGAGCTGAAGCGAATGTCGACGCGGCCGGCGTCGCGGCAGCCCAGCGCCGTCCAAGTGTCCAGGGCGACTTGGCACGCGGCCTTGACGTGGGCGTCGTCCATGTCGTGGGCGTCGTTGTAGCGCAGCAGACACCCCTCGCTGAGCTTGCTCTTCCAGCAGGCAAACTCCTGCGTGGCCTGGTAGCCGTTGCCGTTCTCGGGCACCGTCTGCCAGATGTGCTCCCTGATGCCGATGACGCGGCTGCAGGGCCCGGTGCCGAGGATGCTCACCGTGAATTCCCTCCCGGACAGGAACGACTCGACCAGGATGTCCTGGCCGGGGAACTTGGCCTTGAGCTTCTGGACGGCCAGCTCCAGCTCCGCGTAGTTGTTGACCTTGTTGAACCTGTCGATGCCCTTGGACGAGCCCTCGGTGGCGGGCTTGACGAAGAGGGGATACTTGGGGGGCAGCGTGGCATGGTTCAAGAGGCTCAGGTGCTCGCTGGGGATGACCATGAAGGGGGCGTTGGGGACGCCGTGATGCTCCAGGATGATCTGGCCTTGGTTTAGTTTCCACTTGCTAGAGAGTATATATACTTGGTGCAAGACTGACCTTTGTGTTTGCCTTGTTCTGACACAGCGCCATGGTTGCGGCGTCGGAAAACGTGTACGGGATCAGAAAGGCCTCCAGGAGTGCCGGGACGTGCGCCTCCCTCGCGGGCCCGTGGAAGCCTTGGGCCATGTTGAAGGCCAGGTCCCAGTTCTTGTGACGCCCGGCCGCGAGGTGCTCGACGAGCGACGAGACCCCCGGGACGAGGGTGACGTCGTGGCCCAGGTCTTGGAGCGCGGCCGCAACAGCCTTGACTTCACCGTCGTGCGTCAGCGCGGCACACTCTTCGTTGGTGTAGCCAAGCTTGAGGTACGTCGACCTCTGCTCGGCCACCAGAGCTATTTTGAGGGGGGATGTGTTGCTGTCGGCCATTGCTGCGTTTGGGCGCCTGCCGTGAAGGGGGGGGGGAAGTTGGTCGTCTGCTGCAAATGATGTGCCCGAGACGGCTATAAATATCTATAGACTCAGAAATCTTGGCCTTTGTAGTCCTTCTTATTCACCTGCTTCTTGGTTGATGGCGGACGCAATAACAAACAAGGACTGGCGGTTCCCCTCCGGAAGCAAACTCGTGGCTTGCGCTGGCGTCCGCCAAAGTTCGCACGCCTTGAAGCTTCTATGCCGGAAAGATTAGCCCGTTGATCATGTCCGTTTCGGTCAAGATGTTTCTGCCCGTCTATGGAAAGCGGGCCATAGTCCACGTCAAGTTGAAACTTTGCTTTTCACGAGTTACGCTCTGGGTCGTCTACACGTGGTGAAAGGGGTTCAATGAGGGCTCAGACTAACAAGTCAATTCATCCAGTGGCAGTCTTTGGTAGTCAAGGACCTGGGTCTTCTCAAGGCCTCAGGCGGACCAGAGCGCGCTATTTATACAAGAAGTCGGTCAGAGCCTAAGGCACGGCACGAGGTCTCGTGATCTCGGCTGCCGTGTAACGGTGTGATAAGCCCTTGTTTCAGTAATTGCAGGTACAAGGTACAGATAACGGGGACGGGATAAAATATACTTTATTCGCCAGCCGGAAAAAAATACGCCTTGAATTGCGTGCTTATTTGATAGGACACGATTGCAACATCGGTCGCGGAGGGTGCTCACTGGCATGTTGCGTTGGCGACGGTACATTTTCGGCCAATGTTCTTTGTACAATACGAATTGCATTATGAATTTCTATGAATTTCTAGTAGTCTAAAAAGGTTAGTAGTATTCAGATAAAATAGTGATGTGATGGGAAATACATCGTAAACACGGCAAGCTAGAACTGGTCCTGAATACAATAGACTGTCAAATGTATTTTGAATACACTAGTCGACGTTGTAGATATCTTTGAAATACAACAGATGATCAAATACACTTGCACTTACTATATTCAGAAATAGGAAATAGTTATGCGGCGCCTAGTAGCGCTTGGGAGAAACTACTGCAGGAGAAATGCTGCCAAGACGCCAAGGACAAGAAGCAACATTGAAGTAGATGCACGAGACCCAACTCTCTGCTTCAGACGTTGGTCCGTTAGTAATCGCCGGACATGCACCTGTTCATCGGCTCATGGTATTGCCGCGCGCTGTAACTGGACGCCGGGAGTGAGCGGCTGCATTCATCGATCGATGCAGAGATGAGACGAGTTGGTAGACCCGTGTATTCCTTGGTGATGCTGGGAATAGACCTGGACGGCTTGATCAGCTGTCTCGCCAATTGATGCTGGGAATAGACTTGGACGGCTTGATCAACTGTCTCGCCAATTGTAGCCTGCTGCCCAGAACAATGGGAGGTTCCATGTCCGTCATCTCGGCCGTCGTTGCGCCGGGCCCGTCGCCAGCTTCCCTTGCCACCAGACGACACTTGTATTGAATGTATCGCGTCTGCCACGATCTGGTGACTTGGACTCTGCTAACACTTGAACCCCGGAAAACTACGGAGTACCGCGGCAAGGTAAAGGAATCTGGTTCCGCGCGGCACGGGCTGCGGAAACACACATATGTATGCACACACGGACTGACGACGCCAACAGCCAATCCTCACGAGGCTTGGTGTGGACCTCGGTGTGTTCAGCTCCCAGGGGCAAGCAGGTCTTCGATGGTCTCTGGGCGCTTTTAGTATGCTTAAGCAAGCTTGGCCATGGCCCAGGCATCGAATGGTGTCACGAAGCGGCCGCCAGAACGGGGCAGCTGAACCGCATGGCGGCGGTTTGGGGTAATGACCAGGCACGATGCATGCGTCGAGAGATTCACGACATGTCAAATCGGGTCGTGGGCTGCGCTTGGCTCTGGCAGGCAGACCTGAGCAGTGAGGACTCTGAGGAGGCCCGGGGTTGAGCGTCATGGTGCATGGAGCGGCGGATCTTGCAGTTCACGTCTCGAGTTTTTCATCTTGCATCCTGCGGCCATTCCTCAAGAGCCGGCCATGGCTTCCTGGAGCTGGACCATCTTGTCTTGGGCGGCCCTTTGTGTCGTCGCCGTTTCGTCCGTCGACACTGTCTACGTGACGGACATTGAAATCTTCACCTACCTGGTACGCAGCCAACGCCGCCTTCGCGCAAGATTCAGCTAACCGCCGAACTCCCAAGGCACCGTGTGCCTCCAGCGCCATCTCATACAATGTCGCGCTGGAAACAATGTCGACGAGGTGCGGCGACGGGCAGGCCGCCCTGCAGTCGTGCATCTGCCGCAACACCAGCGAGTTCAACCACGTCGCCTCGCGCATCAACTCGGACATATCCTCGGGCTGCGGCACGGCCGCGGGAACGAGCGACGCATGGAGCGCGTCCCGAATCATGGACAAGTACTGCCATCCCGAGAGCGCCGTCGCGTTTGCCACGCCCACCGCGAACAAGGTCTACGCCTCCATTACCGAGATCCCGCAGATATCCTACCTGCCGTCGTGCGCGCAGTCGGGACTCTCTTACGCCGTCATAGGCGAGGTACGTCTTGTGCTGGGCCGACGAGGCCGCGCGCTGATGAAGCGGAATTGCAGTTCTTGTCCAAGTGCCCCCGGGATGCGAGCCTGTACGCGCCCTGCGTCTGCAACACGGACAGGGCCAAGCTGGTCAGCGAGACCATGAGCAGATCGGTGCGGTCGTCTTGCTCAAACGACGAGGACGTGACGGCGGCCCAGGGCTTCTTCAACGACTACTGTGCCATGAACAGCGGTACGACTTCGTTTGCTGGCCCGCCGCGCCCGCCTGGTGACAGTAAGTGTTGACATGTAGTCTGGCGGTGTTTATCCCTGGGCACAATGGCCTTTTTAACATGGTTGGTACAGTGACATACTACGTGACTGCGTTGCCGCAGTTCAAGTCTCTCCGCTCCTGTGCCCAGAGCGCCATGTCCTATGTGGTGCAGGGCGTACGTTTCCCATCCCCCTTTTTGCTGAAAACGGAAGAAGTCTTGCTGACGCCGGACACAGCAAACGGACTGGCTGTGCGGCTCGGGGCCACAAGCCCTCGCCTCGTGCGTATGCATCAAGTCGGGCATGCGCGGCAAGATATCGAGCACGTTGACGTCTAGTGTCAAGGGGTATTGCTCGAGCACGGCGATTGACGATGTCACGTCGGCTGTCAACGTATTGGACTATTACTGCAGCGCAGCCGAAAGCAAGGTTGTCGCCACCGTGTCCGAGTCCATCTCTGAGTCGGCGGCAGCCAGCGTTCCATCGCGGACACAGGCCGGCTCCTCTGTCCCTTTGGAAACCGGCGGCGCTGGAGGAGGAGGAGGAGCAAGCAACGGAGACAAAAGCAGCTCGGGCAATGACGGGAACAAGGTGAACAAGGTGGCCGTGATTGCAGCCTCGGTCCTCGGCGCAGTCGTCGTCATTGTGCTCGTCGCTGGTCTGGTATGGTTCTTTAAACGCCGTAGCCAACGCAAACAGCGAGGACAACAGCTCCCTGGCGGCGACACAGATGCCCGCCCGGGAGAATTCGACCCGTCCAAGTATCTGAATCATGGTGTTGCCGAGTTGTCCACGCCATCACACACTCCGCGCCCGGAACTGCAAGGGAATGCCGCGCCTCTCCCGTCAGAACTGCCTCCAAGTCCACAGCACTGGCCGAAATCCGAGCTGCAGGGCGATGCCGTGTACAGACCGGATCTGAGACCAGCCCAGCCTCCTCAAGAGCTATTGGCCCCAGCATCTGGGTACCAGGCTGCCCCTCCAATCTACAGCTCGCCGACGAATGCATCGCCCCATCAGGGAATTCATGCTGCTTACGGGTATGGGGGGCCGCAGCAGACGGAATCGTATGAGCTGGGTACCCGTGTGCCGCGGTCGTAGGGGTTGGTTCTGGAGAGATACTTTGAAGGCGGACAAGGACGGCGAAACAGGCGTTTACGCATCATGATGGAGTTGATGTCGCAACGGCAGGGTTCTCGTGATTTCTGAAATGACTGGAATAATCGGTGGTGCACCATGTATACTATGCAAACTGTATTCTAATGCCAATAAATCGGAACAAAGCATGACTATTGTAAACTGTAAACGTTGGCCCCGGAGACAGCCGGCTGAAGATGTTTAAAGAAATTCGTGAGCCAACAAGTCAGAATAGACAGGAAATATCAAATAAGACTGGAGTGACAGAATTTGGGCCTAGAAAACAGCGCCGTGTCCTTGACGTATTGCTACATACATGTGTACCCAAATGCCGTCTCGCACGCCCGATGGTTGCGGGCTGTATTTACTATTGGCGCAGTTTATATGAAACAAATAGCCGGATTTCTCAGCCGCTGCCATCCCGGCGACGCGACACTCGTCTGACCATTTTCCAACCTTGGACTCGACCATTAAGCGCGCCGCGTCTGTCTGCCGAACAACAAAGACAAAATGCCGCTACACCATGTCGAATACGTCCCATGTCGAGATTAGACTTGGCCGCAGGTGAAACCAACGGTCCGCTCATCTAAAAAACAACATTGAAGCACTGTAGGCCAAAGATACGTGGAAATTATAGTGCCTCTCCGCCTCACCGGCGATTCATGCTATCGAGGGCTGGGCGCGTTGTGCCCGCAACGTGCCTGACTCGATATAAAGTTGTCGCATGGTGCTCGCCCAGCCGCGCATAGCAGACATTCAGCCAAGGTATATGCATAAAGTATTTGATTGACTCTGGTGGCAGCCTGCCAAGTATCGGCACCGGCGTCGGCGCTCCCCTCCGTGCGTGCAAGCAATGACTCAAGTCTCGTGGTGCCCTGTATCATTGCATGAGAATACACGCCGGCCAAGGGTTTTAAACATGAAACAAGCATAAGCTTATATATTAACCTTTTGCAAAGCGCGTATAATTTTGGAGTCATGGGGCAGGTATATATAGACGTCGCAGGTGCCCGTTGAGTGGGATGCCCGTGTATCTGTCTGCCAGCAATTCTTCTTGCCGGCATTCCAATCAGAATCCATTCACCTGAACCTTGAACATTTCAATTACCAAAACGCTCTAGTCAAAATGAAGTTGTCGATTACCCTCGCTAGCATCATCGTCCTGGTGGCGGCAGCTCCGGTCGAGGTTCGTGATCCGCAGCCGGTTCGTGACCGCATTGACCTCGACCGAGGGGGCTTCGCTACCGGGGAATACTACAACGGCGTTGATTTACCTCCAAGCAACCAAGGGGAATTCTTCAGCGGCACTCAAAGACCTTCATACGACCGAGGGGACTTCGCCGACGAGGAATCCACAGACGAAGAATTGTACCCCAATGACTTCACACTTGGCCGCAGAAAGACTGCCGTGATCTCATAAGGGCCACGGTCTAGCCTTTGCGAAGAGCCTCGGGGTACGTCTACTTGAAGTCTCCATGTCCCTACCAATACGCAGTAGCTAACTTGTTCAGTGTAAATAACCCAACATGGACTGCAAGGGCACAACACTGGACCTGAATACTGGAATTTACCAAGACCGCTTTAGTCCCTGTGTTGGGGTGCGCTCGACATTCATACCGAGATGGCCGAAGCATCGGGATGCAGACCACTGTACCAAGCCCTAGATATCGCTCACTAGGTAGATCAAATAAAGAATCATGGTCACATGTACATGTTCCATGGCTGTCATTCTGGCGGCATTGCGTTGCATGCGGGCGTCAACGGGTGAAATGCAGGGCATCACGACCAAGAGGTGTACATGGTTGGCTATAACAGACACTTGTGGAATTGCCTTTTACTTTGTGTGGTGAAACCGTGACAGCGGGCTATCACTCACTTACACCCGTCAACTTCAATGATCGTGCCATCAATATTAGGTCAGGTACAAGCGACTGTAGATGTGACCCCAGCGACAAACGTAACGCTGCTACACACGGCCCTGTCCGTAGGGACTTGCACATTTTAATTCCCAGATATCTCGACGCTGCAATCACCAATCATGTCGTTCATCTGGGTGTCATATTGGGTTTCCGGGCTGCTGCCAATGAGCTCCAACGTCTTTTGTTGAATGTAAATTCATTCTGTAGCAGCTATGTAATGGCGGAATTACGCTATCTATCCGCAAGGAAAAGTGTGGCATTATCGTTATCATTTGTGGCTTCAGTATTAGTTTCTGCATGAAGCCTTGCCATTTACCGCTCTACAGATGGTAAAAGATGTAATTTTTACAATCCCCGCATGTAGGCTCGAAGATATGGAGGATCAAAGTAAGCGAGACTGGCTAGCTAAAACCTTTGCCACCCTACAGGTCCTGCAACTAGTACTCTTATTGGACTTGGCATGGTGCGCCAGTTGTTGTGTGGTGTGAAATGAGATATACCTTGGCTAATTCATGGACAAATCGTGTAGCTTTTTGAAGTTGTCATCCCATATCCTAGACATGATTGAATCACTAGCAATAGCAGGGGTAGCTAAACGAGATCACAGCTTCCGCGCTCTCAGAAATATAATCAAAGTCGCATCAAGTACGAAGTACAAATCATTGCTCCATGGCTAAAGTCGATGAAGCAAAGATCGACGCAGCTTCGGATGAAAATCGCAAATTGGGTATTCGGGCGTGCCTGTCGCGTTCGTTGAGCCACAGGCATGCAGGCGTGTACTACATATGCCTCAAGGGGAGAGAAAAGTGCGAGGCTTCTAAATATACGGAGTAAATGGTTATAATTGTCGGGTGGTGTTGCAGCGAGGTCGCCGAGACATTTAGTAAGAAAATCGCGACCAAGGTGTCACGTTGTACGTGCCCATGTTCCGCATCCGGACGAAGAGTGTTGACTTGGCGAATGTATCCCGACGATAAAGGGTATAAGTAGCCGTCCCTCCGGCTCATTCAATACCGTACTTTCTTCCTCTCCCGGGCCAGTCAAGCTCAGAATATGACGCACTACATCAAATCAGCTTGTCAAGACATACGCCACGATTTTTTGGTTTTCTTTCCAATTCCTAGTCAAAATGCTCTTCCGTCCATTCTCCATCTACGCCATTGCCTGGGGTGTCCTTGGATCCGCCGCTGCGGTGCTGCCAATCGAAGAGGTAGGCCATTCGTCGTATATCTGGTGGCGCGAACACTTTGCTGATGTCGAGTCCGGTGCGCAGGTTTCAAAATGTAGTCCAGTGTGCTGCGACAGCATCGGGAATGTACCTTTCAAGAGCTTGAACCCAGTTTGCTTCAATCCCAGCAACTGGGACGGCCTTGCCTGCGGTTTCGGTCAAACTCGTGCCTGCTGCATGAAAGTAGGCTCAGTACGTCTTTCTTCCGCAGCTGTTCTTGGGCCACGTCTAACCTGTCCATCAAAGTCCAAAGGAAACACGGCCGTGGGCGGGAGGTGCAAGAAAATATAGGGAAAATAGTACCAACCAGTGAGGCATCGCAGCATAGGCTTGAGAAATTGATGCCACTGGTGTATTGAATTTTGATTTTTCGCTTCTCGTCACACGGCCAAGAAAGGTATCATGAGAACCCGGAGTCGGACCTTAGCCGAGGGCTGCTTCAGGCACTAGCCCTCACCGAATTCTTATATCAATAGAGAGCTCTGTTCCCTCAGGATCTTGAGGAAAACCAAGGATTTTTGCTGCCTTAAAGTTGCTTATTAAATTGACTTTGAACTACTGTTCTAAGCCTAGTTACCCTGCCCTTGTCACATGCCACATCACAGATGACAAGCAAAAGGCCTCGCCCAAACCTTCCGTCATCGGCATGCTGATGTTGGCCCCACGATTATTTGCAGACACACACTTTTGAGTATATTCGGTGGCCCTAGACTCCCAACCAGGATGCCTGTGCCAATACAGGTAAAATTACTACTGGCGAATACTGGCCACTATGGATGCCGTTAGGATAAGTAGTCCGAAGGTTATAAGGTATCCAAAGCCTTGGTTCCACGAACAGCTCGTAAATTAATGTGCCAGTGGCGTAATAGAGGGCTTGGAGCAAAAGTCCTCGGCCAAGGGGTCAGTCCCGGAGCTGACCCACATTTCCCGATGCCAAGCCGGCGTACCGGTGTCCGTGTGTCGGGCCATAATAAATAGTAAAGGCAAGAATGTAGAGTGTTGCAGCAAGAGCATGTCCATATGCATCTTGAGGTGATGCCCACTCCAGTTTCCTCTCGAGAACATGAGCAATCAGTCACTACCCAGCACAGCATCGCATCCAACCACTCCGTCCAGAGCAGAGACCAAAGCGGAGCAAAAGACATCTGAGGGATGTGCTTACTCGTCTGCTACACTGTGGCCCGAATTTCTGGATAACTGGAAAGAGTTGCAGGTGACCAACGGTGATATATACGGCAGGGCCTGGACAAAACATGTCATTGACAAATCTGACATTCCCATCGACATCCATGCCACCTTGTGCGACGTGGTCTTTGCTTGACCTTCCATCAGTATTACCAGGCCGCCATTGGAACCCTATTTCTTTCGCCGCCCAGCTCGGGATGGCTGACGGCGCGCCTAATGATTCGACATCCAGCCACATCGCCCTTGGCTCCGTGTTGGGTACCTGTGCCATTTCACAGACGACTCTGTGGATTTCTAGGTATCCAGGCAGGCCATAAATTGCTGGTACATCCTATAAGATGTATAACTCATGCTTCATCGGTATTATTCACCAAACCTGGTCGGTAGTTGTTATATTACCTATTATCAACCACATGAACATGTACCCGACGCCGCATGGGTCTGAATATCCGGCACATCAATAAGCTTATTTTCCCGTTCTATTCCGTACCCCGTATCCAGTGTACGTTTTATTTACTCGTGTTATCCGAAAATGTCCCACCAAAGCCAGGGATCAGAACGAGACATTTCACACCACTCAGCCTCAGTGACACCAATATGCACATGTGGAGTTGAGGTACAAGGCTGGGAAGCTTGATGGACATGCCGAGCCAATCAAGGGCTCACAAAGACGTGGCTTGGGGGGACCGAATGATTCACCTAATAATAATAATACTCGGTGAGGCTGCAAATGAAATGAAAAGCCAAAGATAAAGCAACAAAGCCCCATGCCAGTAAGTTATGCCTTGCATTCTGGCCTTGGCCAGTGGTGCTGTGCATTCAGCGTCCGTTGGTGGCAAGTTACTTTCGCGTGGGTTGATGTGTTTCTCGGTACTAGCTGAGGTGAATGGTGCAAATGTGACCCAATGCTTATTCGAATAAATGGTGTCTTTCCATCGTTGCTCCATATGAGCGCTGCGAGGCCCCTATTAACATGGTCCCGTGTTGCGAAAGTGCATTGGATCTTATTGAGTAGATTTACGCTTGAAACGCTTCTTTTGCAAGACGGTATACATAAAACATGTCATCACTCATCCATAATATAAACTTGTGGGACGTGTGAAACGTTGCTGCAGGCATGTAAAAGGGGTCGACGTGGGAATCACACGCCGGGTAACGGACTACTTTGACATGCGGTCCCCAACACAACACTGCCAATTCGCTCCCGCTACCCTCAATGCAACTAGGCCATGGCCAAAATCTCTGCGAAACATTGTGCAGACTGTCAACATGGACAGCGCGGCCACAAACACGGCGGCCGACGCGACCATAACCACCAAGCCGGCTCTTGCAGCGCGATCGACTCTACCAACAACCAATCTCGGCGCTCTCACAACAACCTTTACGCCGGCTGACGATTGCATGTCTCTAACAAACCGGTACTTTAACTCGGAGAAGCCAGGAACCTACTACTACAACTACGGCTTCACCTGCAATGTCAACGGGGTAAACGGCCCCATCTTCGGTCCCATGGCGAAGCCCACCTGTTTCCCCGAGTCGTTTGCCTCGGCATTTACCTGCGAATTCGAACTCTCGGACATGGTGACGCCTTATCCCGTGTACTCGCCGGGGCTGATGTGCCCACACGGCTACGGACCGAGCTGCACAATCTCCCAGCCAGCGGGCACAGCTTCCGACGCCGCCAATGCGACTTCGAGTCCGAATCTGGCCGAAAGGAAAATCCAGAGTATGCTTAAAGCCGGGGAGACGGCAATTGGCTGCTGCCCGAGGTAAGGATTCAAGGGAAACCTCTGACTTTCTGCCCTCGCCCAGCAACTATGCTTACCCAAAACGAGTTTGTCTACAGCGGATATGCCTGCGATACATCGAAACCTCATGGCTGCGTATCAACGGTAAAACTCGGTGGACAAGTAACAGCGGTAAACGGAGCGCGAGGCGTCTGTTTCCAATCGACGGCCTTGGTAACAAGGACAGCGATTTCGGACACTCGAGCAATTGCATGGGGGCCGAGGGTGCTCATTGTTCAACCCACACCCGGGCCGTCTACTGGCGAGAGTTCAAAGGACGACGGGACGGCAAAGACGAGTCTTTCTCCTGGGATAGAGGCCGCCATTGCCGTATCAATACCCCTGGGGCTGACGATATTTGGTCTGGCAATATATATACTGGTATATTGGAAACGGAAAAGGGCAAAGTCAAACGGAAAGGCCGTATCAGCACGCCTCGGCGGCCATGACTGCGGCATACCAGAGTTGGAGGGAAAGGGCGTCATCCTACCGTCGAATAGTCCCACGGACCAAAGCGACGTGTCGTATGAATTACCAGGAGATCATCGGTACTTGTCGCAGGAGCTTGAAAGCATTACGAAGCCTGTAGAGCTCGGCATGGGGGAAAATAATTAGCCTGGGTGCTGGGATAGCGGAGAGCTTGGCCAGCTGCTGTAGCTGGATGTAGGTATATTACGGAGGCATACTTCCGCCGCAGCCGCAGATGATGAGCGGACAACCTGACCTGCGGTGATTCGAGCATTGAAAGTATTATCTCGGAGGGTCTACCGAGCTTGGAAAAGAATCTTTGATAAAGGACTGCTTGGATGCAGTCTTGATATTTGGACTGTGTTGGAAATGAACAAATTACTTGTCATGTGAATAAAAGAGACGAGATACGAGAAATAATATGTAACTATTAGTTTTGGCTTGAATTATCCGTTTTTATCCTGCTGTTTCATGTTTTTCAACGAGATTTTCCAGTGCGTGTCAGTTTGGTGGATAAGGTCCATGCCCAAGTTCTGCAACTTGTCGTGATCTAGAAGGGACAAGATGAATGTGAATCCTGGCTTTGCCCAAATATGCATTTTTCACATTATCGGTCAAGCCATTTCAACATATACCTTCCGCCAACCATAATCGCCTGTCAGGTATGCTGGGCCACTCGCAGAGGCGTAGTCTCTACCTCGCCGGCCAAGAACAGCAGTATTCACGCATTGAGGCAGCCCTTTTCTTGAGACCGTTACTCCATGTCTCGACAAATCAGGCGGCAGCAACCGTAAGAGTCCCAGCAGCAACGCCGCCGGGGTGTTCATTGCCAGTCGACTCTGACCCCTGAACCCATGGAACAAGCCAGGCCAGCCGTGTCGCACACCCCGTGACAACAGCCTACCACACATGTTTGTACACCATCGCGCAGCAAGTGGCTTGGCACATGGGGACATTGTCCTTGGTGGCGCACACTTTGCTTTGTCTGCCCGTAGCTGGTGGAGTCTTTGGACAAGTGTAGGCGTGATGGGGCAGATGTGCTTGGGGTCTGGTTATTGTTCTGGAGGATATTGAACAGATTCCTCAAGCACGATATCAAGGTGCTTTAAGGGCAAGGTGCTTCATCGCCGCTGAGCGGTGGAGTTTGAGCGACCATCACAAGCATCGACGGCAGGCTTTGACAAACATTTGTCCACCAACCACCACAGCCCTCATGGTGCCGGCAGTTGTTCAGCCACACTGCGTCTCGGCTCTTTTTGGCTCATTCTATATTTGGACTACCCTGCCGCAGCAACCGGTGTACAAGAATAGGCCGTGCCACTGCCGGAGGCGTCCGACTTGGGCAACGCCATGGCTCCCATTGGATGGGCTCAGTGCCTGGCTACTGGGGTCGAGACGTCAACTATCCCTTTTGATGTTTTGCCCCTGCCAGGATTATTAGACCAGCTAATTTTGGTGCAGCCCGAGAGCTTCATCCAAGCTTCCATATACCGAGTATAATTCGATTAGATATCATGGGCGACCTGGAATCCTGCTACGAACGTATACTTTCCCTTCCTCTTATATCGTCTGTTGGAGAGAGAGCTGTTTGCATGGCTGGTCTAGCGCCGGTTTGCTTTTTGTGAGGGTGGTCAGATCCAGTGAGGCTTTGAGGTAATAACGGGTACAACGGACAGAACATGAGGAACGGATTGCAGTGTAACTGGAGCGCTTTCTTTGTGACACTGTACCACTGCAACCTTACCACGGCTAGTGTTGTGCTAGAATACGCATCAATTCATAGATATATTCATGTGCTATTTACTCGCCATATCCGTCACATCATGTATACAATTTTGACCCCTACAACAGTACAAATCGAAAAATACCCATGTCCTACGTACGAGGGCTCCCCGACATCTCCGACATCTCCCGCACAGGCCGTTCCGGCTGCGTGTTAGCCATCTCCTGCGGAGCAGCCGGATACCAGTTTTGCAGCCCCTGAAAATGCTGCTGAGGCAAAATCTGCGTATTCAAATAGCTGGAAGGGTAAACCGGAGCCGGCACCGGCGACGCCGACCAACTCGCTCTCGCAAAGCTCTGCTGGTACTGGGACGGCGGCGAAGGCGAATTCGGGCCGGTGCTGAGATTCGCCATGACGGACTTGGCCCTGCTGGATTCGAAATCCTGCGACGTGTCGTTGCTGCCACCTTGTGCTTCTGGGGCGAGTTCCTGCTCGGAGCCCGAACCCTCGGGCTTCCGGCGGCGTTTGAGAAAGTAAAACAGGTTACCGAGCAAGGCGCAAGCGGCTGATGGAGGTGGTCAGCTTGTGCGCACGACAGCGCGGCAGGGACGGTCCGATGGCCAACTTACCGATTCCTCCTACGACTCCTCCGACGATTGCGCCGGTGGGAGCCGGCGGTGACGGAGGCGGTGTCGGGATTGGTGACGGGCTGGTTGGACTTGGCGGCGGTGTTGTTGGCGGCGGCGTCGTAGACATGCCTTTGGTGCGCGTGGTCAGGATCGCCATTCTCCCTCCGGCCGAGTCGCATATGAACCATGTACACCCCAAGCAGGGGCCGTTGCTGTAGATGAGCGACAGGCACGACGGACTGGCCGAGTAGGAACTATCGTCTCGGGTGATTAGCATGCTGCCCTCGTACGCCGTGCCAGGTCGGGCCTGATCGGCTCGTTCTCCGGCGGGCGTAGGAAGCTCGCTTACCAATGTTTCGTGACGCCGGTGTCATTGGGGGCGGGCGAGGTGGACGGCAGGCACGCCGTCGGGATGTAGCAAGACGTCGAGGCCGTACAACAACCGGCTGCCGAGGCGGTATCGTTGTAAAAGCATTCATAGGGGTTGTTGCACCAGGCCGCTAAGCCAAGTCAGCTTCTCCCGGGCCACGAGGAGGCCGATGGAATGCAAGAGGCACGCACCCTCTGTTCCGTCAATGTATCCGCAAGTGTCATCAGCCCGACGGTGAAGGAGCCCGGAATATGCAGCAGCGGCCGTGGTCACGGCAGGGCCTCCTCCAAAGGGCGTCACTTGCTGCTTCTGGACAGGAGCATGGGATGTTGGAACCAGGGTTGCGCTGACACCAGCAACAACCGCGGCAATGGTACATATTCGAAAGGCCGACATTATGCGACGTCTGGTATTGCTCAGTCAAGTGATTGGGCTCAGTGTTGAGGACCAAGATGCACAGCCCAGGAGAGTGCTCGACTCGACAGTCTCGGGTGCAAACGACACGTTTGGTTCTAAAATAACACGACTTCTGGCTGCGATATATGTCTCACATCTCGCACATTGGGCCTGGGGTTCGAGCGGTTCAGACGAACAGACATAAAGGGGATAGTCCGGCCTGGCAACTAACTTGCCAAGTGAGGCCATCGCTGCCATTCGACGTCCCATGCTTGTGTGAAAGTCTGGCGCCTTGGGTTTGGTTGTCGAGTATTTTAAGACATTTCAGCCATCCGCGGTCGACGGGCCTAGTAACCGCGACGGGGGTTGCCGTCTCAGATATGCCAGCCTATACCAGACATTTTACATGGCTGCTGCCAACTACGTAATTCGGCTGACCACACTGGTATTCTTCTGCGGCCGAGAATGCAATATGGCGTCGCTACTGCAAGGCGGTGGGTAATTCATATTTACTAGGCAAACCAGGTAAGTAACTGTGACTGGAGCCAAGTAATATATAGCCACCGCATAATTATTTGACAAAACGACCTATGTTTGCACGATAACCATGTCCACTACAAACACCGTCGACGGCACATCCAACATCACGGTCGCCATCTATGGCGCTGGAGGCGTGGCGCGTGGCACTCGGAGGCTTCTACTAAAAGTTTACCGCCACGGAGGCAGACTGATTTCGCAGGGCCCTTTCGCGTGCCGGTACCTCTTACAAAATCGGAATGAATTAGCTTGCTTAAAATAAGGAGTAATGCAGTGAGTTGCGATGACACAGATCCCTCCGGAGGCCCACTCCGCACCGGCCCCGGCCCGGTCATGGCATTTTGAGAGTCCGATGTCACCTTCGGGACTCATTCAGGCTACCATCTTAACGCCCGGGACGTATTTTTCCGATGTGGCCTGCACTGGGTATCCGTGACAACAATCACGGCATCGAGGATTTGCGCCTCTGCACTGAACTGTCAATTGATGTCTGGTAAGACTCGTGCGCCTCCGGACACCTATTGGTTGTTAGACAATGGAAGCAGCGACAGGTGGGCACAAGGCAGACATGAAGCAGAGAGGCGTCGACGGTGTGGCAGTGCTTGCGCTTCGCAGCCCGTAGCAAGCCACGTCAGATTGTAGTGAAAGTGGCGGCACGGAACTAGGTGTCTGCCACGCTGCATCAGGTCCACCAACCTTGATGTTCCTCTTTCATCTTTCATCTATTTTCCTCCGAGTATAAAGAGATGCCATTTGACAGAGGTGTACCATGGGACCTCGACATCTTGAGGCTCTGCGTACGGGTTGGGCTGCAAGTTGTAATTTGCAAACCATGGGTCGGGTTTGACTGACTGTAGTCGATTCTTGGCGAGACCACCGCAACAAGCCCAGCTGACCGCTGCGGCCTAGAATTATCAATGTTCATGACAGCATGAACCTGGTCACTCGCACTGCATAGCTAGTTGAACCAATCAACCGTAGCCAGTGTGACTCTTGGATGTAGAGGACTCCCGCGGTATCATCGCCCACAAAGTCAACACCATCTCCGCTACTCAAACATGAATCCTCTGCCATAATTTTACTTACAATAACAGGGTTGAGATGGCAAGAGTTGCTGCATTACGGCAAGTTGTGTTTACTCAGAGTTATGGCAGATTGCAGAGGCACAACTCAACACAGAGGTGTACAATCATTTCAATTCACCAAAGCCATAGCTCGCCGGAAGGATCCAGCATGATATTTCGAGGTGACAAGTCATGGTGAATAAACACAAAGGGTCTCCCACCCGAAAACGTCCGTTTCGGCAGTTTGAGTGTTGGCCGTTTAAAACGTGACCAAACATCAACCCGCTCTCTATGCCACGCACAAAGTGCCGAGACCCGAGTTGCTACCTCTATTTGGCAATGCTTTCGTCACACAAAGTTTGGCATTTGCCTGTTTGCTCCTCGGCACCGCCCAGACACGCACGCAACTTGGGCTGAGCCACCACCTCCGCTGCTTCGCAACCGCTCTCGGTCTCGTTCAGGACCCACTTCTCGGCAGTTCCGTCCGCCTCCGCAACCTCCTTGTAATCTGATTGGTCGCGGACGGACTTACACGCAGCCCTGGCGGCGTCAGCATTCCACATGCGGTAGGTGATGCCGTTGAGGACACACGTATAAAATAGACGTCTCATCCCTCACTTGAACGTGATTATACTGCCAGCACCACTTGCAGAAACCTCATACACCGCAATATCAAGTCTATACCTCTCTTTCTCCTCTCGCATTCACACAATGGGTCTCATCAAGACGCTTATCGTGTCTGGCGCTGCCGTCGCCGTAGCCAAGGAATTCAATAAGAAGCGACAAGACAAGAAACATTCAAACGGCCCGCAATACGGACAAGACCAGTTCAGCTACGGCCCGCCTCCTCCTCAACGGCACCAGGGCTATAGTCAGCACAACTACCAGCAGTACGCGCCCCAGGGTCCTCCGCCAAACTACTACAACCAGCCGAACGCAAACCAGGCCCCGCGACCAGAGAAATGGTCAAAATACTGATTTGCGAGGAATCTCATCGCCAGAGGAGCGAAATGATCTTAATTCAGTTTATTCTCGGCATCTAAGATGGGTGATAATGTTTAGACGATGGGTACAGGCGCATAAGAGGGACATGAAATTTAGACGACAGATACCGGGGCTTTTATCAGTGTATTTATAACCGTTATACGGCACGTTAATTTTTATCCGTTGACAAAACATTACTCTCACGAGTCACGACCCACGTTCAAGGCCGCGCTTCTCGATGGCAAACGTTCGCATCTCTCCCCGCATAAGCAGACGACGATAAAAACTCGTTAATACGTCTGATGGATTTATTTTCGCGTCCGCGGGGCGTTGTAGCGCCATCGAATAGCATTGGTAGGATAATAGATTGTGGAAGCGCAGGACTTGATGACGATACTGCCGAGCCATTATCACTGAAGTCTGGCAGGATTCACTAGCAACAGGAACAAGAATGAAACTTGGCTCGCAAAGAATAGCCTTCTTCAAGCGACATTGTGGCACCTTGAGATGGCGCACCATGGGGATTGAGATGGAGAGTGTTGACAAGACGAGCTGGATTGCATCAATCGTGCGGGGAATTTGAATGCCCTTAAAGATGCGCCGACTGTAAATGAAGCCGCATCATGTTTCCCATGCGTTGTAGTACAAAAATAGGTAGAAAATACCAGACCCTGTACAACTTTCTCCGCCCCAGACCCCCCCACCGGCACCGGCCCCCACGGCACTTAAATACCGGACAGCTCCGAGTACTCCGTAGTGACCAGATCTGGAATCTCGCATCAATTACACGTGGGCGCGCTAAAATATCCGTGTCGACAGCTCCGCCCCACCAGACGGCATTAAAATACCAGCAGCTCCGATGTCCGAGTAGTGAATCCCGTCGCCGGCACCAGACCGCGTTGTGACAGGCACCAAACGAGGCTGGGCTTCATCACACCATATACAGCTAAATTGCAACATCGAGGCGCGTCTGCCCAGCCAAATGCCTTGTATAGGTTGAAACCAGGCCGTCACACACAAGCCTTTTTCGATTTTATGCTGGCACCCATATTAAATTGCCTTTTACGACACTGTCATTCACAAGGGGGGTGTAGCTAGAGGCCGCTCATCGTGTGTTGCAACTCCTGCAAGGTCGTGTGTGATTTTTGTAATTGATGACGTTATCTAGAGGGCTAGTAGCTTTTTTGCTTCTTGTATACTTTTCTTTTTATTCTCTACCATGTAAATAATTTTAGTACTAGCATCTTCTATCCAAGTAAAAGACCTTTATGCATTCTTGTAAAGACTAACAACAATTACGTAGGTAGCCAAAGATGAGATTCTTACGCAATGTATGGCACAATGGTACATATTGATTTACCATGAAGCCTTGCAGGACTGCCCGACAGAGTCCTCCGCGTATCGGGACCCCGGCGATTGTCAAAATAGCAGACCTAGGGAACGTGGCATCAATGTCGTATTATTCCCGACTCGTCTATGCATAATTAAAGTGGAGGCTACTTAGTACTGATATTTAATCGCCCTGTTGTTTCGAACGTATGCCTATCTAGGTAGCCAAGACACTAGACTGTGAATAGTTCCGAGCAAATATTAAGCCGTGGGCGTGGCCCAGCCTGCCTTGGCAGCCTAGCACGTTACAACTCGGCTGTTGATCGACTAGACAGTGCCCTGGTGCTACCATGATATTGTTGTGTAGACAACAAGACGCTTGTCTATATGTAGGATTTCGACTAACCTGTCCGAGGGGCAGATCTATTGTGTAGGTAAAATATTGTGATATATTCCTGTCTTTTCTTCCAACTTGACTCGTTGAGGTCTTTTATCTTTACTCTATAGCCACCTGAAATCATTCAGGTGGTTGGCCAGCGTTTATGTTTGTAGTTACGGATGGGAACCTGTAGCGGTGCCGGCACGCTGCAAGTACCACTGGTGGAATCAACTCGCATGTGGTATTGACTGGACACATCTACCGGTTCCCGGCCGCCACGGCTATGCTCTGCTAGAAGTGCCGGGCAGGGCCGCGTCTGCAAATACAGGATTTGACTCAGACCCTTGGTGGCCATGACCGGATAACATGAAAAAAACCTTGAAGCATTGTTAAATTGCGTTTATGCGGCCGACGTCGATCGAAATGAGAAACCAACAGCCATTGTGTTGTAGAGATGACGTGGCCGTCGGTGATGGGAATACGCCTGCTACTGCAAATGTCGACACTGCAGCTTGTTGCTTGTTGAGTAAATGTATAAAATGTTATACGCCCGCTGCCTTCAGAGAGTGCTCACCAGTCACCATCACACTCGTTTCAACATCTTTTCTCCTCATCTCTCGACCTGTCACTACCGGCACAATGAAGGTCACAATCGCTCTTCTCATCATCACCCGCTTAGCGGCGGCTATTCCTTCAAAATCCACTGAGCCCTTCTGGTATTCCTCCAAAGTGGACGAAACAGATTCAAGACCATCGCTGCCCGAGGATTCGAAGACTGTGCTGAGAAGGGCGAGTGGTGACCAGGCCGATCTGCGTATCGCCTCCAAAAGAGCCTATTACGATAATGACAAACCGCATGGCGAGTCCGAAGTAATCACTCTGTACATTTACAATGCCGGTCCCAATCGAGCCGTAGCCCCCGAGATTAGGGCTGGCTACGGAGGCTCCATGGACCAGGACAGAGCCACAGCTACTTTGCGTCAAGTGAACGAGTGGCGTCAACCATCTCAAGGCATAAAACATGGATCTCTTGCTTGGGCCGGTTTGCCCAATCCATCCAGTAGGGTTGACGAGCGGGACATGGTGATTACTCTTCCAGACGTCCTAGCAGGGGTACTCATGGAACTCAACATAGAGTTCCCCATGACACACGAAACGTCCTATGCCGACCACACAATGAAGGCATCAGTTTCGTCGTCGACAACCGATCCACGTAAAGGGAATAACGAAGCTACATATATCATCACTCCTAATCATCACGATGATGGTCAAGATTATTGGAATACCCCCGGCAACCTGGCCAATCTCGACTTTAACGGGCTGAAAGCCGAGCCACTCTCACAGGCAGATCTGCGCATTGCCTCCGCCAGAGAACGCTACAATAATGATTTGCCGTACGGAGAGAACGAGGTCTTGACATTTCTCGTCTTCAACGACGGACCAACTATTGACACTAGGCCTGTTTTAACGGCGGGCTACACCTCGTCAATGGACGAGGACAAAATGTCGTCTAGCGCTGAACAGGTTTGGGTACCTGATGGAGTCGATCCTTCGTGGGATCTCGAACACCACGTCTGGCAGCCTCTTGACGGCGCCAATTGCCGCATTGACGAAAGCAATGTCGTTTGTGATCTTCCAGATATTCCACCCACAGTGTTATATCGAGTCAACATCACTTTCCCAATGAGCCATGAAACTACATACAAGGACCATACCGCCACTGCCAAGATCTCGTCTCAAGCCACGGATCCGAATCCAGACAACGATTCTACGAGCTATGTCATCACACCAAATCACGATGACGATGGTGATGAATACTGGCGGGCTCCTGGGAACATTGCGCAGTTGAATGGTCCTTCTGCTCCGGTTGGAGGTCGACCCTGCTCGACAGGCTGGCTTCTCGATACCCCAATCATCATGTCAAACAGCAATGGCCGTGCGCAACTTCCTCTAAACGAGCTAGAGGAATGGGTTAATTCAAAGGTGGGCCAGGTCATGAGTTACGACATTGGTGAGAAAAAATTGAAGCCAAAAACTGCCACCGGCGTCGAATATGGGACTTCTGGAGAAGTCACCGTCGTTTCCTTCGTCTCGGATGGTGAGACTCAACTATCCTGGAGTGCCCACCCAGACACGCTGGTGTACCTGTATCCCACGACGATCCAGGTTGGCCAAGACAAGGTGCGCATTGGCTACTGGATTCCGGTGCGAATGCTTTGGGTCGGCGCAACCGTGCGAGGGATGAGTCCCGACGGTGGCATAACATCGTCCCAGGTGACGAATATACAGCAAGCAAAGGGTTCAGAGTTCCGAAGCGCCCAGCCTCACATGGTGAGCCAAAGCCATAGCTACGTCGTTGGAACAATGGGCGCAGGAGGCATCCTCACCCACAATCCAAACGACAACCGGCTCTGCGGCGATGCCAATGGCCCAGCCAGGCTGGCACTCCTTGCCGTTGTTGCAAACTTCCTGATAGCAAGACCACCTCTTCCCAATGTTCCCAATGTTCCACAACAAGGATACCACCTCCGTCACCGACGGCCTACCGACCCCCCTACTCCACGGCCGGCACACGGGCCGCCCGTCCTGCCTGCGGATGTACCCCGGCGTGATGAGCATGGAAACTGGCTCGTCTACTTGTACGAGGAAGACACGCCGGCTGCCGTGGAGAATGCTCGCTACGCGGTCAACGAGGCAGGGCATCCTTGGCAACTCACCTATGATCCGGCGGGCGCGGCTTCTCGACGAAGACAGTCTACCGGTGCCCATCCGTCGCAGAGGGAGCTTCTCCAACTGACGACCGCGGAGCTCACGGGCGGTGTTGGAACCGGACAGCTGGACCGCGATGAGTATCCGCCTGCCATTGCGCGGGAAGGCGGAACAGGCGCCGTCGTCACCTACATCGAGGCTGGGGATAATCGCGGCGCGGGCAGCCTGATGGGACGGCAGTTTGCAAACTACAGGACGAACCCGCAGCCCGACGGCCATGCACCGTTTGGCCCTGGTGATACATTCCGATATGCCATTATTCACGAGAACTTGAGAGCTATTGAATATCTTGGAGATGGCGTCGTGGATGAGACGCAGATTGATGCACCACCCACCCCTTAATGGGTAGCCGGCCTGCAATAGAGCAGCTATTCTCCAAGCACCCAGGCTATATTGGAGGGAGTTGAAGCACAGCAACTGTTGACATGTAGGTGAGGTGACCCGAATAACGGGCTGAGCCCGATGGTGATTCGGTTTGCACTCTCGCCTGCTGTCCCGGGACACCAATAAGCAAGATTAGTAGCGGCGACCTCGGGAGCTCTTCTTTTCTGCTTCTTTCTTCTCCTTTTTCTTTAGCTTTGGATATTCGTGGGAATCATCTAGTCGGTTGTCAGTTGTAACGGGCTGAGCCCGAGGTGGCTGGCTTGCGCTCTCGCCGAGAGATTAGCTGCGTCGAGCTCCCTGTTTCTTGTTCGATTTCTCCTTGTTTGGCTTTCGATACTCGTGTTTAGTTATCCTAGCTAGTTGTTGATATACTCGCTTGACTGTTGTAGCTTTTTGGTAGCTCAAACATATTGCTGTGATGGTCTAGCAGTTGATTGCTCCAGATACTTTAATGCTTTGGGGGTCCTACCGCTCTTCAAAGGGCACGCCGCCAAGTTGGTTCCCACCCTGCAAATGTGGACAACACAAACTGCTCATCTTGGACTCAGAGTTTAGACGTGAATAAGCGGTAGATACTCTAGCACCTCGATTCCTCGATGATGCCGGCTCAAAAGACTGTTGGAGAAGTTGTCCAATAAAGTTGGCCGAGATGCATGATTGCGAGCAACAAGCTTTATAGCTAGGCGTCCCATCTGGACTTGGTGTTCCAACTGGTTTTCGTGTATTCATAATGCATAGCGAGCCGAGATGCTACTTTATTTAGCCGATCTGCCCATATTGGACAGCTATTTAACGAGCAATCTATGCCTTGTTGTAAGGGAAATGTTTGCTGGCTTAAAACTCTTATTGAGCACATCTACTTGTTTCGTTAGAGTCTCGCACTGCATGATGCCATGGTTAGTTTGATGTAATTTGCGGCAGACGAGGTATTTTCCATCACCTACGGTGACAGGAAACTCGCTCGAGTCATCTGCTTCTGGCCGTCCGACAACATGCATATATACGTCGACGCGGAGTACTCGACCATCATCGGGCTTGACCAGGCCGGCATGGTCTTCCGAGAGTGCGCTGAGGTCCTCGTCTTCCCGCGGCGTTGTCGGTGCGACGAAGAGGGCCATTCCGAATCGTGATGTGCTTCGAAGTAGCTTCCCAGTCACAAAATGGTTCAACACTTGTAGACTCTGCAGCGCCGGGAAGCACCGCAATCGACAGAGCCAAAATGTTGGCAACCAGAGACGGGATAGGTTGCATTTTTCTGCGAAATGGCGTGCGCTTAGCTAGAGGAAACAAAGACACTGTGAGGTATTGGCTCTATCTGCGTACAAATAAAACAACAAGGGCATGTGGCGTTTCTTGTACTTTTTAATTGTCTCTCGAGGTATGGAAAATCTTGGCCATCTTCAGCTCATCTAGCCCTTGTACATTACAAACGTCTTCAGCGGTCAATTGTCATGCGAGAATTACACTAGGCCACATAAGCCGTGGGTTGTGCCATGCAATCGAGATCACTTCATCGTACAACTACTATCGCCAATTTCTATAGGGCTGGGGTCACATACCCGCAGTTTTCCGTGGTCTAATCGCCTTTAGCACCAATTATGTAGGTTCCATCTGCGTTCCATGGCCTAGATATCGCCGGAATTGAATCTAGCATGCATGGGTCCCATGTGTATTTGTATGATACAGCTTTGCAGTATAGTTCCGAGTCTGCGGCAGATTTTGCCGCGGCTTTTCTTGCTGGCTTCTAATATTTCGGCCTCTGTGTTACTTGTGTCAGCACCTGTGTAAGTCCAGAGAGCATATTCACATCTGAATGCTGTGAGGAGACTCGAGTATTTGACCGCTTTGGAAACATTCCACGCTGCCGGCTGGTCAAATACTCATGATAACCAGTCTGGTTAAAAAGACAAGAAAAAGAACGCTAATGTCGCTTATAAGTGGGTCCGGAAGTACAAACCGAGCCATTATCAGGCTCAGCTCGTTACAACTTTGCTTGGCCGGATCAGCTCGTGGTGCAGAAGGATAAGACGGTGTCCACCACGGTCACGTACGGCCAGGCCATGCGTTTTCTCGCCGCAGGTGTTATGGTGGACCTCATCCCGGCTGTTGCCACGGAAGAATTCTCATCAAGGTGACGGATCATGCCACGGGCAAGACGCTCGGCGACACGTTCAGCACCAGCAGCCACACCGTCAAGCTACGCCGGTTTGCCACGGTCAGCCAAGGTGGACATTAGCATCCAAGTTGTGGTCAACAATGTCAGATACACGGCCACCAAGAAGGAGGTCGTCCCCCAAGATGACTTCGCGGGCGTGTCCATCGCCGAGGCCGACATTAAAGAGGGGCAAGTCCCATGGCCAATAGTGAACCTGCGTGTTGACGTGACGGCAGTTCCCGAGCTGGACCGGACCATGGCAGTGCGCCTCTTGGCGAGGGCGCCGCATGCCGATCCCGTCGTGTACAAACGCTCCGTCAAGGCCAGGAGCGGAAGCACATCGTTTGCGGCCGCGGCGCCGGCGAGTACACGGTCCGGGCCGTCGGCTTCGTCGGCAAGTGGGTCATCCACTCCGCCGAGACGGAGCCAACCCTCAAGGTCAGCCCGGCCGGCAGCTATATCCTTGGCGACGCCGGTGTTAGTTCTGAAATTACAAATATTAACCCTATGGACCTGGGTATCAAGCCCTTGCCTCTGACTGGCGCCAAGACTGTCATAGACATTTTTAAACGTGGCTAATGACGGAGCCGGCTGACACCGACTTTCCGCTGCGCGGCATCTTTTACGTGCTACTTGGCGGGGGCCAAACGACAGCCATCATCAAAGATATTGGCACGACGGGGCCGTGGAGGCAGGAAAAGCAGAAGGGTTATCGGGCCCATGCCTTGTCCCTTGAGGACAGTGACGGCCACAAGGCTAACAAGCCTAAGAAATAGGCCGATATGGAAGAATGAGGACGCTTCAAGTGCGGTTGAGATTGAATGGTGTCTAATAGGATGTCAATCTGGCGCGGGCTCTCAAGTTGTAAGCCGGGAGAAGAAAGCCTTTCACAGCTGCCAAGTCTAGCTGCAAACCACAGTCATTTAATTGTATAAAAAACAAACTATACACTCTTTTCGACAAATATAGTCTTTTGTTTCATCTACATTATCTTACATAATCGTGCTACATAATATCGCCTCTTTATGAATGCAAGGCGCTGCGGGTATAAGCAGTTACTTGTACTTGCAGATCGTTTAGGTGCATGGTCCGTTGAATATCTAGCATTCCGAGTTTTTTTACTTCTCTTGGTACGTCTCTAACCAACGTATCAGGAATCAGGGCCGGTGGGAAGAGGCAGAGAATCTTCACGAGCAGCAGCGCAGCTGTTCCAGATAACCTTCGGGCCGGTCGTGATTGTTCATGATACTGGTGATGTACGTAAACTGGTACTTCTGGACAATAGTTCGTGTATTTCTCTATAAACACGACGACAGACACGGATAGATCGTACATAAATCAATACGGGGCTGGCAAAATGATGTGCCTCCGGCCACCGGTTCGGTAAAAGCGCAGCGCAATGCCTGTCCAAGATACTGTCCGACCAATTTTTTTGGTTACCGATGTTTTATTGAGTGTCATACTACGGCGTTTTCTTTGCGTTATTGCTAGATCAATCTTCATATGTTGCCCGCCTCTGGTGATGGAGTTGGACTCTGAGAAATGAGGCCGAGGTTACAGTGCAGTACACCATTTGTAACACAATTAAACGAGGGTCACACGGAAGCCTTGTTTTCTCGCTACAAGTGGCGTTCTAATCACCAGGACATAATACTACAATACTCGATATAAAATTAACCAATTCGCTGGCTGACCCCTTTTCCCAAGGCAGCAGGGCGCCGCAGGCATCTTGGGCATCAGGCACGTTGAATTGGTGCCGACATTACATACAAATGAGTAAACGGTGCATTTTGCCGCAGGGCAGGAGAAGAAAACGGACCAAGGAAGAGATGATGGCATCCATTGACGGGGACATGGTACAGTCTGAACGAACTGAAGCCCAGGTCAACCTACGCACGGAGAATACTCCCAATTGGGCCACTAGGGAGTTGGATAGGAGATATCCGGAGACAAGCTGAAGAGGATACGAAACGCAAGCACTGCAAGGGGTAGTTTGCAAGTTGTTGGTTGGATGAAACGCACTATTCCGGTCATTCCTGATCTAGTCACTATTGGGGAGAGCGGTTGAGGCCCATGGAAAATAATAATAAGAGTGAATATATGACTAAATTTCCGTAAATGAGTCTCATAAACATCTCTGGATCCTTAAATTAGTGGCGTTGTGACAAACCATTGCATATGTCTTGAGCACAGCCACAACTACGTGGCAATTCTGCGGATTCAGGATTGCTTACTCCGCATTGTGCTATTCTCTTTCTTCTGCTTACGCTGGTCAAGACGGCTCAGGGATGCTAGATTGGGCCATGTACGTGGGACGTGTCACATGTCGGTCGTTGGTGTCCTATTTCGGAGGAAAATTGACGGATTCAGGTACAGCAGAGGCAGAGAACGTCACTCTGAGTCGCAGCGGGAAGTGATGTCTCACCAGCGCACGAGGGTTTTAAACGACAGCCGAGACATCGATCAGCGGTAAATTACTCCGTATGTATCGTCAATGCCACACTGCAGTATTGCGCAGCACACTTGAGCCAGCCACGAGGAAATTACAGTCCATATTAAGCCCTTTGCATTTTCTTAGCCTAGTATTTGGATAAAATACTAGAGCATTGGGCCACAGTTGTTACATTGGCAGTGACTGTCTGGCTTACATCGCTGGGTCCTAAAACTAAAACATGTGCCAGAGTCATTTCTCAAGATTGGCAGCATAAACAAGAACGCAGGGATTTCCAATGCCATATTACTAAGCTCTGTGGCCAGTTCAGACAGCCACGGGACTATTCTCTCGGACACAGCCGTCGTCAACAAACCGTCAACATGGGCCAGTCTCCCTCCGATCCAGTCACGTCTGTTGGACGCCGTTCAAGACAGAATGACCATCATATCCGGCTATGCTTCGTTGAATGGCTCGCGAATATTCCGCAGTGGACAAATGATGACAAGCTCAGAAGTCTGATTAGCTGGTCCATCTGTACCTGAGCGGGCCGACGGCTGATCACCACCACTTCCAAGTCTCATCATCTCACTGGAGCTTACATGTGTACACTCTTTGTCTAGTTCGGACGATTCGCCAGGCAAACTCACTGATTACTGCCTGTGTCTTATCCCCGTGTGGTTGGCGCAAGTAGCATGACAATCCATGTATCGGAACCCCGACTGTTGGTCAAGTTTTGCAAACTGAACGAAATATAAAATGTCCGCTCCGTCTCCCTTCAAGTTTCGCTCCTACAACCATCAAGCCCGCGCCTCACTTTCAGTCAGCCAGCTTCAAAGACATCCAATCGCCTTTAAACAAACGAGAGAACACAATGTATTCCTTGGGCCTGTTAGCTGTTGCATTTGCCGCTCTGGTTGCCGGTCAATATTGGGATGTTGCGGTAAGGCAGTTCATTGACCTTTGTCAACAAGATTCCTTATTCACATTCTTCGATGATAATATAGGCCGTGCTGTGGAATGAACAAGGCCAATCATTTATGGTTGGCCGAGTTGATCAATGTGTGGACATCCCGCCTCCCATGTGAGTCAAGGCCCAAACACGAACATGAAACGGCTCATCGTGCTGTACTAACTCAATTCATAGCCGCGGGCATGTACAGTGGTTTGAGCTTGGCCCCCGCAGCTCGGGCTGCATTTTCTTTCTGTAAGCATATTCCTTCCGTTGCCTATCCGGCAGACGTTTCTGTTTCTCTCGAGGCTAATGCCAAGCAGGGAGAATGGTTGCCTTGTCGAGAGCGAGGTAGCGACCTACGACGGAAACGTAGATCCAGTGCCGGATGATGTAAATCAGTCCCGATCTATTTTTTGTGAGGGAAAATAAGTACTGCTTTGGAGAATGAGGACAACTGTTTTTTACCTTGCAGTGAAGTATGTTGTTGGAGACTCGGGGATTGTGAGAAGTAGGTTTGCCTTGGTACAGGTTTTTGTCCCGATACTCGGAGCGGTTTTCCCTGTACCTTTATGCAAATGCAAAGGTAGTTGAACAAATATCAGTCCATATGACTATGCCGCCTTTAGCATGTGTCCGTGCCAATATTGAGTAAACGATTTACGCAGCTGTACAACAATCACGGTAACATTCACCCACGTAAGAAGGCGCAAATTACTGATAATTCACTGGCTAACGACACCAAGTCAGGGGCTGATAGCACGCATAATGCTGCCAAGAAACCATAAAAGTACAAGTCACACTCACTCCTGCTTGTCCGCCATTAACGCCTAGACTTTGTGTTCCCGTGCTTCAACATGGTGGCTTAGGTTCACTATTCAATATTTGACTACCTCCTTGCCAAGTAGAGGCGTTTTTGACTTTTCGCCACGAGAGACCTGCCTAAATAGGTTATAAGTTGCTCGGGAGGTTACGTTGGTATCGCTACGATTCTCTTCGGTCGTTTTGGTGCAGAAGCAAGGACGAGATGACGGGAATGCTGATGATTACTGGCTAGGCGATGAGCTCCTTTCTAGCCTCGACATACTCGACTATGATGAGTCTCGAAGGAAGCTGGAGACGTCATGCAAGAAGTTGCCTTTGTACAGCAAATGTCCAACAAGAGACATTCTTGAAAACACAAATAAACAATGGTCGCCAGTGTGCTACCGCCAGGCTGGGCGGACCCCGGCTAAGGAGAGCTCTCGTCTGAGTCCCAGTTATGAGCAGAATCCAGAGAACTGGAATCTGTTTGTCAATCCAGAGACCAGGATGCAATATAGCAAGCAGGGAGGATTTGTAGAGTGGACCAATAAATGCAAAGATGGAAGCTCAACCACGGCTGTTGCGGTCCGATCCATTATGATGGAGGAGTTACGGTGAAGAACAATCTGCAAGATAGTTGAACGGGGTGGGATATTCAAAAAGGAAACATGTCAAACTTTGGCAATTTTATTTCCGGGCAAGGGCGTTTAGCAAACATGCTCTGGTGGCGCAACATTCCCATCCTTCTGGCCTAGATCAGTCTTCAACACCCTCCCAAACAATTCCAGCAAAATCTCAAAACAAATCTTGGTAACAGCCGGATCGTATCTCCCCTTGCTCAACTCGTCCCGTATAAAGGCATGTTGGGCCCAGGCGAATTCGTGAAAGCTAAAAACGCAGCCTGCATCACGGAGTTTGCTGCGAATCAAGTCTCGACCTTGGTCAGGGACGTGGGTGTCTTTGATGCCAAAGATCATCGCCACCTCTCCCCCCAGCCTGGATAAGTGGTCTATTGTGTGGTTAGAGTTGGCGGGGGCAGAGGGCGATGAGTTTGCAGCCGTGTAGGGGCCCAGGGTACGGCTATGGATGTCGGTGGCAAAGTAGGAGACGCAGGCATTGATCCGGGGGTCAAGCTAGGGGGTGTTAGACGAGACGCAACGCCAAACAGCAAAGGTTTTTGGTACACATACGGCAGCCCGGACGGCGAGATGGCCGCCTAGACACATGCCGGTTGAGCCGATGAGGCCGGTGCATGTTGGGAGTGAGAGGAGGTAGTCGACTGTTGCGTGGGAGTCGGCATCGTAGGACTCGAGAGTCTGAGCCATCAGTTAGATGGCGCAAGTTTATAGTGGAAAAAAGGAGCATCACGGAGCTTGCCTTTTCAATCTTGAACTTGTTGCCTCGGTCCGTGTCTTCCACGTCGTACTTGAGAGGCTCCGGCCCAACAAAGTCATGGTAAGAGGACGGTGCCGCAACAATGTATCCCTGCCCAGCTATCTGGCGAGCAAACCGAGCGACTGGTCCAGTAACTGTCATATACGGGTTAGATCTTGGGGCATCCGAATGGTGCCGAGTATGTGAGTACCTTGGTAAATTTCGCTGAAGAGGCAGACACCTGGGAACCGACTGGGTACGGTGAGCAGCTGGGCATTCACTGACAAGGCCTACAGGTCTGATAGAGAGAGCTTACGCCTTTGGATAGCCGGCAATGGCCGGGTGAAATACAAAAATGCCTGGTATAGGTGGTGAGCAAATGTCTGGCGGAGGGACCGGAAGCTTTTTGGTGAGGGTCACGTACGCATGGTGCTGTCCTTGCCATTGGCAGACGTGGGCACGTCGACGTGAGATTCCTCGATCAACATGTTGAGTTGGTTGTAATGGGTATACTCTTTTTAAAAAAGACCGTTGCCAATGGATTCAAGGTTCGCGGAGTGAGCTTCAAGTTGTGTAAACTCAAGCTCAACGATGCTTGGCTTGAGGCCTGAGGGTGTGAGTGAGCGGCGCGTACTGTACGCTGAATTGGGCAAAGCGCGGAGTGCAGGCCCCACAGAGGGTTGTAGTCAGCATCCAGGTTGAGGCCCGGAGGCGGAAAAATAAAGCGGCCCGGTGTCCGGGGGCCACAGGGGATCAACTGGCACACAGGACCCGAGGCCCTAGTGCTCCAGCGATCCCCGGCACCAGCAGCTGTCTTTCGCAGCACATGCTTCACTGTCTGGTTACCGAAAACGGCATGGCGTCGGTGGGTGCTGCAACTGACCACGGGCATGCCATCACAAGGGTCAAGCGCTTGACGGGTCGGGATCATCTCATCTCCAGCTCCCCAGCTTCTCTTCCCAGACTTTATGGCCACGTCTGCATCCCTCGGCCCATTCGAACCTCCAATCTGCCCCCTGCTCCGCCCGCGATTATTCAACAATTTTTTTTCTTCTCTTCTTGACCCTCCCCCTTTCGCCTCTTTTCTTTTGAGCTAATGGTTGCTTCGACCCCTGGCGCTTTGCATATTCCGTTCCCACTGCGATCATGAACGGCCACTTTGCTGCCGTGGGCGACAAGCCCGCTGGCGGAAGCTTCGAGCACGGTGTCCAAGTCATTGACGAGGACAAGGAATTCAAGTACGCACGTCTGGCCACGAGTTGAAATGCCCGCAGCACAGTCCGTGGCCGTCGCTAACATGCGCAGTGAGAACCTCAACGACTACCTGCAGACCACAAATGTCGCCGACTCGGGCTTCAACTACCACCTGATTTCCGTCTTCGGCTCCCAGTCCACCGGCAAGTCGACCCTTTTGAATAGTCTCTTTGGCACCGAGTTCTCCGTCATGTCCGAGACGGAGCGTCGCCAGACCACAAAGGGCATCTGGATGTCCAAGAACAAGCGCGAGGAAAGCGGCGGCGCAAAGATGGCCGACAACATTCTCGTCATGGACGTCGAGGGGACCGATGGTCGCGAGCGCGGCGAGGACCAGGATTTCGAGAGAAAAAGTGCGCTCTTTGCCCTGGCCACCAGCGAGGTCCTGATTGTCAACATCTGGGAGCACCAGGTGGGGTTGTATCAGGGGGCAAACATGGGCTTGCTCAAGACCGTTTTCGAGGTCAACCTGCAACTATTTCTCAAGGATAAGCAGTACGCCCTTTGCATTCGCACTGTGACAGCCGAATTGCCCGCTAAGTCGTCTTGATAGGTCAACACCGCGATCATTGCTCTTCTTCGTCATTCGAGACCACCTCGGCACGACTCCCCTGGCCAACCTTCGCACCACACTGATACAAGATCTCACCAAGATTTGGTCCACCATCTCAAAGCCCCAGGGCCTCGAAAACGCTCGAATTGAAGACTACTTCGACTTTGGATTCGCTGCGCTGCCCCACAAGATTCTCCAGGCCGACAAGTTCACCAGCGAGGTTGACAAGCTTGGTTCGAGATTTACGGCGGGCCACAAGGGCCACAAGGGCAGCGACCACGAGCTCGAGGGCGGGGTTTTCCTTGCCGAGTATCACCGCAGAATTCCCGCCGATGGCTTTTCAGTCTACGCCGAGGGTATCTGGGATCAGATTGTGAACAACAAGGACCTCGACTTGCCCACCCAGCAAGAGCTGCTGGCGCAGTTTCGATGCGACGAAATCTCGCGCGAAGTGTTGGTGGCGTTTGATCTTATTGTGGCCCCCCTTGAAGAGCAGCAAGGCGAGGCGACCAAGCTCGGAAAGATTTTGGTCCTCCCCGACCTTGGTGGTGTCGGTAGCGATGCCCGAGGAGCGCTCCTGCGCGCCTTTGAGACGCAAGCCAGCCGGTACCACAAGGGCGTGTATACGCGCAAAAGACTAGAGTTGGAGTCCAAGGTCGATGCGAGACTCAAGGCGCTATACATGGGCCAACTGGCGGCCGCGCACAAGGCCGGCGTTGGTGCATTCAGCGACGCCGTGTCCAACAAGGTCAAGGCGGGGCAAAAGGCGGGCGGCGGCTACGAGTTCGCCGAGATTGTCGCCAGCGAGAAGAAGAAGACGCTGGACATTTTCAAGAGTGAAGCGCAGGGGCTCGCCATTGAGGATCTTCCGTGGACCAACTTTAAGCCCCAGTATCAGCTGTTTGAGGCCGAGCTCGACGAGGTCAGTGGGAAGCTGCGCAAGGAAGAAATGCGGCGGCTTGCGACCAGAGTCGAGCGCTGGGTCAAGTCTCGTCTCGGAGAGGCCATTGGGCTCGAATTCAACAAGCTCGGCTCGGGGCGAGCAGGCATGGGTGCTCCAGAGACTGGCGACAAGCCTAGCGAGAAGGATCTCTGGGACCGTGTTTGGAACGTCTTTGCCGGCATCGTCAAGGAGGCCGAGGGCCGCTTCGCTGACCGTGCCAGGAGCTTTGACGCCAGCGATGACGAGGCCGAGGTTGGCATGTGGCGTTTGCGTCGCAAGAGCTGGGTAGGACTCCGCGAGAAGATTGAGGAAGAGGTCATGGAGGGCAACATCCTGCTCAAGCTGCGCGAGAATTTCGAGGACAAGTTCCGGTACGATGAGGCGGGCGTCCCTCGGATATGGCGGCCGACCGACGACATCGAGGGCATCTACACCAAGGCGCGGGAGTCGACCCTCACGCTGATCCCGCTCCTGTCCAGGTTCCGTCTCTCTACGACATATGCGCCCCCGGATCTGGTGAGCTTTATTGGAGGCCAGCCCGCCGGTGTGGAGGTGGGTGACGAGGAGGATCTGAGCCCCATTGGCGGCGTTGATGAGGATGAGGGCAAGAGCCTCGAGGAGGAGATGACGGTGCTGAGCGAGGGTAAACGGCAGGACTTGGTTGTCCGGTTCAAGAAGACGGCGGACGGTGTCTACGTGGAAGCCAAGCGCAGTGCGATTGGAGGCGTGGCTCAAATCCCGTGGCCTTTTTATGCGCTGCTCCTGGCGTTGGGGTGGAACGAAATATTCATGGGTAGGAAAAGTCCAATTCCTACTCTCAAATATCATCATGACGAATGCTGACAATGGTCTTTTTAGTCTTGCGAAACCCCTTCCTCTTCATTTTCCTCATCATGCTTGCGGGCGGCACGTACGTGGCGTACACGCTCAACCTCCTGGGACCAATGATGCAAATGAGCAACGCGGCCGTCAACCAAGGCGTCGAAATTGCCAAGCAGCAGCTGCGTGATTTCATTGCCAATTCAGAGGCGGCGCGCTCGGCTTTGAACGTCCCCTCTGCACCTGCGTACAGTGAGCGTGAGAGCATCAGCATGGATACCCTTGACGGACAGGGCAGAAAGGCATCGCCATCAGAGGAGGTTGATGACATTTGAGCATTTTTTTCAGGGTCCAAGGGTTTTTCAAAACGGGGAGGGATTCTTTCGACGGGGGAGGGTAGTGGAGTAGTTTTCATGGGCAGGATACGCGAGGTAATGTCTATAATAGAGGTTGCTGTTTTCTTCATGTCAAAAGCTTCAACAGGTATTTATCTATGCACAGGGACCAAGACGCAATGCGTATCATGAATCATGTATTATGTGTGCCATTGCCTGCTGCTATAAAGAAAAGAGAAAAAAAGAAGACGCCGCTGCCAACCCGTCAAAACGCCTCGAGCCCAGCAGGCGAGCCGTACCAGCCCCCCAGCTCGTCCGTCTCGTCGTCGCGGCCGGCAGCAAAGAAATCCGTCACCCTCATGGAATCCCCGGCCTCCTCCTCCACGGGCCAGTCGACCCTGACGCCGCCCTTTGTCTCGAGCATGTCCTTTGCCGTGCCCCAGCTGAACCTGCACTCGGGGCCCCAGCCAAACACGGGGTGCATATTCCTCCGCAGCCAGCCGACGCACCTCGCGTCCGAGGGATACCCGGAGCCCCATTCCATGCCTGGCCCGGCGCCGTTTTCGTCCCGCCGCGCCTCGTACAAGACCTCGAGGGCCGCGTCGCGCGTCACCTTGGCGCAGACCGACGCCGCGCTCACGCAGGGGTACAGGCTGTCGGCCTTTTTCGCGACGGTGATCTTGACCGTGGGGAACACGCGCTGCAGCCTGGCCTGGTAGGTGGCCGGCGGGCCGACGGTGTCGACGTAGACCTCGCGGACGTTGAGGCCGCGCTCGAGGGCGCCCCGGACCAGCGCGACGGTGGCGTCCATGGCCTGCGCGTTGAGGTTGTACGCGCCCGAGGGGCGGAGCATGCCGGCCGAGATGTCGCGCGCGGAGAGGGCGGCGGTGGCCCAGCCGCACTGGGCGTGGAGGTCGGTGCCGGCGGTGCAGAGGGCGCGCATGAGCGACGAGCGCGCGGCGGCCGTGAGCGCCTTGGAGTCGTCGAAGCCGTGGGCGTCGCGGAGGAGGGGGTCCGACTGCGGCTGCGGCAGGGAGAAGATGCCGTAGACCATGGGGCCGAGGACGGGCCCGCGGCCGGCCTCGTCGACGCCCAGGCAGAGCGGGGGGAGGGACGACGGGTCGGACGCGCGTGCGGGCGTGAGGAGGGCCGGGGGGACGGGCGAGAAGTGCGTGAATGATGAGCCGGCGAGGAGGGCTTCGCGGTGGACCGAGGGCGGGACGAAGGTGCTTGGTGATGGTGGTGTTTCGTCGGCTTCGGCCATGGTTTGTAGATAGCGTGGGGGGCTGGCGGTTGTAGAGAGTTGCTTTTGTTTGAAGCAGGACTGGAAATGGTGGTGGATGGTGTTGAAGAGGTGTTGCCAGTCAATTGGTGCGCTGAGAGGTGCTGATGGGTGTTTTACGCGTGGGAGCTGCGGGAGACGCGTTTTGGTGGGCGGTGACGATTTGATGCATTGATATTTGACATGTACCGATGCGTACTCGGAAGTGGAGAAGGCAGCCCCACATGCCGTGCCCCAAAGCTGCGAACGCTCGCATGCATCACGATCACGAATTTCTTCCTTCTTGTCTTTCCCTTTTTTTTTTAGGCGTTTCAGAAGCCTCGGTATGCTGCATCAATAAGCGAGGCGAACCATATGTAGCCATGGCGCAACACTGCCCCCCTACGCCTGTGTATATGCCACTCTCACGACCTCGACCAGGAAGCGCTCTCGGAGCCCCTCGACAAAAATAACGTCGCTTACCTGCCGACTCAACGTGTCCAAGGTATCGAATGTGATGACAATGTCCATGTAATCGCGCGCACTAATGTCCCCGATATTACTTCCGGGCGGCGGGGGGGCCGCGAGTGGCGTCACGCGCAACATGTAGCGCCGTCTCGTCACGTCGTCGTAGATGTAGGCCGTGGTGGTGAGTCCCCGGTGCTCGTCTCCTGCCAGTTGACGAGCAAGAAAGTCAATCATGTCGGCAAACTGTTCCGGCCTCGCGCCCGAAACCACCGTCTGGCCTGCTTGTACGCCGGACCTTTGGAGCTTCTCGACAGGTGAGAGGCCGTCGTTTGTCGTCTCCATGTTGATGATCAACCCTTTGGCTGCTGTGGAAATGGTCTATTTGTTCCGATGTAGCTGCGGTAGTTGCTGGAGACTGTTGGGTTTTGTCTGTAAATCGGTGGGTGTGTTCGGCGCAATGAGTGTTGAATGGATCGTCTGAGTTTATCGAAAACGTCTTCTGATACCTCCTCAAGGGAGAGGGTAGAACTTATAGAAGCAAGCCAGGAAGGGCAGCCATCTGGTCCAGGGAGCCGAGTCCGGTCTTGGCTACGTCCACTAAAAGCCTTTTTAAAGTAATCAGCTTGATGAGCAGACAGAACCAGTCTTCCGCACGGTCTGAGCTTGTGTGGCAAAAGTCCCGGTTAACAAGCGTAAGTTGAGTAGTCTCACACTGAACGGTATCTGGAAACTGGAATGGCTATTCGATAGACATGGTTTGCGATCCGAAACGAAAACGCCACAGGCTTCGTAAGCCCGTACCCAGAACTCGGCTATGCCGCCACTACAAGTACCGGACGTATGCAAATTCCATGCAACAGACGCCAATTGCCTTCCTTGTTGGCCCCCGCAATCACCGGTGGCCTAATAAGCTTTCTCTTTCATCATCATGACACTATGCTTTGGCGTATTTCGAGGTGCCAAAGCAAGACTGTTGAGCTTCTATCCATCTTCGGGGTGCCTTGCACAATCCCCATACGCAGGCTGCCAAGGCAAGGCGGATAACCTACAGCAACACTATTGTGATTGTCACCGAGATTTTTATGCAGGTAAACTGTTTCATTGGACCATCCTAACAAAGACAAAGCCAACCGTCAACGAGAGCTTGGTGTACCTGTGCCCGTTGATACAAAGACGTTGCTTGGCTTGTATGAGCTTCAAATACGAGCAGTTTGGCCGCAAGAATTCCAATCTAGGAAGAAGCCAGGGATAAAAAAAGTCAATGGCCTAGCTTGTTGAAAGCTGGTCTTTTTTTCTGCCTAGCCAGTCGACAGCTGGCTTTGGGTTATCTAGGTTTCTGTCGGCACTTATTTCCCTGCAACATTCACAGTAAGAGTGTCTGATCTGATACATTCAGCCTTCTTTGCCCTCACAGTACTCTTGCCCCCCTTTTTAAAAATCACCCTGGCGAGTCCATACTTGTCCGTCGTGACCTCCTCTGTAACCCCATCTGCGACCCAAGCTACAGTCGCCGAGTCCACGGGATCCTGCGTCTCCCAATTCCTCACAGAGAATAGTGTCTCATGTTCAGCTCGAGCATCCGAGAGTACGTCAAGCTTCAATGACAAGGGCTTGGGCTGGGACTTGGCATAGGCCCAGAGAATGTGATCGTTCGCCTTTGTCTGGTACTGGCCTCCTCCAACCAGCAAATACTGTCCATTGACAAATATATGCCACGCGTCCTCGTCGGTTGCAATTTCGCCTTTAATTTCGTTGATGTAAAAATCACCCAGACTGTCGTACCATTTTCCATCAAATGTGAATTTGCCTTTTGATGCGGTATCCAGGCTAGCCGTCGGCGTATTGCCCGGTTCAGGGTTCCGGCCACAATTTGTGCCGTCACAATTATGCGTCTGTCCTGATTTTGTCGTCACCTTGTGCCCCTGAGACTGTACTTGGCCGTTGAAGATGGTGTCGGTACTTCCTTCGACACGGATAAAGACGTTCTGAGGCCTATTTTGCATTTGTATGTTAGATCCAAACACGGAGCAAATAACCTCATTTCAAAGAGAAGTAAATAGGTATACTCATTAATGGCCATTTTGTACTCTTTTCTGAGGAGCTTCTCGAGGTCTTGTTGGAACAAAACAGCCAGTTTCTCATATACTCGCGTGAAAAAGCCGGGAGGTACTTGGTGTCCTAGGGAGCAAAAAGTGTTGGAGTCGAGCAAGTTGGGATCTGCTTGGATTGCACCTAGTTAATATAATGCACATACAGAAAACGCGCGATTTTCGACAGTCCAGCCTTGACTCATTCCATGCGTCTGGAGCAGCAATACGTACTGCGTGTCCCCGCCTGACTCTCTGAAATGAACAAGGCTGGCTCGTAGGAAGTGATTTTGCTATCATTTGTCGAGTACTGTGGCTTCACTGCGAACGACACATCATCTCCGCGGGCAATGATACGAGGGGAGCAGGCGGTCTGGAACCTGTCCTCGTCCAACCGTGAAGCTGCGCATGTCTTATTCCCGGCCCACGTTGCATTTGGACGTCACCCTTTGCACGCAACCTACCGGCTTCTACTCCGTAATGGCGCGGCTTTCCCCATCATTTGACTCAAAACACTGCAGATATTTGGGTATCAGTCAGCGCTTTGGGTGTGAGTAAGGGTGCGTTTGCGAAGCCGATGCCACATCCGACTCGACCTGATTCCGGTAGCCCGTGTCTCAGGCACCGGCTACTGTCCACAACACGAGACTGTTAGAGGCACAGCAATTATAATAAACCTTTTATTATGGAGTGCCTGTACTCCGTAGACCTTCCTTGCCCATTTCCTAGACATGCTAGTGAGCAACAGGCAGTCTACCCCTAGCCGTGGCCGCGCCGTAGATAATATCGGCCGCCGACGCAAATGCCTCCAGAGTAGGCTCATACACGGCAATATAATTCCTCACCTCGGCCTCGTCGTCGATAAAGTCATACGGACTGCAGGTAGCCACCGCGACGAGCGTCTTGCCCGCCCGCCGCCTGGCAATCTCCAACCCCAGACGCCGCTGGTACTGCGACTCCCTCGCGTTTCTCGTCGCCAAAACGACCACGGCCGCGTCCTCCACCCGCGCCCACTGCTCCGACGTCAGGGTAGACTCTGTGAAGCGAATGTCCTCAACGGCAGGGTTGTACCTGCGGAGGGTGTCGCCAAAGGCGCCGGAAACCCAGGGCACGCGCGTCTTCTGCAGCTCCTCCCCGCTGGACGCGGCGCCGCTGGTGGGAACGTTGACGCCCGGCGAGACGAATACCGTGCTGGCGCTTCTGGACACGGGCAAGAGGCCTGCTTCCGACCGGACAACCGTGGTGGCGTTGGCGTAAATGTCGCGGGCGAGGGCCTCGTTCTCCGTGCTCAGACGGGCCAGGTCCGACGGCGGCCGGGCTTCCAGTGCCGTGTCCCAATCTGTGTACTTGTCCTTGAGGTCGCGCAGCCGCTTGAGAGATGCGTCGAGCCGTGCCTGGGACAGCTCTCCGGCGTGGAGGGCCTCGCAGACGCGGTCGATGGAAGCAGCTTGCACGTCGTACGTGTGGCAAATCATGACATTGTCGACGCCCGCCTTGAGCGCCATGAGGGCGCCCTCTACGGTTCCGTATGCGGCTCGAACGCCGTCCATTTCCATGCAATCGGTTATGATGACGCCCTCGAACGCGAGGTCCTCGCGCAGGATCTTGATCGTCTCGGGGGACAGGGTGGCGGGCAGATGCGAGCCGCTCGCCTTGGGGAGGGCAATGTGCGCCGTCATGACCATCTCGATGCCCTCTGCGGCCGCGCGGCGAAAGGGGACCAGCTCAAGCGCTTCCAGCTCCTCCCTGGTCTTGTTGACGACGGGCAGGCCGTAGTGCGAATCTACGGCCGTGTCGCCGTGGCCTGGGAAGTGCTTGATGCAGGGCGCGACTCTGGTCTCTCGCAGGCCCTTGGCACACGCGGCGGCAAATCGGGCGACCTCGTCGGCATCGTCGCCGGGACTCCGTACTCCAATGACGGGGTTCAGCGGCTCATTGTTGACGTCGCCGACCGGGGCGTAATTCATGTTGATGCCGAAATAGCGCAGCATGTTGCCCGTGGCTTTGGCGACGTGGTATGCGCTCTCCAACGATGCGGCTGCGCCCAGGGCCATTGGTCCGGGCAGCTGTGCCGCGACTGGAGGTGAAATGCGCGTCACGAGTCCGTTTTCCTGGTCGATGCCGACAAAGAGAGGCTGGGTGTGGCCGGCATCCTTGGCCAGTTGTTGAAGTCCCAGGCAGAGAGCTTGTAGCTGGGCGGCGTCTTTGATGTTGCGCTTGAAGAGGAGAACGGCGCCCACGCCATAGTCTTGGATGAGAGACTTGATTTCTTTGTTGATTTCGGTCCCGTAGAAGCCAACCGCAAAGAGCTATCAGGGACTGTTAGTACTGGTGCTCATGATCAAAGGGAGGGGAGGTTTATGTTGATGGAAGTTGAACCTGGCCAACTACCCGGCGTTGCTCTGCCGAGGGCATTGTTCCTGCTTCGTCGCTCCTTGGGAGCAGATGGTTTTTTTTTCTTTTGGGGGATGCCTTGTATTCATGCTTGCGCCGCTGAAGAGACTCGGTCGTGTATTTAGCGACGAAGCCAGGATTGGGGGCTTCATTCGCAAGTCGAGTGGGGGTCAAGAGTCAACAAGCATCCGGCCTCTGTCTTCAAATGCCTTCAACGGCAGTGCTTCTGGGATTGGCGCGAACAGCTACGGCAATGCAACGTGGCTCGACTGACCCCCATGCATGCCGGGTCCGTGGGGAAGATGAGGGTTGGAGCTGGTTTGATGTTTCGAGTTGACGGTTGGCCACCTCCAGTGAGGGGTTGAGAGGCGTCAACGTCGTTTGGTCGCAAATGATGGAGGGTCTCATGCCAGGCCCGTTGAAGCGACAGGGAAAATCCTTCAGATCTACAATCTGGGGGCGGAATTCAAGGGGGGATAATACCACGTGAAAGTGACGGCTTTAAACGTTGAAGAGACGGCCATCTATCGAAAAGGCCTGGGACCAAGTTCAAATCATGCCAACATGACAAGTTTCCAGTGTCCACTCTGGCATGAGTACAACTTTGTGCTGATCCGGCTCGCGACTTTTCCTTGATAAATGTCAATGCTACATCCAACCAAAGGGGCCAAAGTCTTCCCCAGATGAGGCTCTCAGCACCAGCCTACACGGCAACACTCTCGGGACGTTGACAACACTTCCCCTCACAAGTCACGATGCTCCCCCGCACTCACTCACCATCTTCAACCACCACCACATAGCCCATTCCTCCCACTCGATCAAAAGCGACAACAAAAATCCCATCATGGCCGACTACCAAACCTACCAGCTCGGCGACTTCAAGCTCGTCAGCGGCGAGACCATCCCCAACGCCTTCATCGCGTACAAGACCATCGGCGACCCCTCCCTCCCAGCCATCATCTACCCGTCGTGGTTCAGCGGCGCCATCGCCGACAACGAATGGCTCATCGGCGAGGACAAGACGCTCAACCCCCGCAAGTACTTCATCATCATCCCCGCCATGTTCGGCAACGGCCAGTCCAGCAGCCCGTCCAACACGCCGCGCCGCCCCTTTCCCGCCGTCACCCTCCGCGACAACGTCACCGCCCAGCACATCCTCGTCACGCAGCACCTCGGCGTCCGGCACGCCCGCTGCATCCTGGGCTGGAGCATGGGCGCCTGCCAGACGTACCAGTGGGTGACGCAGTTCCCCGACTTTGCCGACTGCGCCGTGCCCTTCTGCGGCGCCGCCCGCACCTCCCTCCACAACCAGGTCTTCCTCGAGGGCGTCAAGAGCGCGCTGCTCGCCGCCAAGGGCGCGTCGTCGGCGGGCTCGGCGCAGGGCGAGGCCACGCCGGCCGACGAGTACCGCGCCTGGACCGCGCCCGAGAGGACCGCCGGCCTCAAGGCCCTGGGCCGCGTCTACGCCGGCTGGGGCTTCAGCCAGGCGTTTTACCGGCAGAGGGTGTACGAGACGGCGCTGGGGTACAAGTCGCTCGAGGACTTTATGCTGAATTTCTGGGAGAAGTGGGCTCTGTCGAAAGGTATGCACACCTGCGCAAAGCTAAACTGACGTACATTCTCTGCTCACGCTCGTCCTGCTAGACCCGGAAAACATGTTGCTCATGCTGGCGGGGTGGCAGGCGGGCGACTGCTCCGACCAGGAGCCGTACAAGAAGGACTTTGAGCTGGCTATGCGGAGCATCAAGACCAGGATGCTCGTCCTGCCGGGCAGGGAGGACTTGTACTTTCCCCCGGAGGACTCCGAGTACGAGGTGCGGTGCATGTCGGAGGGGGTCGGGAAGTGCGTCCCTTTTCCGTCCATCTGGGGACACTGGTAGGTGCAACGAGAAACAAGACGTACGGTACTGACATCTGAACCTTTGATGCTGACGACTGCCAGGGCGGGCGGGCCGGGACTGAACCCCGAGGATCTCAAGTGGCTCGACAACAAGCTCAGGGTGTTTTTGGAGGATGAGGCGACTCTGATGAGCGAGGTGAGCGTGTCCAAGTGACAAGTCTATATATTCAAGACTGGCGATATGTCTAGCGTAGCTATGGTGGTACAAAACAGCCCAACTACCAGAATGGCAATGTGAGATTCAAAATTCCCCCTATATATGTCTCCTGAAACTGGCGTCTTTGTTCATTGACAACCATCACAACTTGAAAAAACATACCCTTACATGTCCCACATGTTTTTATTAGTCTAATCCACCTTTGTTTCGTTGCTCTGGCTCTTCTTCCATTGTCTCGCAAGATGAATCAGCCTCAGCCCTGCTGCGGCACTGCTCCCCTCCTCGACCTGCCTGGTCCAAAAGCTGCCAGAGCTAGCGACGAGCACCGACTTGCGACGTTCCCTCTCGGCGGGGCTGAGGTTGACGCCCGCCCGTTTGTTCGCTTCGATTTCTTCCAGGTAGTGCAGCCGGCGGGCATATCTCTCGTGGCGCTCCTTGCGGATCTGCTCGGACCCGTAGCGCTCAAAGATCCATCGCGTCAACGCGCGCAGCATAAGCAGCAAGTGCTCGCTGACGAATATCGTGATGGGCAGGGTCGTCCAGCCCCCCGCGCCAATGGTGTCGGTCCCGAAAAGATGAACAATGGCCGCGGTCGATATGCTTCCCAACAGGGTCAAGGTTTCCAGCGCCGTCACCCAGGGACCGATTCCGTCGGCCCGTGTCGGGGCAGGCCGCCGGTGTTCGATGCAAATCTTGGCGAAATCAGACCGAAGCTCGATCCAGTTGTTTATGAGGAACCCCATGGATATCAGCGGCCACACAGGCGAGAACAAGGCCAGGTAGCCAAATTGAAGGACAAGCTCCGCAACGTCCTCTTGCACATTGTACTGAGAGCGCGTCGCCTGGTTTCGGACGCGCTTCAAATACTCGGCTTCGCTGGCGTCGTCGGAGACGAGCGTCAGGAGCATGGTGTCTTTGGTGTAGGCTCGGCGGTACTCGCGATACCAGTCGCTAAACTTGTATTTGATAAGGGGCAGGATATTCTCCTCGAAGAAATCGGACAATTGTCCCGTCACAGTTAGCGCAATGACTTCGTTGCGGAGTCGGTCCGTATCGGACGCAAAGGGGCGGAACACGAGCTTGGCGGCGAATTTCGGGAACAAGTGTACAATGAGTTGCTTCACACGAGGGATTATCACGTCGCCGAATGGGACGTAAACAAATGCTGTGAGCAGGATGGGGAGATAATTCGTAATGATGCTAAGAATGAAGAGCTTCTGCGTCAACGACATTTCATGTTCATCTGCAGTCCTGTGGTTTTCGTATTCGGTCAATGCAGTCGCGATGCCCTCGAGTGACGATGAAATTCGTGGAATAGCCACTGCTAGCAATATCGTCGGGACGTACTCCTGTACGCAAAATCGCGTCAGTCAAGCGTGTTCCCCCTTGTATGAGATGCTGCTTCATCTAGACAGTGTCATGCTTACCAAGTAAAATTGATGAGGGCCCTCGTACGTCTCACATATCAAAACCTCTACTACAAAGACGGAACAGATCATGAGTCCGAGCACAATGGTGGCCAGAATGATGAAGGGGATCTGAAGCAGCTGACGAGCAATCTGCTTCCACTTGGGAAAGTAGTGCTTGGTCCGACCATTCTCATCCACAATAATCTTGTCATACTTGAACGCCGGCCGGTTGATCTTGACCTTGTTGACGCCTCGTACCATCCAGCGCATACTGAGATCAATCTCCTGGATTTTCCAATACTCGAGGAAGACGGTGCACCAAACGCCAGTCAAGATGGCATAGGCGAGAGAGTACTTGGGGAGAAACAGCCAAGTGAAAACACCAGTGATGGCGGGAAACGTCAAAAAGGTGAGGTAGGTCTGGATAAAGGCAAAATAAAACGCAATCTTGGACCCGTGTAAATCTCGAATCTTGTCAAAGTCTTCGGCCGTCAACATGATGGTTTTGCTCAGGTGGCGGAGTATAGACTGGTTCACGGGCTCGTTGTGTAGTGGGAAGATGGCCTTGACGTTTTCCCACTCGCCGACTTCTGGCGTGATGCCGGCACCGCCCAAATCTGTCGGCCAGAGAATGAGATGATACAGGGCGAGGACATCTTCGGCTTCGAACCAGGCCTTCACAACCGTGTGTTTGTCGCCGCCGGGATGGGATTGGGTGATGGCATATAGCCAGTCCTTGACTCTGATTTGTCATTGTGTTAGCAGTCGGTTCGTTTCGCTCATCTGTAGCGCAAGACAAGTGAGGCGGCTAGCTACCGTTGTTTGTAGACTGTATTTCCCAACAGTTGAGACGGTGCCTTGACGAAGACAAGAATGGTCTGTTCGTAACCCGGGCGCACTTCGGTATGCAGCCCGGCGGCTTCCAAGTTATCAAGCAGGCAATTGAATTCCTTGGCAGCTGCATCGTAATCTATCCGACTCGGCATGTCAATATGATATTCTTTTTTGTTCTACCAGCGCCTCCAACGGATACGAAGGCGGGCCGGCCGGGTCAGTCACACCTATGCCCCCAAAGTCATACAACACGACGTATTTATCATTGTACGTCTCCCCTTTTGTGGGCGTTGTTGGTCGAGATTCCCTTTTATATCCATGGAAAGTCTTAGATGGTATGCCGATATCACTGGGACTCGGTGGTGCCAGGTGAACGCTGCTGCTTGAAGTCTGGGTCGGAAGATCGACCTTTGGGGCGACATGGAGCATGATGCTGGCGTCTAGCGGCTGCTACCAGAGCGGCCGGGGTCCTGGGGAGCCGAAGAACAGGACACAAGGTGCAGGAAACAAAATGGGAGGATCAATGAGCGACAGACAGCTTGTTTGGCTTGACATGCTCTGGCCTCCATGCAACCCAATCGCACGTCCCAGCTACGAGGGGTGTAGAGGGAAGAAAGCCGGATAGGGGGGAGACGGCATTTGAGATGACGCCAGGCGGTTCACATGCGCCAATGCACACCAAGCATCTCAGACATGGACAGGCAGTGAAGGAAATGGAACAAAAAAAACGACGAGGACGGATACAACGGCGAACGCACGGCTCTGAGCCTCAATGCAAGCCAAAAACTGAAAGCTAATCAGACCAGCGTCATTTATTCTCCATTTACCCACAAGCCTTCCCGCTGCGCCACACCACGCCACCATCGATCCATTGACAAAATTCGTCAGCTGAGGGCAGAGACTCTATCCAGATGATCACACGCATGCTCGCCAGATCCTACATTCAGCCGCGAAAGAAGCTGTAGCAGGAAAACACAGGTTCGACCTCTATACGGCATAATGCATGAAACAAGCCTCAACAACAAGAGCAGCTAATTACAGTGTGATGGAGAATAAAGATGCCAACATGTCATCAGCTGGGGAGCAGTTAGAGCCAAGAAAGCGAAGGATGCAAGCTGGTTTACGGGATTGGCGGACGGCGCACCAGATGGTTACCGAGGAAGGGCTTGAAGGCAACATCTTCCCACCGATGGTCAAGGCAATGCACTTTTCACATTGGCGCAAACTGTGATACTTTTGGACCACTTCAAGCGAAATCACCTCAATCAGCTGTCTGATCAAAGATGTCCCGATATCCGACACCGTGTTGAAAACACCTCCACCAAGCTGTTTGGGCCCGGTATCGCGTCTTGCGCCCCTCTACATCAAGGCAGACATTGCGCCTTCCACCTTTGTAGCGGTTATCAAAGTGTACGCAAACTTTTGTATGAACAAAAGGAGAGAGGGAGAAGCCGACGATCTGACCTCGCAAGTACGACTTCACGAGCGAAGGTGTCTTCGATACAGCCAGCAGCACTTCCTGTGGCACAAGGAGAATGGTAGACGGGCTATTTCTTCATATCGATACCGTTATTGATGGTTTATTTGTTATATCCAGGCCATAGCAAGTGCCCCTCTCGTGAAAAAAACGGCTGCATGTGAAATAGAGAGATGTAATGAGACGGTACGTGATGCACGAAAAAAAGAAGACCGAGGGGGCGCAAAGATCCAGAAAGTAACACCATGGCTGGATTATCTTCATCGCAGAGACATATATAATATATCATGGTATATAACCTGATAGCCAGGTACCTGGTGGGGTGTGAGCGCACCCAGCAAAAAGCTTCATTTCCTTCTCGATAAACTCATCCTTCCATATCCCCTTTTTTACCAAATGAAATCATCTTCTGCTTCTTCCTCTGGTGGCTGACTTGCAGATTTCGACTCTCCCTTCGTCGCTTTCCCTGTCGCTTTGCCCGCCGCTTCCCCCGCTGTGACAAGGGCCTAGCTTGGAGCAATTACTCAATTCATCTAATAACAGTCTTTGGTATCAAAGGTCCGGTTTTCCTCAAGGCCTTGAGGGACCGAAGACCTGGTCTATTTATACAAGAAGTCGGTGAGGACCTTCTGCCCTAATCCCGTGACCGTAGTCCTTGTGTAACACGGCGATTTCCGTGTAACACCCGCCGTTTTCCCTTTTCCTGGCGATGGTTTGGACGGCTTGGGCTTTTTGGGGGACGGTGAAACTTTGTCCTCATCTTGAGGGCGCTTTGGAGTCTTACCCGGCGATGGCTTTGGAGTCTTGGCCGGCGATGGCTTTGGAGTCTTGGCCGGCGATGGCTGCGGAGTCTTGGCCGGCGATGGCTTTCGCTGCATGTGCTTCGGCTTGGGGGGTGGCGGCGGCTTCATGGCAGTCAAGTATCTGACGACTTTGCCTTTGTTTCCTGTATCCCATCCTTTATTTCGTTGACGATTTTTAGAATCCTGGCGAAGTCTTCACTTAACTTAAGGTTTTCATTGAACTTTATGTTTTCTTCGCCCAATTTCTGGTTTTCTTCCTTCAATTGGTCAATTTCCTTGTCTCTGAGGGCGAACCTTTCTTTAATTCTTTTACTGAGGTTATCCGTTTTCGTTTTTATGTTGGCGTTTAGTTTGCCGATCTCAGTTTCGGTATAATCTCTGGCGTTTTCCGCCGCCTCTTTCGACTCTTCAGCCTTCCCATTAATAAGATTGGTTTGCTTGCGGAATTCTTGAGCAACCCTAATTCTCATTGCG